AGCCATTCCACCTTTTAACTATCCTGTAAATCTGGCTGTCTCCAAAATCGCTCCTGCTCTAATTGCTGGAAACTCCATTGTGCTCAAGCCCCCAACTCAGGTAACCACACAGCTATTCCATTTCAGAATCTTTATTACTCCTTCTATTTCCTTCCCTCCTTTTCTTTACTACTCCTTCTAAATGGTTGTTAAATGATAAATTTCAGGGAGCTGTTTCTGCTTTGCACATGGTTCATTGCTTTCACTTGGCCGGTTTTCCCAAAGGCCTAATCAACTGTGTCACTGGCAAAGGCTCAGAAATTGGTGATTTCCTTACAATGCATCCAGGAGTGAACTGTATAAGGTGACTATTTTTTCCCTTTTAGATGATGTTGCGATAGTATGGTACATCTAAGCCTCAATTTCCCATGTGCAAGTACCTTTTCTCTACTTACTTATAACTCTGCTATCTGTCAGTTTCACTGGTGGAGATACTGGCATTGCAATTTCAAAGAAGGCAGGGATGATTCCTCTGCAAATGGAGTTGGGAGGAAAAGATGCCTGCATTGTACTTGAAGATGCTGACCTGGATTTGGTTGCTGCAAACATCATAAAAGGAGGTTTTTCATACAGGTGAATGGCGTATCTGAATTAGTGCTTCTGGGGCACCTTTTATACTTTGATTTGATAGAATGCCAGTATTGAGACAGATATCCTTCTCCACACCTAGCATGCATTGTGAGATATTGCTGCTTATATCAGACTAATTTACAATATAAAATGAATGTTGCATTGTCAGAATTCACATGGAACTAGAAACTATATGCATATACTTCCAATTCGGCTTCATGTGCTTCTTTTGTGATGGATAATGGGCTAATTGTAAAATTGTAATCCAGATATAATGTCTGAAAAGATAACACTACTGTTAAGGAATATGTCCACATACCTGAATCATTATTGTTCATTGTTTTTACAATAAAAGTGGTCAGAGGTGCACTGCTGTTAAGGTTGTCCTGGTAATGGAGTCTGTTGCTGATGCTTTGGTTGAGAAGGTTAATGCTAAGGTGGCAAAATTAAGTGTTGGGCCACCAGAGAATAACTGTGATATCACTCCAGTCGTGTCAGAATCATCAGCCAATTTCATTGAAGGCCTTGTAATGGATGCTAAGGAGAAAGGAGCAACATTCTGCCAAGAGTACAAAAGAGAAGGGAATCTCATTTGGCCTTTGTTACTGGATAATGTAAGGCCAGACATGAGAATTGCATGGGAAGAGCCATTTGGACCAGTTTTGCCTGTAATTAGGATCAATTCTGTTGAAGAAGGGATCCATCATTGTAATGCTAGCAACTTTGGACTTCAGGTAAAATTATAGCCCTCTGGCTTGAACATTCATGTTATTGGCTCTTCTAAAGTGAAAAAGTGCTCTAAATTTAGCTGCTCTAAAGTGATGATGAAGAACAATTAACATTGATATTTTTTAATCAATGAACATCAATAAGATGTTTTATTCCAATGATAGATTTGTCATTTGTGAGTGTGCAAGTAATTTGTCTCAACACATTGAATTTGTGCAGGGATGTGTCTTCACAAAGGATGTAAACAAAGCAATAATGATCAGTGATGCAATGGAAACGGGAACAGTTCAGATAAATTCTGCCCCTGCTCGCGGGCCAGATCATTTTCCCTTTCAGGTAAAAAAAAACCAATCAAATCATATTGTTCCACAATTGCTATTTCCAAAAATTGGGAAAGAACCAAAACCATGTACTACATTAACGAAAGTGTTTTTAAATCTTGATTTTATTCCTATGAATCTTCCTAATCATTAAATATGTTTATATTTTTGAAACAATAAATACACACACTTTTTCATGTAATACGTATTTTATAAACTAAGAGAAAAATTATTAGAAAGATATAGCAAAACTCAATTAACAAATATTTTTCTGACAGGGTATAAAGGACAGTGGAATTGGATCTCAAGGGATTACCAACAGCATAAACATGATGACCAAGGTCAAAACGACTGTGATCAATTTACCCAGCCCTTCTTATACCATGGGCTAGTAGTATTATAGTTAGAAACGTGCATGGGAAAAAATCAGATTACAACCATTTCCATAAATCGTAGCGAGATTACAAACAGTGTGTTTAGAGATTGCGTTATCTTTTGCAGCTGCAAGTCAGAAAGATAAATAACGAGTGTGATAGATCTGTCACGTAGCTATTTCATGTGTCTACATATCGTATTGATATTTAGCATGATATGAATCTAAATTTTATCTTGTACCTTGTCAATAAGTTAGGAATATGGGTTCCATTTAAGTTGAATGTCAAATCCAAGAAAAAAGGGAAAAAATATATTGGCTTGTCTGTTTCCAATTTGTCCTCAAACATTTTATACGAACATTTTTTCCCACGTCTGTTAAGCACACACCATGTAAGCGCAATTGTTTTTTATTCATGTCTGTTTGGTATATGGAACCGAATATATAAATAAGGTTTAAAATTAAAATTGAAATTATAAACAATTTTTTAATTAACAGCATAATTATAATTAAATTAAAGTTAACCTCACTTAGTAAAATAAGATTTGGTTATTATTGTTGTTGACATTTAAATTTTTTTTTAGAATTGAAACCACAATTTCAAGATTAATTTTATGTAATTGTGATACCACTTTAGTTAGCAATTCTCAAATCTTAATCCTTTTAATTACAGTTTTTAAAAACTATATATGACCTTGGGTAAATGAATAGTGTGATAGCAAGTTAAATATTGGAAAATAATAAATATGATAGATAATGACTTTAAAATTTTAAAAAATATTAATGCTATAGTTAAAACTTAAAATGACAAAGATAAAATTCATATGACAAGTTTTTTTAAACAAGTCCTTTTACATGTAATATAAATTATTTGGTGAACCGAAAAATAAAACAAGCATTCATTGTTTGATACATACACTTTGATTAAAACAACAGTAAAAGATATATAATATACTCTCATACACAAACCTAAATTCTTAAAATTATCTAGATTGAGAAACAAAACATAAGTATATTAACATTGGAGATTGAAAATTTTGGAATATAATTAAAAAGAAAGAATTTAATAATATTTTTCTAATATTTATTTAAAGTGTATCACTTAATATTATTTTTTATTTTATTCACCTCAGTTTTTAAGATTTAATTTGAGTAGTGAAAATGAAAAGACTAGGATGATTGTAGGAAAGAAAATACAAGAGACACGCGTCCCCACTAAATGAATGTTTGGCATTTTCTACTCTTAGTTTTGTAATATAATATTTGGTCAACGAATAAAGTTGTAAGCTTTATTAACATTGTAATTTTCAAATGAAACAAAATTCCAAGGGTTAGCCTAGTTTATTAGGAAAGCTCACAATACAGCTATAGTTTATGGAACAAATTAAAGAGGCCCCTATAAGTATTAACTAGAAAGGAAACAAGTACCCTTTGAGTGATTAAAAACAAAACGCATGCAATAAATATAAAAAGTTTCTTAAATTGTTTAGGGATTTCCATAGCATATAATATATATTTTTTGTTAGTAAGTGGGTATTGAGGTGTAAAGAGAGTCGTATCATCTGAAGGGAATTGGGGATGTGATTGCTACAGGACAAGGACATATAGCTACATCAGTAAAGCTTTATTCATCTCTAGTCTATGCAAAATTTCATGCCACGAATTCTCTCCTGATTTCAAGATTTCTGTTGTCTCTCTTTTAGATTTCATTCCATGAATCATGGGTTCAATCATTGTCCCAGCGTTTAATGACACAAGTTGAGTATACACCAGCATCTTCTTCTTCTTCTTCTTCTTATCTGATCATGTCGAATGCCAGGATTTGATTCAATTGAAATTCCAAGTTACATTGAAGTGAAGTTTATATAGTATGCATTTTTAATGACATCACCTCGTGACCATAGTTGCTTTCAATTGACATTTTGTTCACCCAAAAAACAAAAATCATGATTTGAATCTAGAGATTAGATTCTTATATATCCATTTGTTAGACCCCAAGTGTTCGTACTTTATAAAGGGTTAATGATCATCATGCATTATTAATTTTATAAATTGCACCTTATTAATGGTCATGTATGTATTAATACGTAGGCACACGCAAAATATAAAAATAAACATCAAAATTATTAGTTGCATTAACATTATTATTCACGTGACAAGAACATGCTCTCTGTTTCATACTAACATGACAAGATATTTTTAAAGAAAATGCTAAAGTGAAAGTTTTGAAATTGTGTAATAAAATTAGTATAATAATCCTATTTATATTTGCATATTAATAACATCATGCTGCGCCATATCCCATGGTACACGTGGTGAAGCACTGGGTGAGTTAAATGGATAAATAGGAAGAGCATGCGTAGTTATTGGAATGGACAGGTGCTGACTGCTGAAAAAGCTTCCAACAAATCGCATAAACTTTTAAAATTATTTTAGTGATAATTAATAATATTTTTTAAAAAATATGAGTTCACTGTTATTTTTTTAGAAAACTAAATATTATAAAAAGCCCATTACTAGAAACAATTAGATGAAAATAAAATAGAGAAAGAGAAGTGAAAACCGTACGATGACGCATTATGATTATTACTGCTTTGTTTAAGGTTATAAAATCTTCTTATTTCTATTATAGCTTTCGTTGTGTTATGTAACCCGTGATTGCATTAAGACTTGTATCAGTAATAATGCATTTGTGCAAGAAATTAAATAATTACTTATTGTGTTATATGCATTTGTAACTTTTATTGTAAAGTTAGTATTAATTACTTTATCATAAGAATTTAAATCAGAAGTTAAAAAAACTCTCACTACTGCTTTAGTGTATTAATAAATGTTAACACTATAAAAAGCATAAAGAAAATAAAAATATATTGAGTTTTAATTAAAAGCTACACTTGGCGTGAGTCATCCAGCTGTGAGAGGCTCGTGGAGAAGCTTGGACGGTTTTAAAAGAATAAAAAATGGGAAGAAATTAATCTTTGGTGTTGAGGTATTTAATGGGCTCTTCCACTACTCATCTTCTTAAAACTTGAAACTTGAAAAAATCTAATTAACTTCCATCATGCAGCCTTGTAGCAGAGAAATGCAAGGCCTTAACAACACTATTTTCAACTCTCAGATCCAATTCGACCCTTCTTCCAACGAAGATTTCCTCAAACAAATGCTCTCCAACGTTCCTTCTTCGTCATGGACCCTCGACCCTATCCCCAAGCCCTTATGGGACGCCAATTCCGATGAAACCACACCTGATAATGTCGTTTACCCCTACGACGAACACGCCAACTTGACCTCCAAGTTTCGGAACCAACAGATCACTGAAACCAAGGCTTCCGCTCTCATGCTCCACCACCACCTTCTCATGTCTTCCAATTCCTCCCTCTTCCCTATCCCCTCGCCCAACGACGCCGTTCAACCCTCCTCCTTCAAATCCCCTACTTCCGTGAGCCCACTGCACATACACTGCTACTTTCTCATGCCATTAATGTAATTTCACGTTTCATTTTTATGTCGCAGGCTGGTGAGGGTTCCATTCAAGCTCTCTACAACGGCTTTTCTGGATCTCTCCAAGGCACACCACATCCCTCTTCTAACCAAACTCAGCATTTTCAACACCCTCAGGTTTTTATTGTTTAATATTTTTTTATTAATAAAAAAATAATTGCTGATTCTGATTTTTCACGAATGAAAGGGGCAGAGTTTTGGAGCTTCGGGTTCAGGTGGGGGTGCTACCCCGGGTCAGCCGAAGCAGAGGGTTAGGGCTAGGAGAGGTCAAGCCACGGACCCACACAGCATCGCCGAGAGGGTACGTTTCTTTGACTTTTTTCCGTCAAATACGCGTTTGGATGCCGGGAAAATACAGCCCAGTAGTTTCAGGGTTCATTATACTCCTTTTCTAAGCGTACGTTTTTCAGAGAATAATAATGCCATCGTCAGTGACTCACACTGTCCTGTTTTTAGTTTTTTATAAAATTGAAAACAGAAAGTGAGAACGCCGTAATAGGACGTTTGATTTGATGGGAATTATATTGTGTGTGGCAGTTACGGAGGGAGAGAATCGCAGAGAGAATGAAAGCCTTGCAGGAACTGGTTCCCAATGCCAACAAGGTAACCCCATTTAACATTACTCCAATCGATGTTCGATTATCTTTTCTCTCATGAATTAACTGGAGTAAATTTTAGTCATATTTACTTACTATATAGTTTTGAAAATTAAACTTATTACTATATATTGTTCGTAACTCACTTTCCAACGCTCTAGTGTAGCGGCAATTCCCATTCCGTGCGTTTACATTCCAATTATAACGTTCCGTGCGTACTTGAAATGTGAAGCTGGAAAGCACTGAGGTTTTGTCCTTTGAACAAAAGTGGGCTTTGTAGAATTGTTGTTATGTGTGATGAATAATGAGGGGGCAGTTTAGTCACAGTACATGAAAATTCCATGATATAATATACTGCATCATATACATAGTGTAATGGGTCAATTCCTTGTTAAAATTTGTGCTTGGTTTATGGGATGACAGACAGACAAAGCCTCCATGCTGGATGAGATCATCGATTATGTGAAGTTCCTACAGCTCCAAGTCAAGGTCTGCTTCCCCTCTGTTTCCACAAATTTTTTAAGAAATAAAAATATGAACAGAAATGCTATTATAATCATTCATTTGCTAATCTAAATTTTTATGGTAAAAACTCGTATACCGAAAAAAAGGAAACTAGGAACATAAAATTCCGGTGGCTATCTCTATCTCTGACTTTTGTTTTAAAACAAAAATTGTCGTTGCCTGCACAATTGGATTACAGGTTTTAAGCATGAGCAGATTGGGCGGTGCAGCGGCTGTCGCCCCCCTTGTTGCTGACATGCCCTCTGAGGTAAATTCCCAAATATTTTACCACTTTAATTCCATATCTATCCCAAAAAATTATAGCCAAGGAGAAAAACGATTATAGAAGGTGAAGTTGAGGTTTTATTTCCGTCAAATTATGAAAACAAAAGGCAGTTTCCCTTCCTTCACGTGGAATATTTACCCTTCTCAACCCAAAACATGAGTAGGACATATTTTCAAAAATGATTTTATTAATTTTGGCCATTGATATTAAGTTTAAGTATTTGAAAAAAATAAATTATTTTTGTTTGTTTAGAGGTAATTTTAAAAATTGAGGTTAAAAAAAACATGTGAGAATTTCCATAAGGAGAAAAAAAATAAAAGGGAATACAAGGGCACAGCATCCATCAAACATTGTCGGGGTGACTAGTCTTCTCGCACGGTCACCCCTACTTTTCTGTTGGCTTTGGCTTATATCAATCAATCCATTCTGAAATTCTCAATCACCACAAAACGACAATCCAAAAGCAGCACGCGTGGCCACTTTCTCAGATTCCTCTCTTTCTCTATCTAACACAGTCACGTGGTGTATGCAGGGAGGCGGTGACTGCGTTCAAGGCAAAGGCAACGGCAACGGTGCGACTCAGGCTCATCCCCGGAACTCAAACGGCAACCAAACGTGCTCAAACGACAGCCTGACCATGACGGAGCAACAGGTGGCAAAGCTCATGGAGGAAGACATGGGCTCCGCCATGCAGTACCTTCAAGGCAAAGGTCTCTGCCTCATGCCCATTTCTCTCGCCACCGCCATCTCCACGGCCACGTGTCACACCAGGAACCCGTTGATCAACCCTGATGGCCCTTCCTCTCCCGGCATCTCCGCGTTGACCGTCCAGTCCGCTGCTGTCGTCAAAGACGCAGCCTCCGTTTCGAAGTCGTGATGACGCCGTTTCATTCACCTTTTCTGTCAACTACACAAAACGACGTAACTGACGGAAGACTGAAGAGCCTTAACCCAGACAGTGACGTGGATTTTCTAAAGTCTAGGAAAATAGGACGTCACTAACACGGCGTGGACTGTGACGACGTCGTATTTACCTATACTTTGACAGACGCTAACTTTGATGTTTCAACCATCCTATCACAACTCTATCAATTTAGGAATTTCCTATTCCTATTCCCTATTCCCTATTCCCTATTCCTTTTTTTCCCTTGTCTCCATTTTCCTTCTTGCAATGGTTAATCTTTTTATGTTACCTTTTCTTTTCTTCTTCCCTTCAACATTTTAAGTATGTCTGTATTTTTATTTTTTTTTCGTTTACCATACTACTTTTGTGTGCTTATTATTATATTATTATTTTCAGTCAACCTAATTATCCTTTAATAATTGGGGAATAATCAGGGATCGAACGAACTTCTTTTTCAAAAGTATTGGCAGTTTTAATCACTACTCTATTATTATACTTCAACGCTGTGAAATGAAGGATAGATTCTTTTAAATATGCATTTTATTTATACATCTTTTTACATAATCGAAAGCTAATTGCTTCGTGTTTTGGGATTCAGATTTTGGTAATTGGATTCTTTGGCAAGAGAACGAATCAAAAGGTGGCCACGTCGCGAATTAGGTTTATATCAATTGTTAACCGGCTATCATACTTTTTATTAAGTCGATTGCCGTAGTGAGCATTATATGAGAGTACAAAACTACAAATCCAATATTTTATTATCATCATTGAATTTACTAGATTACTAGACTTGACCTTTTTCTTAAAGTAAAATAACTTTAAACGTTTAATCCAACTAAAACCTTGGTGTGAATATATGTTTATAAAAAATGTTGAGGTAGAATAAAGTAGAAATTGTTAATTAGATAGGAGTGTGTGTAGAATAATACAGACGTGGGGGGAGTGGTGGGTATTTAGTCAAGAGACCTAAAAACGCTAATTAATTTAACATGAAACGAATGTTAGAATAAAATTACTAGTCAATTGCAATATTTTGATATCTTAAGAGCCTGTTTAGTTGCGTGATGGTGCTTATTAACTTAGTGCATCATTTCCTTAATTTCATGAGTTGCACTTGATCATTGGAGGATTGATCAACCAATGAAATTGTAGGTTGGTAATGCCAGAAATGCAGGTCTAAATCACCCCTCATTTATTTTATTTTAGTAACAAGTTGACCTTATTTCCCCGCGCTTTGCGGACACTATTTTTATAGAAATTGTAGGTTGAATATTTTTATATTATGTTTTATCTTTTTTCATCAATTTAAACATAATGAAAGAAAACAAAAGGTTTGTTAAAGTAAAAAGGAGAAATTGGTTTGAGGCCTATCTATCGAATTGTAATTCACAATTTTCGTTTTAACTTTCCTATGCGTAGTACAAAAAGATAGAGTAATGTGGAGGGTGTGTGTATGAAATTACTCAAATAAGAACAGCAGTTACATTCACTCAATGAAATGACAAGGTACAGCTTTCTATTAAAAATGTACAATTGGTTTGACTAGTACATTGAAGATGGTGATCATCTGTTATATTTAATGATAAGGGGTTTGATATATAGAGAGAGAGATAATATAATAAAAATGTAATGAAGCTGAGACTTTGATAGTGGGCAACAACTAATAATCGGGTCCAGCGGAGCATTGGAGTTGGGCTTATCTACATATTTCTTTTTATGTTATAAAAAGAATGAGAGAAAAGTGATAAATATAATAAATTATGTCATGTGATCAAATAAATACATAAATATATTAAATGAGTAATAATGCTGTTTTTACAATTTTTTAATATAAAAATACACGTGTTTATATTTTAAATAAGAATTGGGAGAAAAATGATATATAATAAGTGACATCATTCTTACTCCCTGTGCCAATTGGATCCAAATTTTATGCAATAAATAAATAAAAACGATGAAAATTCGGATCCAAGTTTGATTTAGTCATTTAACGCTAAATTTAAGCCAACAAAGTTAAGCTTTGTATTTTCAAATATGAATAAACTTTCGATAATCATGCACTGCATACTCCCTTGCAGTTATATTCTTACTTAACAACTTTTTCTTTATTTTTTTATTTTAAAAAATGTAAATCATTAAAAAGCTAACCATATAAAAGTGGATATTGCTATATAAAGAAAAGTAGTGTGAACTTCAAAAAAGACTGGAAACATTTTAGTCCAAAGTTAGCTTTAGATATGTTTAGAAGAGACTTTTTACTTATATTTCATTTATACTAATTAATATATTAAGTTTATGGTAATCTTATTTTATATTTTGAAAATATATTAATTTAAATTATATATTTAAAATAAAAAAAATTTCCTCCCCTCTTTCTTTTTCTCTTTAAAATCTCCTTTCCAAACACCACCTTAAAAGTACACCTTACCATTATCTAAAGTACTAATTTGCAGTTCTCGTAGAATCATAAAAGAGAAGTTCTCGTATATACTTCAAGGTTAGCTTTAAGTGAAGAGACAACTGCTTTTGGTGTCTACGATCTGTGTTCAACATCATCATCTTCTAACTCTCATACCTAATTCCTTATTGGCAGGGCAACCCTGGATAATCCAGTTTAAGTAAAATTCTAGATAGATCCTTATAAGAAAAAATAATATAAATAATAAATGAAACTTTTTACATAAATTAAAAGCAACTTATGTTTTTAAGTTTTAGAAAAATTAAATGAGAAAACTTCTAACAGTTTTAAAAAAACATATGAATACTTATATAAGAAATTTAATTTATTCTACTACTTAATTTTTTACTCTTATAAGTAATTATTGATAAATTTATTTAAACTGAGCCTAAATCACAAAAAATGTGTCAATTGTTAGATTGATGATGGGAGAAATACACAAGTCCACAGATTTTTTATGCGTAGGATGAATTTGAGAATTGGATGTCTTAAAGAAAGAAAAGGTACCAAAAAAAAAAAAAAACCAGAACAAGGAAATGTTTGAAAAGAAACAGTTGTAAATTTCAAGGGAATGCACAAATTCGAGCCAAATCCAAATAATTGTAGCAATAATGGAATTTTTAGTTTCAGCCACGACTGAATTATTTGCTACATGGCCTGGGAATGACAGTGAATTCATATGAACCCAAAAAACTATATATAGGCATAGCTAAATGTGTTCATGAACCATCATAGCATTAAATCATCAACCAGGATTTTAAGGCCCGCCATTAACCTTTTTCAAGCAGATTAGTTAGTTAATGCATAAATGAGTTTCAACTATTATGTTGTTTAAAAGTGAAACAACAGAACTGAATGAAGTCCATGATTTCTTCAAAGATGTAATATCCTTATATGATCTTTTCATATCAAAATTTCTTTATTAAGAGTTTTCTGCGCTTCCTTGAACGGTATGGGTTGATCATGTGGTCACATCTTTTTTATAAACAAAGTATTTATTAAGAAAGAAATGAGATATAAAAATGCAAGAACATAAGAAATCCTCAAAAAGCTATTAATCCATATAAGATTATTTTAAATTCAACATTGCCTCCTTTTTATTAAATACTAAAGAATGTTTGACCAAACTAAAAATAAATACAAACAACTACTACATTCATATGAACCATGTGATTAAAGCCTCAAAACAGGATATTTAGGGTCACCATATACAATATCAAGCATATATGTTAGTAAATGCAGTAAGTGACTTTGAACTATGTTGCTAAAACGAATAACCTGATGTGTCATTTCAATTCCTTTCGAATAATGCATAGATTCCCAATATTTGGTAGCCACGAGACTTTACAACACAAACCGTGCAGAGTTGAGGAAACTATAAAATTGTGGAAGTGTGTACTATTACATTATGAATAGTCAAAGTCTTGAGAGTTGAAGCAACAAATACATGCCGTCAGGTCCAAACCAATAATTATAGTCCTAGCAACAAGAGCTAAACCATCGCTCAAGAACCAAAAATACTGCAAAACATGAAAACCATTCAAGAACTTCATTCCACATCCACTCATAGAAAAACCATCATGTGATGTTCCATCTTCGACAGGGGCCAAGACAATCTTCCTAGTTTACACCCCTGCCAACATGAATAAACTCAACCTAATGAGGGTATTCTCCACTCAAGTGCACTTGACACTTAGACTTATAGATGTAACCCCTAGAGACAGATATTCTAATTGTTGTTTGAATTCAAAATAAAAATCATTCAACCAAACATCGACAGTTAGAATTCAACGTAGACAGATAGAGTGACTAACACTAAACACAAATATTTTTTATGTATAGAAATCCTTTACCACACCATGAATGTACAGGAAAAATAAAAATAAAAATCATGCACAACGTATCAGGGAAATGAGCATGACCAACTACCACTACTAGATGAACAGTTGATAAAAATTAAGCATTGGGTTTGAAAGTGTAAGGCTGTGGGAGCAACAACGGACCTCTCCTGGACCCTTTATCATCCAAAAGTCTCTGAACCCTCTTGTTCTGACAGTATTGCCTATCGAAGTGCTTCACCTGGCATAAGATTAGCATACCCAATTGAGAAAAGCATCAATTTTTACAACTACAGGATGAAGATTGAAGAACCAGAAGAAAGGGTCATCGTGTTACCCAAGAAGATCGACATTGTTTGACATATTCATCCCTACACCGCTTGCATTCTACTGGGTATAACAAGCCCACCGATGCAATCTCTGTGGGCTTCTTATCAGATTCCTTCTCGAGGCACGCGTAGAAAGCATCACGAGCCTTGCTCAAAAGCCCATCAACAATTCAACATACATACAAAAGAGAGAGAGAGAGAGAGAAGGAAAAAATCACAGAAACGCATTTACGTGAAAGGAGAGTAAGAGACCTTGTAGCAAGCTTCCCTAGCTTTTGTGAGGACATCGTGGTGAATTTTGTCAGGGTTTCCCACTGCGTAAGCTTCCAGAGCCATGAGAGAGAGAGAGAGAGAGACTGCGTATGAAGAAGGAACAACGAAGTTGCAATCCTAGCATGTATGGACTCATCAATACTGGGCTGGGCTTTAAGATTCAGCCCTAAAGATAATGTTATGTAGCCATGAGAACAGAGATGGGCTAGCCCAAGACTTTGAGCAGACCACCCCGTGGTGTTGAACAAAACTTCGTAAATAAAAGGTTGTATTTTTGGACAAAATAAAAGGATTGTATTTTTGGGACTACACTGCTTAAAGTATGTACCGGATAGGAACAACTCGGTCCTAATTACAGGGAAAGAAAATCGAGTACTTATTCGGCCTAGTTTGGCCGGATAACCTTTGTCAAGATTAAAAGGTAATTAACTCAATTAAAGATAATAATTAAGATATTATTTACTTTAAATAAAAGGCTAAAAATTAAGACTGGCTTAACAGATCCATTAGCCCATTATAGTGCCTATATAAGGAAAGTAAAAATATAGATAAAGAGTTGAGTTTTTATTATAAAAATAGCATTTATTGTTCAGAATCGAATCCTAACTTCAGCATTAGAGTGCCTTTTGCAAATACCCTCTCCTCGTTAGCGACAATCAGAGAAACGTCATCACAGCATATCAAAGACTTGAAGACCAGTGTTATCCTAGCAGAAACAAAGTATAAGGGATGCTCAGACCAAAAACCAAAAGTATAAGGGATGCATCTTAGGCTGTAAAGTACCAACTTACAATAATTGATTAAAAAAAAGAATCTTCCTAATCCCTTCAAAATTAATGAATAAAAAACTATTAAAATACTGATTAAAAGTTCATTAAAAATAAAATTAAGAATACATTATTAATACTTTTAATAATTTTTTTATTTTAATTCCTTAACTAGTGTCTTTAAAAATTTAGTTAGTTTTTTTTATTAAAAGCTAATAAAATAGAGTTTAATAATTTCATGAATTATATATGCATAGTGTTTTTTTTTCTTTTTTTGGATATCTCAACTTTGATTTTTTAATTAACATTTAGAATTCTTTACTTTTTCCTTTAAAATGTATGCCTCACTTTAAAAGTACCACATCTCATTTTTTTACCTTGGTTTTAGTAATATTGTATAAGGGTGTGTTATTTTCACTAGACATATTGGAGCTGTATTATACACCCTCCCTGTATTAAATTTTTAAACATTGTTGCAACTGATTGTCGAATAGAGTCTTTCCTAGCAATTGTCTTTATCAGAATTTGATGAAATAGTTTCTTTAATAAATACTAGTATTTGTTAAGAGATTAAAAAAAATGTTCAGTAAAAAATACAACTTTCAATACTTAGAAACTTAAAAGGTTTTGTTTTTTATTCTATACTTTTTTCTTTTGAATGGTTAACAAGTATTAATATTTGTATCGGATTTTATTTTTAATTGATATTTTTTAAAATAATAACAAAGCATTATCATTTTTATAATCTTTTGCTTGTTTAACATTTTAATGAAAACATGAAAACAATGCAATAAATTAATATGATATTTTTATAGTTATTAACAAAAATATATAATTGAAAAAAAAACAAATACTTTTTAAGTGACTTAAATTCCCCATCATCTCATAAAAGTATGAAAGTCTAATAGTGCACTGGAAAAAGATTTTAAAAAAAGGACACAAATTAACCTTGAAATAGTATCTGCCATCTGTGTTTGTCCACCAATCGACACACTTCATATATGGCTTCTCTCTCATAAAAAGTGACGATGGAATTTTTCATTCAAAATCAGAATTGGGGAGTTGACTTCGTACCTCACATTTGTATAACTTTTTTTTCCATTTCAAAGTGTATGGATTTAGCACTCAGCGATCAACTATTATTAAAATGAAAACCACGTCCTTTCTTTAAGATACATTCTTATTATATTGGTCAATTTTTTTCTTTCTCTCTTTTGTCTATCATATCCTTAAAGCAGGCGTGCACTTATCTTTATCCATGATAAACATATGAATGGACAATGGCACATTATTTTAGGGTTAGAAGTGTGATTACGTACGTGATCCTGGACATGGGCAAGCACGTTGAGCAAATATTTGTGGCGTATAATATTTGATTTTGTAGTACCATGTACCCAGTCTTCTATAGTCCTTCAACATTGATGCATTCTCAAAGAGGGTCTGTTTCCTTCCAAAGAGGGCATGTCTGCCACATTGATACCGTAATCAAATATGTCAAAGACTCAGTGCTTGGATCCTATTTTATGACCAAAGTCAAGTGGTGCACATTAGCCAAATGTGAGGAAGTTGACACAATAGACAATTCTATAAGTTGACTAAACCACGACTTTCTCATTCGAGAGATAAGTTAGTGGAGAGGATAATGGTACTCGATGTTATTAAACAAGGAAAAAATAAAATTAAAGTGGACATCCATTAAGTAATAAAAAATTATATTAAGAATCATAATAAATCTACATAATAACATTTTTAATATAAAAATTTCTTTTATTTCTTTTAAAGTGTTTTTAGAATACCAAAAAGTAATGTATAAGTTGCATTTGTTGCTGGATTTTATTCCTGACATAAAAGGTTAGTCAATGTCATATTAATATTGTTAATATTCATGAATAGTTATAAATTTAAGACAATAAATACACGCTTTTTATTTAATAATTATTTTATAAATTAAAAGAATATAACGAAATTTACATTCCATGTTTTGTATGAAAATTGCTTTGATGTAAAGGTGGTTTAGTGGGTTGACTCTTCGTTTCCCACCAACTCACTTTAAAAATTGTTGATTCATTTTTTAAAATTTAAATTAAAAAGTCAACTCATTTTATTTTATATTGCATTGTTGAGATAAGTCACTTAAATGAATGAGATGAGAAGTGAGAGTGTTAATGAATAAAAATAATAATAATAATTAATTTTAAATTAAGATTTGTCTGTATATATATATATATATAGTGCGTATCCATTGTTTAGTACATTCAAGTAAATTTTTAAAAATGATAAAAATATGTGTGACCTTAATTAAAATAGTATTTGAAATAGAAAATTATTTAAAGTATAAAGAAGATATTCACAATCAACTGGTAATAATTTAAAAAAAAAAAAATTGAGGGGGTAAATTGCTAAAATATACACAAAAGATAACTGTTGGCAGAAAAACAATAATTTAAAGTAATCTTTTTCACAATATATGTGTCTAAGATACAAAAAAAATATTAACATAAAAAAGAAATATAAAAGTCATTTTCAAATCATAGATGTTTTGAATTTCACCTAAGTGCCTCTCATTGTCCTTTTTTGGTATAAAAAAAGATATCGTTTTCAAAACAGAAGTCTAGATCATGTTATATTAATTCTTTCAACAGAATTTGATCATCATATACATTTTTTTACTTAAATATATATATATATATATATATATATATATATATATATATATATATATATATATATATATACATCCTAAACCAATCTTAAGAGTGACTTTATTTTTGGTTGTCCGTATTATTTAGGTATAATTAGAGTGTATTTTATCATACATGGTTGTGTTTTTTCTAAATCAATATACATATGTGTGTGTGAGAGAGGGAATAATTTACAGTGTTATAAGTTATATTACTTTTGCTAATATTTAATAAACTTTTAAAATATAAATTATATTTATAAAATATTATTGTTATATATAAAATGTAATATAAATTTTAATATATATGAAATAATATTTTTTTTATTAAGCTTCATCAGTTATTTAATTTAAACAAAATTTATTCAAATAATTTAAATAAAAATAAATTAAATTACAATAATATAAATTATATTATTAAATAATATAAAAATATCTGTAAATTTTTTTATTTAAATAATATATAGTTATACTTAAATAATTAATTCAATAAAAACTATAATTTATATAATTTTTTATAATATAAAAGTTGATATAATTCATAAAAATACTATTTTAATTTCAATTCTAAAATTATTAAAATGATATTCATTCTAATTTTGTATGTTATTGGATGACAATCATTTTAGTTTTTGAAAATATAAAAAAATAATTAAAATAAGTTAAAGATTAGTCAACTACTAGTTATACTTTTTGGCACCATTTTGATATATACATATATATATATATATATATATATATAATATAATTATTATTCTCACTGTTTTTTAAAATTTTATGTAAATAAATATAAAATAAATTTTATATCAAAAGATATCAAAAATATTTTATTAAATATAAATTACTATTAAAATACCGTTTTCAAAATAAAATAACAACAGTATTACTCAAGATTATAACTCACCGATTCCTCAAATGCACACGTTATTTATCAGTTCTAATGAATACAGCTTATTCTACCATTTTTCTATATTAAATTTGAAAATTTTCTCTATCCATTCTCACATTTGACTTTTATCACTACAAATTTAAGTAGAACTATTAAAGTGTGTGATTATCTAAAATTAAAATGAGTTTCACACAAGAAAAAAATAGTTTGTTTGTTTTTATTTTTAAAAATAGTTTTTTTAAATAAAAATATACTTTATTTTTTTATTTTTTTAAAATTGAAAACAAACATGCTTTTAATATCTGGAATTTTAGTGATCAAATAAGTTTGACTCTAAAAAAATAATTTTAATGTGTAATGAATGGAATTTTTGAAACGAATCATTTATGAAATAACTTTGGGCAAGAAAAATTAGTATTTAAAATTTCCGAGTTTTTTCTGAAGTTTAATTTTAGTTTATCTCCTCATTTTTTTAAAGTTTAATTTTTGACTCTTTTTTTTTTTTGTTTTATCTTTATCTCTTTTGTGAGTATTGTTTTCAAACTTTACTGTGCTAATGGATGCCGAAGTAGTTACGTAAAAGTCCAACATGTGGATAATATTTTGAACATTAGATATTAGAATTCACTAATTTAAGAGTTTTGGTCCATTGAGGAACACATCAGCATCCATTTATCCCATTTATGACACATAGATAGCATATATAGGATACCACCATTAAGTTTGGAAACAGTGGTATAAAAGGGACAAACAAAACACAAGCATAATATTAAATATATTTTTTTATATTTTTCTTTGATCAAATTTATTTTTTTAACAATGAAGTTATAAAATTTAACATTAAAAGTAAAAAAATAGCTATTAAAATGAAATTTTAATTAAAAACAAATACCACTAACTTAACTCATTGAATACGTGGTCAATGATAAATTGAAACTCAAATTTTATGTCTAGTTTGACTGCACTTATTTACCTTCGTCTATGATAACAAACGTAAAGAAAAAAGAAAAGGAAATACATCATCCAAGTGTGAATTGTTTATGTGTTGTCGTTTATGGATTGGTTATGTGCAAAAGTTGCGTAGAGTTTTGTTATAAACAACAATTTATATTCATCCATACCGTGGTTGAAGATATTCCCCACGAAAATAGTTGGAAAAAGGAGATCATAGAAAGTTGCTACCACTGTTGTTATTTGGACACAGGTCAAATATGTACACTAAGTATCCAATCCAATTTATGGTCAGGGACAAGCCTCAAGTTGAAGACTGCTTTCTTTTGTTTTTCTTTGGGGTGTTAATTGCACATAAGGTGTTAAATTTGCTTCTTGTGTCCTTGATAATTTTGACCCAAAGAGATCATGGTTAAGCAAAAGCTAAATGCATGCACTGAAGCACATAGTGGCTGATGATTAATCAAAAGAACAATAATGGGCAGACCAAATTATTGCACTTCATAATCCAATGATAAACTTTTTTCTGCCTTTTCTCCATCCCTCGTTCTCTCTATTTTTTTTTAATCAAAGAAGAAAAAGTTGAGTAATTTTAAGGAACACGACGTTTCAAAGACAAAGAGAAAAATGAGTAGAAGTGGTCGTGTGTAGTGTACTGTGATGGTGTCGCAGTCCCATCCCCAACACTCATACGACACATCGGGCCCCTTCATAATGACCGTCACAGGATTAATGAATATTTTTTTATTTTATATATTTTTAATTATTAAATACTTTTTATACTTTATAATGATAAAGATATTTTTATTTTATATTTATTTTATGAAATAATACAAAATATTTAAAAGATATATCAAACTCTATGACCAATACCACTTTTCCAATGTTGAGATCTCCAACCATCCCCAAGGACCACTCCACCACTCACAAATTAAAAATCACTCTCCACCACCACTACCTACCTTTCTATGCAATTCATTTTCTAAAGAAAAACAACGATTTTACAATTATTTTGTTTTTATGATTTAAATAAAAAAATTGATTGAATATGTGATGGGATTTAAAAATAAAAAATTATTCTAAGAACAATCCATCACATTTGTAGAAGTGATAAAGATGTATACTTAAAAAAATGCTAGTAACGTAATATTTTAAACATGCTTTTAACACAAATTTTTAAAAAATAAAATTTAATAAATATTTAATTTTTGAAAAATAATAAATGATTAATTGAGTATTATATGCATTATGACTTTGTTTAAATAAAGTTGACTTTTAAATTTCATGTAAATTCTCTCAACTTAACTAAGTTTGTTTCATGTACACCTAATTTAAAGGGGGAAAATCCAGTGAAGTAGGACATGTGTAGATATGATGTTTGTAGTGAAGGGATATAAGATTCTCGTGGTACATAAGAATTTAAAAGTTATACATAGGATACTTAAGAAATGTCAACATCGCCAGCCAATTATGTCATGCCATGTGGACTAACATCTAACTAGACAATACATATTCGGCACCTCCTTAGTGCCCTGTTCCCGTTGCCTCTGTGTCCTTAATTTGTGTCATGTGTTGTGTCCAATGTACTATTTTGTCCTCTTTGCCTCTCCTGGTCTCTTCCAGAACATGGAACCTTACAAAAAAGCACCAAAGCAAAATACCTCATCGGTTTTTATCTTCTTCCATTCACGATCATCCATCTTTCTCACTTATTCCCTTCCACCCAGATGCAGCTAACACTGTAGAGTTGCACACCAAGTCAAAAAGTTTTTTTTTTCTAAGTGAAAAAAAAATCTAAAGGGTTTTTTTTTTCTTATAATGATAAAGATTAGGTGTTGGTGGTTAGAGAAAAGGAAATGAGGGATAGAGACAGAAAGCAAGGAAGAAAGAAATTAAACAACCCTAATCTCAGTGGCTGGTTGAGTCAGTGTATGAGTGGTTGGAGTTAAGAGTGATGCACACACATATATATAACAAGGTGCAGGACAACACTTTGCCAAAAATGGGAGGTTATGAGATTTTATATCTGACTCACTCACCAGAATTCAGGAGAGAGAGAGAGAGAGAGAGAGCATTGTGAATCAACATGGATGTTTGTGATGAGAATGGTGACAAGGCTCACAAGAAATTATGCATGTTAATTGAATATTCGAAGGAGGGAACACACACTAGAGATACTGACAGAAGAGAGTGAGCACATGCTGTTGGTGATTGTATGAGGGCATACAATTGTGGGTGTGTGCTCACTTCTCTTTCTGTCAGCTTCTCATTTTCTTTTCTTTAAGTGTGTTTTCTCTCCTCATCTCTCTAACTTCCTTCTCCGTGACTATGATAATCTCATTCTCTTTTCTAACTCATGCTTCACTACTTAGTGTAATTCTTTTTTTCCATTTTTTGTTTTAAATTTCCACTCACTGTTGAGTCCCCTTTATTATGGTTGGTTCAAACTTGTCTCATCCTTCGAGCTAGTCTTCTCTCTCAGTCAATGGATGGTGTATAATTGTATAACCTTTCAAATGACTTGTATTTTATGGTCTTCTTTAATATGTTAAGTGTGCTTGTGTGACAAATAATGGAGGGCTGAAACAAGAAATAAATTTCAAGTTCAAATTTTGGTGGTAAGGGTGCACAAACTTCTATATATATTAATATGTAATTCACATATTTGCATTTTTTTTTTGCTGTTCCAGTACCGTATTCTGATCCTTATCTGTTTGAGTTTGCTCTATTTCTTTTCCCTTTTAATTCTTATAAGGTACTATTATCAGATAATAATATTATATATGTAATATCATGATTTCTGCAATTGTGATGGAGTTTCAAAGCGTGACTTTTTATGGTACTTTCCTTCATGGTGTTGGAGCACGAAATCCAAACGGAGGTCTTCAAGGTACGCCTTGATACTATTCATACTTTAACGGAAAAAAATTGTTTTTTTGGATGAAGTTTCATCAAACCCTTGTTTTTCTCTTCTTGCCTTTCTCTTCCTCTCCTTCTGCTTCTTTTCGACTATGCTGAACTTTTTTCACCCTCAAATTTGTCCACAATTGTGCACGACCCGCTTAGGTTCAGAGAAACCACGAATGGAAAATTATGGGTTTAAATTTTATGTTTTAAAGTTTTGAATTTGAAGGGTCAGAATGAGATTGCATATATCTTGGATCTGTCTCTTCGAATGCCGTTTTGTTTGTAGCCTTTGACGAGGTAAAGGAAAGCCGAAGGAGAATGCATCAGGCTTCTAAATATGGCAAGATTTGTTCTTTCCCCTCGTGTGTTGATGATATATATGCATTTGTTTTCTACTGAGGTTAAGGGAATTCAAGCTACAATCTTGAACCTTCCTTATAAAGGTTAGATTTTTCTTTTCTTCTTTATTTCTTCTAATTTTTAGTTGAGAAAACATTTCTTTTTAAGCGGTCTGTTACTTGGATTTCATCATTTATGAGTAGTGTTGTAAAATGGAATGTTCTTGAAAATTTTCAGCACAAAAGTTGGTGGGTGTTGCCAAGAACAGCGCACGAAATAACTGAAAGCACTATAATCTCAGAGGTAATTAACCATTTTTTGTATGGTATTAGTTTCAGGATTATGTCATAGATTTAATCAAGAGAGGGAAGGAAGGAGGGAGGGAGGAGAAGCAAGGTGATTGAGTGAGATGAGCTTTATCCTAGAAACTAGAAAAGTGTGTGGCATTTTTCGTTAAATATTTCAATGGCACATGCACAACATATATAGAAAAATCACTATTCATTGCATGAAAAATATGGAAATTGTTTTATTAATTTGTATCATGAATACTTGCTGCAATTAAATCATGTGGTCACACTAAAAAATGTAAACCTGAGATCTTAAATAATGCAAACTTGGAATTGAATTATATTTTGGTTAAATTTTTCACCTGAAATACTCAGTAATAGTAGTCACTTTGAACAGTCTCACAACACATACAGTTGAAAGTGAATATGATGATTTATGGCGATTCATCCTGCAAAAAATTAAAAAGTTATTATCCAAGAAATGAAGCAGGCTAGCTAGGCAGGATAAAAGTCATGTTTGCTTGGAATTTAATGGATGAATTATGTTACAGATTCCAAGTTTCTTTTTATAATTTCTTTATATTTGTTTTGTTGTTTATTCAAGTTATAGCCCACAAAGGATTTGACAATGGTAATATGAGGGAATTCTGTTCTTTAATTGTATATCAATCAAAATTGTAGTGGAAGTGTAAACGCTGATGCTTATGATCTTCTGAAGGGAGGGGAAAAGATAAAAGCACAAAAAAGGATTAAATTATATATTCATCAAAGTTCAATGCGAAACTCTTGTAAATAATCTCTTTTCTTTAGGTTGATTGCCAAGAAAAAAAAAAAAGAATGGATCAGTGGAACACTAACTATTAGCATATATAGGATGGTGGTGTTGAGAGGTGAAGCAAGTACCCCTCGGTATAATGGTAGTGTTTAGGTACCTCTTATGATGGTGACGTCATTTAACAAAGTTATGATGATAGCAGTTGGTTTATGCTTGTATGATATGCCTTAGAGTGTGAATGAAAAATGCCAGCCTAATATAAGGGAATTTAGTAAACTAGTGTCACTTAAAATTTTATGCTAATGGTAGTGAGAAGTGATTTTAGTAAAGTAGTAGTATTGCCATACAGTGCAAACTGCTTTGAACTACCAATTTGTTTCCAATGCTTAATATACATTTCTCAAGTTTTTTTTTTTTTTCTCTATTTTTGTTTCTAGATTCAACTTACACTAGCCCCTTTCTCTAATACCCTTTTGTGATAAGCTTTGTTCGGTATCTATAAATCAACAAATTCCATGCATTTGGCTTGCTCAAATATTATTGTTTATTTTAAGTGTTTGTTAGAACCTGTCTGATGTATAATTGAACATATTGAAATATGTCATTATTTCTAAGCATATAAAATTTTAAAATATTGGGTTAAAACAAGTGGGGTGTTTATGAAGAAAATTTTCTAAGCATGCTGTTAGCAAAATTACAGAGTTTCGCAAAATATCTCTTAAAATGAGGGGACCACTCTATAAGTTTTAACTATCATTATTAGTATGAAGTGTTTCTGTAATGACTTAATGCAACTTGAGAAGATTTTATTTTACAATTCTCACATTAGTTTATGATGTAATTATTAATTAGGGTTTATTATTAAGGAATTAGGGTTTAACTATTTATAAAACATTTACTATTTTATTTGAATTATAGGTTCATATCGTATTTTGTATGAGTAATTTTTTTTTTTATCTTAAGCTTGATCTGGAGCATTTGTCTTAATTTACATTTAGTATCTTAGTTGAATTTGGGTCATTTGATTATAAGCATACAAGCCATGTTATCTATCAGTCTTAAAGGTCTACTCCTAGGGGGCTGTAATATGTCTATGTGCATTACAACATCATATAAGATATGATCTCTTGAGGAAATAACTCACTATAATTAAGTTCAAAGCTTTCATTATAGAAGATAAGAAGTGCTAGCTAGGTAAGCAATTAAGCATATAGAAATAAAAGAAGAGTATCAGACTTCTATGTGAATTGCTAAGGAAAAAAAGGGGGACATTAAGTAAGTGGATCTAAAATGAATAAATTACAACGAGAAGACTAACAATTAAAACATAAAATGTACATATAAGATTTTAAACAAATGGTGCATTTTAATTTCAGGTTGGGGCTATAGCCATTTTTGTTTTGGTGTCCATGCTGTTTTAGATGTGCCTGTATGTGCTGTTAACACAACATGAGGATTCAGGCAATCTAGTATCGTTGATGATATCTTTTATACTAATAATTCCAGGATCACAATGTATAATTAGTTAATTACCAAAGAGTAGTTCTATGTAACTAAAAAATTAGTCACAATTTAGATAGATTCACAGGCAGTTGTTAGATCACACAAAGTGGTAGGGAGTACTTAATTCTTATCCACACAACAATCATTAAGCATGCTGATTTATTCTGACAAAATAGTTCAGGATAAATAGCTCTTTCCATAATGATCAAAATTAGTTCCTCTTGCACATTCATAAAAAATTGTTCCTCTTGCACAGAATTTGAATTTTGGATTGGAGAAGCCTTACCTTCTTCTAGCATTGCATTGTCATAAAAAAATGAGTTATATTATAACTTGTTTTTGCGGGAGTATTAACTGATTTGGCTTTGTTAGGATCTTCATATTTCACTTAAATACTCACTCGTTTTCAAAATTGCTTTATCTAGTAATGTTTCATGGTTGGTTTTTAACATTCAGGTCTATTGACTCATTCCTTAGGTTTAGTTGGATGAAGATACATTCATTACATTTGTGACCCATGGTGATTAGGGTTGCTTAAGTATGAGCTAAATTATATGCTCAAAAAGAAAAGGAATTAGTTGTCAATGAGCTAGCCAGTCCTAGATGCTTAAGCTATTATGTTAAAACTTATTAGCATAAAATATATTGCTAACTTAATTACTCTCTCAAAAACCTTATGGGCTTGGGACTTGGATTGTAGACAAGATCATACCAATCACTATGTTGCTTTAAAATTTACATTAGCTGAGGGAAGAGGGTTCAAAGGTTGATCTCATTACCAAATAGTTGGCTCTGATGTTATTTATTTGAAGGAACCATTCATCTCAAAAGCTTTAAATACTAAGGAAAGAATTACCAATCATTTTTGTATCTCTACTGAATAATAAAATGCTCCGCTACTAAACTTGTTCAAATGAGCCTTTTAAGACAATTTCTCATGGGTAGATTGTTACTAAAGCATATAGAGCACATTTATCAAAGGGATATAAATTGAAACAAGATGACCCAAGATAGAAACAATTCTAGAAATATCATCTGGATTTGACAAGGAATGAAGCAATAATATAAACGTCTATATATCTTACTTTAAAGTTAAATGTTTTGTTCCCTTTCCAACAAAACTGAGCAAATATTATTCTGGTGGGAAGTTATACAGGTGGTTTGTTACTATGTGCTTGAATCTAACAATGTATACTCTTGTGGTGGTTATATAGAGGAGCATAAACAATTTTTTATTAGGCTTTACATATTCCTATTTTCTTCAATTTAATTTCTGGAATGAAAAACGTTGTGAGCTTGGATTTCTTTTTGAAACATGTGTCTAAATGCCACTGCATTGAGTGTTTTTTTTTTTTTTTTTTTTTTTTTCTGTTTTATAGGCTGCAAATGAATGTTCTATTGGAAAGAGCAATTTTTTGCTTCTCAAAAATGGTGCTTTGGAATGAGTGCACAGGTGATCAAATGTGTAAACAAACATACACTTAATATGCTAAAATATACCCTATTTCAACTTATAATTGCTTGTTTCTTTTTTCTTGCAGTTATTATGCGATCAAAATGAGTTTTGAAGTCTTGTTGGCTGTTTAATTTATGCATTGCAGTTCTTTTGTTTTGAATAGTACTGCTATTGTTTGTTGTTAATGATATGTTGTAGTTATTAAGTTTCTAGAAACTATAATCTACAATGCTTCATAAACAATAGAATTTAAATTTGTAGACGTGCATTTCATTCATACATGTGATTTTTTCATCATGTTTTTTGACATTCTGTTTTGGAGGTGCACAAGGCTTTGGGTGTATATTTGCAATTTCAGTTTGTTTACTGTGTTGCTTGTGGTTTTCATAAAGGCATTTTTTATAGCACAATTCTTCTGAATTTTTCTACTTGTGCCCACATACTTGCATCGCAATAGTTTTAAGTTGCAATTCATTGTGATTAACAATCTTGCGGGAAAAATTTTTTGACAATTGCTGTTGCAATTATGATCTCACCTAGTAGGATAATGCTTGATTGTGGTTGCTGCTGCTATTACAATTATGGTCTCAATGCAACTGCTGAGACCTCAACAACTGCAAGATTGTAGCCACAATTGTGGTTGTGAACAATAATTCAAACCATTATCGAAGAAGTTTTAGTTTGTGGGCTGAAATTATTTTAATGTGATTGTGTTAAACATCTGCATTTAGGTATTCCAAGTGTGTTTGGTTTTCTACTGGAAAAGAGCCTAACGTGCATTTGTCAAGAAGTAACTACTTATTAATTGCTTTTCCGTTTACAGGCTTGGGAATTTATGCCAATGGAAATTTAAGTGTTTTGCTGCAGAATCATAATGGAAGAGTACATGTTAAGCATGATACCAAGTGGTAGGGAAAATGTTAAATCAGAAGATGCATACAAAAATGCTTCTATTCCAACTGACAATATGACAATGAGAAAAACTGGGAACTGGATTGCACAAATATGTCATAATAATAGTTTGCAGTTTTGGTTAAGATCCTTCATACCCTTGCACAGTTACATGATGCTATTATGCCTTAAGCTATCAAGTTTGGTGACTATAGTAAGATTTTCAAAGTCAATATAGTAAAAGGTTATGCTCAAGTAATCATCTTAGCTTGCATATGATGCAATAAATAAGGAGGTTCTCAGTTAGGGTTGTTGATGTGAAGAATGAACTAGACAAACCATTAATTGCTTCAGTGATTTTTTCTATAATTGTGGAAGAAAATGCACAAGTTGGTGTAGTCGTAGTGGGAGACATTGCATCGTTTTGATGACATGCAGCTGCTATCAGAATTATGGTTTTGAGCACAGCATTGGAAGTATTAGTGAAGAAAAGGCTTATCATGTTGATGATGTTATTTTATTTGACTGTGTTAGACTGACGAATAAAAATATGTCAAAGACATTCCACATGATTGACCTTGATGGAAATTAAGGTTGTATTAACTAGCAGTTGCAAAGGTGTAACTTGATTTGAAACCTGAACCAAGCATGGATGTGCTATATATTTTTATTTTTCATACTTGTCCCTCAAATAGTCTTTTCTTATAACATAACAAAATATGAATATTCTATTACAAAAGTTGGTTCATAGGATTCGTTCTTGCTATCAAGGAGATAATAATGTTGCATATAACATTATAGGTATATTTATATTGTAATTACGTATTTTGTTACACAACAAAGTTAATTTTCGTATTAAGGTTATGAAGTTTGCAGTAGCAAATATGGTTAATTCTCTAGAAACAATTCTTCCAAACTTATCAGTTAATTTGAATTTCGTTCCTCACTGCTTCTTAGAACAAAGAGAGAGAGAAGCCACGGGTGTAATTATTATTGAACTCTATGTAGCCATAGGGAAATGTATCAAACTCAGTAGCAGGCAGCACCATATAACCCTACAGTACAGTTGGGAACCACCAAATTGTCCCTTAGTTGGGACCATCTATTTTCTGATTTGTATATCATCAAATCCTCTGCACCCCAGGCATAGGTAGTAGTCACAAAGTGAATTGTCACTTGGTTGTCTTCCTGTGTATTGAAAGATAGGGAAATGTGAGAACAATTAATTATTTGTTATACTTAATCTTTTCTACAAACATTTGAGTAGCTTAATCATAAGAATTTGATCTATAAATGGGTAATATGTATAATTAAAAAAAATGCAGTCTGAGAGTTCTATAATACACGACAGAATTTTCAATTTTTCTTTCTTTATTTTAAGATGAGATGTAATATTCACAAATCAGCTCAAATTATGTCAAGAACTTAACTTGCTGTGGCACCTATCAAGCAAATTAACACAGGGAACCACCAATTAATCTTACAGCCTTCCATCAATGATGGATGTTGCTTCTAAATATGTCATTAGTATAGTCACGGCAGGTAGGTGAGGTACCCTAATCATAAGCAATAAGGAATTGAAGAACAAAACTGCAATCAATATTATCTTATACAATTCTCGGCAACAGTAGAAATTAATCATTATAACTTGCTTATATTGTAGCTTATAAGCTCTTTCGTCAGATTGACAAGACCCACAAGATGCACTTCATAGTAGGGATTGAAATCATTAATTCCTTGAGTGTGAGAACTTACTCTTCTGAAAAAGAATCTTCAACATGAACACAAACCTTTTTCGTGCTACACGCTAAATTAGCAACAACTCTAGGATTATATAATCTCTTCGTGGAAGAGGAATTAATACGCCCTTTAGTTCTCTAAATAAACGATGGCTATCATGACTTATTTTGGTATTTTGACTATGAATCCTTAAAGATAAAATTGTGAGATAAACCCTTGAATAGTTTCATGGTGATGATTAAGTAAAGTCTTAGTAAAGTAATTAAAATCGTCCTAGAGACTCGAATAACACGATTTATATATTAATCAATGATTGATGCATATTTTTGTCACAATATGTCTGCAGGTTGGCATGTGCAGTATTGAAATCATAAGAAATAAAATTGGAACAGTTTTACTGATGCAGCAGGATGGTAATAATATTTTAACACAGCAGCATAGTTTCAAGTGGTCCCTTTTTTTTTTTTCTCCTTTCCACAAGATTCTATTCTGAGATTGTGAATTTAACAAGTTCTGGAGATGCTAAGGAGATTCAGAATTTTGCAGCAGGGACAGTTCTTGACAGTGGAGAATTGTATTTATTAATGTCAGAAGAATATAATATAAAAAGCAATGTTATTATCACGACAATTTCTCGTAATAATTTTTATAGTTAAAAAAAGCATGACAAGATAAGTGATAATAGTTTAGAGAAATAAATATATAATAAATGTGTTATAAAAATTATGTAAACAAATAACATTAAACTTTAATATTAATATATTATCAGTATAAAAAATTTATGTTGTCAATTAATAAAAATATATCTTAAATGTAAATTTTAAATTAATTATTATAAAACTTAATAACTGTCACTAATATAATAATTAATAATTAGTTCATATTAACAATGTATTTTATTTAATTTCATAAAAAAATGATTCAATTAAGAAAAGAGAGTTATTTATACTCTTATTTAGTGAGGAACAGCAAGAGGAGAGGGAGAAACGAAAGATGCAATAAAAAAGAAATAATAAAAATATTGAATAAATATATGAAGAGCAAAACAGGGGTACATTATAAGATAATTCAATATACACAGCAGAACCCAAAAACAAGTCTTGCAATGACTGCTTATTATAAAGTAGAATCGCATCTACAATTTATTTAAACATGTTTTGGAAATTAGTAGGTCCCATTTTATTAAATAATGAAAATAATTAGTGTATTTATGTTAAAACTCACATAATTTTAATAAATAATAAAATATATGTAAATTATTATTAAATTGTATTATACTATTCTATAAAAATTATTTAATACTTTATTTATATACATTGTAATAAACATTTTAAAAAATGTAAATCTAAGAATAATTTAATTATTTTTTATTATACAATTTTTACAATATTTAGACAAATAAGCTACGTCATATATAAATGAATTCAATGATAAAATAAAATTTAATTTTTAAAAAAATTAATAATAATAAAAGAATGAATATACGTCACCCTAATATTTGTCGTCTCTGCTCCTAATTTAACATAAATATTTTCATTGTTATTATATTTTTCTTTTTGTCAAATTATGCATGCAGTGGTTAAAAAAATTTAATAATAATTAACTCATTTCAATTTGATATGTGAACAAAAACAACACATTCATTATTGGTCTGATTTAAATAAGTTTATGTAAAAATACTGGTAAGAAAAAAAAAAGTAAAATTCATTTATAAGTTTATATTTACTTTTATAAAAAATAATTACATTTTATAAAGTATAAATGCATAAATTAATTATAATTTATAAAAAATATTTTGTTTTATTTTATTTTATTTTCTATAGCTATTTTTAAAAAATATAAATGAGACCATTATAACAAAGCTTTTCCATTTAGAGCTAAGCCTAGCTACGTAGCTAAGTCTGATAAAGGAGCAGTGACAGTTCGCATTCAAACTCTTTTCACATTTTACCCCACACTTACGTTCAATCATTGCTCTATCAATTTTAAACTGATTAAAAAAAATCACCAAATTAACAATAAAACAGTTCCTATGTCATTATTATAAGTATTTTTCATTAGAAAAGTATTTGCTTTATTTGATGTTCTTGATCTATATTTGCCTAATGAAAAGGGCGTCTATCACAGGTATCCTGACACACACATGGATGCTTTGAAGATTTGTGAAAACCATTGAAAATTGAGCCACATTCATCGATCGTATCTAAGAAATTAATTGAATCAAATAAACGTGTTGAATGTTTTTATCCTAACTAATGTCTTATTCACAGAGATAGCTTATTTCAATCCTTTATGACAAACTCTAACGTTGGAAATTTTTATTTTTTTTTACATATAAAGATGTAATTAAAAATGTGTAACAAGACTAGATTCATATTTTAATCTAATATCGATTTAGCATACTTTAGAGTTGCAAAATTCCCTTTATGTGGATGGTCCTCCAAACCTTCACCATAGATAAAAGAGACGTGATGAAAAGGGAGGGAGGAGATAAGAGAAGAAAGGAAGTACTCAATACACACACTTTAACTTGAAACAGAGTAAATCATAGTTTGAAGCCTGAATTGACAGAACTACATACTTCCTTCCAGGTGAAACGTCCATTTCAAATAAGGCAGAGAGAGAATAGAGCCGTGAAAAACACTACTCTCTTTACGTTTTGAAAACAATTGAAAGCAATTTATTTCGGTGTTCAAGATCGATCATGCATGTCCTTGTGTATCCAACTGCTAAACTCTTATAATCAATTATAACTAGTAATCTTTTACTTATTTAAATGAAAGAATTTAAATATTTTATGAAGGTAGCTATTTTACTGTGTTCAATTATTGAAACGCAGATCCAAAAGTAATCCAACTTTTTTATGGAACATATCTTCCAATGATCTCAAGCCTAGAGTGATAACCATCGTTCCTGAACCCTGATTTTGTTTCATTTATTGACCAAGTCAATAGTCACACCAAGCTCTCACTGGTCCCCCCTCCGAATCATAATCACAGTTACTTCCAATAAAGACATGAAAAGTGGGTCTCTCGTCTTCTATTAATTATTATCTCAATTTAAGCACTTTAAGTTGTTTTGTTGCTCAAGTTAAAGAGCTTTAGATAGCTTGGTGAAACTCAATAACTCTAAAAAATTGATTTTAAAATATTAATATATTTTAATAATCTAAATGAATAGACAGCAATGAACGAAAAAAAAAGTAACTTCGAACAAAGCCAAGCCAGCATGGCCCACAAGTCCAATTACACATCAATTCACACACAAACATGACAAAATCAACCAATATACCGAATCACGAACAACTCCACTGATGATTCCGATTCTTGAGCTCTTTTCCACGCTGGGCTGAGGCAATCGCCATTTTGGGGTGACACAGATACAAAGGCATAACTAAAAAAGAGAGAGCAATACTAATTACACAACGAATCCAAACTAAACAGAAAACTCGAATTAAGTTCCTAAACAGCATAACACAACAACATAATCATCATATTCAAGCACTAGCAGGCGTTGAATTCTCAGGGGAAGTCCATAGAATATCTTTGAGAGCAGGACGAAGCTCTTTGCTACAGAACTGGTTATACTCCAAGGTGTCACCCTTGTCCTTCTTCACCTCCACCACAAGAAACGACGGCGTAACGGCGTAAATATCCGCCGCAATCGCCAACTTGCCCTTCCTCCCACGCTCCTGCCCCTGAAGCCTCACCTTGTTCTCACTGCTCTTCACATCAAACTTCACCGCCTTAGCCACCTCTTCCAACCTCGATATCACACTGCTCGCTGTCCCCGCGGTGGCGAACCTCATCTCCTCCCTCTCCTCTCTCTTCTTCTCCTCAAACAACGGTGACAAATCGAACCCTTCCGACAACGAGATTATGTGAAACGCGTTCATACTCTTTGGCCTCTCTCTTTCCAACTTCTCCTCCAACTCAAACTCCTCCTCCTCCTTCGCCCTCACCATGCTCTTCTTAAACCAAGAACACTCCATCACCTTGGATATGCTTATTCGGGTATTCGGATTCGGGTCCAGAAGCTTCGTCACGAGCCTTCTAGCTTCCAAGGAAAACCAAGGAGGACACTTGAAGTCACCCCTGTAAATCTTCTTATACATAGCCACCAAATTATCGTCCTGAAAGGGTAAAAACCCAGCAAGAAGCACGTACAGTATCACCCCACACGACCATATATCAGCCTTGGCACCGTCGTAACCCTTCTTCGCTATCACCTCAGGTGACACGTACGCCGGCGTCCCGCACGTGGTGTGCAACAACCCGTCTTGCCTCAGATGTTCAGCAAACGTGCTGAGTCCGAAGTCGGAGACTTTAAGGTTGCCGTGTTCGTCTAGAAGTAAATTCTCGGGCTTGAGGTCGCGGTGGTAAACGCCGCGGCTGTGGCAGAAATCGACGGCGGAGATTAACTGCTGGAAATACACTCTGGCCACGTCTTCCTTCAACCGGCCTTTGGAAACCTTGTTGAAGAGCTCCCCGCCACGGACGAGTTCCATGGCGATGTAGATCTTGGACTTGCTAGCCATGACTTCGTGGAGTTGAACGATGTTTGGGTGCTTGACCATCTTCATGACCGAAATCTCTCTCTTGATCTGCTCCATCATCCCAACCTTGATCACCTTCTCCTTCCCAACCACCTTCATGGCAACGTGTTTCCCCGTCTGCAGGTTCCGCGCGTGATACACCTTGGCGAATGTTCCGTGGCCCAACACGCGCCCTAGCTCGTACTTGCCGTGGAGCAAAGTGGAGTGAGGGTCGCTACTGGCTTTGTCACACATGATCACCGACAACACTATGTACTATACAATTAGTAATAACTATGTATGTGAAAGAGAAAGATGAGGGAAATGGATATGGAAGGGTTCACCCGTCTTCGACGTGTTTGCGGTGGCAGTTTCTGCCGGCGATTCTGCGCTTGGCAGAGGCACCTGCCTCAGATGGAGTGAGCCAATGCCTTCTCATCTCTATGCATTCCCCACTTAGCGGTCACACGCAGACAAAGATGTGTGTGTGTAATGTAATGGGTATTGAAGTGAATCAATAATTGTGCACAACTCAATTCGATTCCCAAATGCAGTGCAGCGCCTTCCGGTTTCGTTCCCTTTTTTCAATTTATAGCGCTTCCGGGTTGATCCCACGGTTGGTAATGTATCTACCTCATCATGGACACGTGTATGACCGTCGTTGTTCTTCATTCTAGAGCTTGTCTTTTCCTATTCGCCGACTCCACCATGCACAGGAGAATCTGCTCAAGCCCATTGGATTGGATCCATTGTATATTTCTTTTGTACTTTTCCTAATGCCTGTAACAATAACTTTTAAAATATTAAATTAATTATTTAAAATCTGAATCAAAAACATTAAATATTTAAAAATGAAAAAACATTGGTTATACTAAATTATAAAGGGTAATAATAATAATGTTTATAAGTTATTTAAATTGAACTCTAATAATGATGTTATGATATTGTTAAAATGAAAAGGTTACATTAATTGAATGCAGCAGACTTGCTCTGAAACCACACATGAAAACAGGGAAGACAGAATGCGATTGCATATAATGTGGCTGATATTATGTTACGGTGTTTGCAGGACTAGTGGGGCATACGGTGGAGCCTCCTCTTAGGACCCACACGCAAAACAATAATAATATGTGCCTGCTCCCCACATTAATATTTTTTAACATTATTAATATCTTTTTTCTTTATTTATAAAAAAATCTTAATTACTGAGATGATACATTGCAATTCGCTTCTGTATTCCTTTGTCAAGTCAATTAATGCACGTCGAAAGAGAAATAGTAAATATTTTTAAAATATAAGACACTAATCCAAGTTTAAATAACCTAAAATATAATTTAATTTCATACTTAGGATATATTAATAACCTAATCCTAAACACTTAAAAAAAACAACTTTGAGAATTCAACGTACTTGTACTTGAACAGCTAATCATTAAATTGTGGTCACGTTTTAAAGTTGCTACTGTATTCCTCATTTAGTTATAGATAGCAAATTTTGATTTTTGTTTTTAAATTATAAATGTCAAAATAAGTCTGGGGATGTTATTTGGGGCAGTGGCTGCTGCTAATAATAACATGTATTATATACATAGGACAAATAAGACACGAGCTGCTCACGTGAACAATTTCTTATTTACTCCAAAAGTTATAAAATTCAAATATCAGAAATTTGTGTATAACTTTATTTCAATGTTAAAAACAAGTTTAGCGAGGGTTTATGTAATTAAAGGTAAATAAATAAAATTAAGTAGAAGACAATTTTATGTAATTAAATGTTTTATATTTTCAATATGTTGAATAAACTAAAAATATTATAAGAATATATATATATTACTATTGTTTTCTGTGGTTATAATGTTTCCATCAATAACATAGTCAAATCCGAATGATTGGTTTCTTCTTCATTACTCAAAAGGAAAAGAACGCAAATTTTGTTCAACTTGGCTTTATATAGCTTGTTACTTTGTTTTCTCCACTGTACATATTCATTTTTAATGTATTTTAAATTTGTGAGTTCTAATTTTTTAAATGAACGCTTTTTTTAAAATATTTTGAAACAGATACTTATTTTAGAACTAGCTAAGTGATTTTTTACATTATGTATTTATTTTTTAATTTAATATTACTTTATATATAAATTTTATTAATATAATAGAATAATAATATTTATAATATTTATTTTTAAATTTTAAATTAATTATATAATACAATTATAATTAATTATTTTAAAAATAACTTAATAATACTTGAATAATTTTAAAAAAATTACTAATGCTTATATATATATATATATATATAAATTTTTTTACGTAAATTTAAAAACTCTTATATTCAATTTGAATTATTTATTTAACTTAAATCTAATTATTAGTAAAATAATAAATTATACTTTATTAAATTTGAATTAAATAAAAAATCTAAATTAAATGTAAATTTTTTTAAATTTATACTTATATAAAAAAATTTATGTATATATACTTCAATGTTAGTCTAAAACTTTTTAAATTATTTTTATCCGTACGTTCATTACTAACAATGAAAACTGACGTAATTGTCACTTGTCTTTATTATTTATTATACTGATAATATATTGTATTGTTAGTATAAATTTACAATGTTTATATTAATGATTTAAATTTTATAAGAAAATAACTTTTACTAATAATTATAAATTTGATATAAATTGTTAATAAATAGCATTTTTTTCATAATGTCACACATCAATCCTATATAACTGCATGTGCATTCCACCATGTCCACAGCAAACACGTACTAAGAAAATTACGACATTAAGATAATTAATTTGTTTTAATTATCTCTAAGACAGTGGAGCTGTTTGTATTGTAGTTATGAAGAGATGTTATCAATAATAATAATAGCATCTGTAACCAAAGTTTTCTGGACGATATGGGATCTGAAATTGTATGGGCACCGATTGAGATGCCACATTGCCATGTGAAAATGATAAACTCAACGACATCTTTGGTTGTCTTCATAGTCATCTTCTGTCCGAATAACGGTTATGTTTTTATGGTGTTTTCTTTGTTTGAGTGACCAGTCGTTGAGACTCTCCTTTCCCAGCACTTGTTATCCTCACATGCATTGCTTAGTGCAATCGCCATCTTCATTACTGTTACTTTGATTTTCGTCCTATGTACCTACCAAGAATTTAAGTTTAAAGGTTCCATGCCATAATTTACAAAGATAAAGGGTGGCCCCAATAAAAATAAAACGAAAAAAGTGATTCTTCCCATTCTAAATTTATACACATTATATATTTGGGCATATGAATATGACACTTTGGCATATGTTATTGCACATAAAGTTGTGTGCCAAAAAATTCAGAAAAAGGTTGATGCTTCTTAATTAACTATAACCGCGGAAAAGGAATGAGGTCCACATTAAAAACAATGAAAAATAAAATCCTTCAATGCTTGTTTTCTAGTTAATAATTAAGCTAACCATGATAACAAAATAATATCACTGTTAGATCTTGTAATTAACATTTATAATGGAAACTAGCTATAATAATATGATTGAACTTTATTTTTCTTTTCTTTTTTGTGAAGGAATTCAAAGTGGACAACGATGAAATCCACTAAGATGATATCGTAACCCCACCCTTTTGGACAATAATCATTGTTGTGGTATATATTTCATTTTCTCAACTGCAATATAAACATAAATTCACGTTACAAGTAATTGAATGATTTTGTTCGAAATGAGGTTATTAGAACCTGAACCCACTAAAGCTCTTTCAAAAAACAAGCGTTGCTTTTATTGATTGCAAACTTCTAATTGTGTCAAAGGGTGAAGTGTCTCATTAGTGAATAGAGGTAACATGGGATGTTTATATTACAAGAAATTGTATGAGGACCTAATGCAGTAGTTACCAAAGTCACTTGGTCCACCATGTTGGTCCCATATATGCTTACAAACTATTTGTCATGTTGACTGCATTCATCACTTTGCTGATTGATGGTCCAAATTACTAGTTGTAAAATAAAGCTTGGAGAATCATTTCCAAGCAACATCTCACTTCACAACCCCACAGAAAATAAAACAAAAAAAAGGAAACTTGGGATTCCAAAGTTGTTTTATGTTTGTTTAGCATTTAAGATCAATTTTACTCTTTATACCATATATTTTGGTATGCAACATGAGATTGAGATTAATTAAACATACATCTTAATAACCATTGTGATCCTGCATTAGGGCCAGAGTCTTAAACAGGGAAAGTCTTTACATTCTAAGAATATTTATAGAAAATTTTTGTTTATCTCACTTTAAGAAGATTGGTAAGGGCTTAAATTTATATTTATTAAAAGCAAAATCTTATCTTATTTCATAGAATTAATTTTTTTAGATAGTTTGTTGATTTTTTTTGTTTACAACTTCAAAATTATAATGTGGTAAAAATGATAAAAGATATAAAAGTTTTTGCCTGAACAAAGGTTTCAAACATGTTATAAAAATTGAGTTATAATTTTTGCAACGGTAACACAGAATAGTTTTCTTTTTGTTGCTATTTATAGTTATCACATGCTTTGAAAAAATTATAACATGTATCATTATAATTTTGATTTGATATATGAATAGACATCAAGTGAGAATGATCATAGAATTACATCCCAACCTCTTCGGCCTATTGAATTGTTCTTCATTTCTCGTGTATTTGGATTATGATACTCAATTCAACTCTTCTGGTTTAGTAAATCCAACTCTTCTGAACTCAAATGAGCAAGGTGAGTGGAATTTAGCAGTGTGTGATCTAGGTCAAGAACCAAGTAGAGCTTTTTACGACATAACAAACTCTTCATGTCTGTATCACGCAATCTTGAAATTTCCTCATCATGAAGTCTCAGTCCCTGCAAATACAATTTTTTCCACCATATTTACTAAACTATTATTTAGTTAAATTCAGTAGATTGGCTAGGTTATGTCCACCAGCTCAACCATCTTGCTAACCAAATCATAAAAATGAAAATAAGATTTCTATATAAAAGATTAGGGGATGTTATATATATCCACCACCATCAAACTCTGGTGGAGCCTATAATCTGTTGATTCAACAGCATACTTATATATGAATGCTCCAGAACAACATATTGTAATTCTTATAGGGATTTCAATATGGAGAAGTATATCCCAAATGAGTGGTGCTACAAGGTCACCACTACACCTTTGGTCAGGATAGATAACAACCATTAAACAAAGAAATAACTATTTAACATGTTACGACTTATTTCAAGTTAATCTAACAGTTATGCAGCAGCAGCAACTATACAAAACTAAACTTGTAATTCCACCAGATAACCATCTGAAACAATGTATACCTTATGTATGTACCCAAATGTCACACCAGATTCCCCATCCAACTTTTGCCCACAACGTATACACATATTTCCAAATGAGCCAGGATGCGTACATAGATCTGCCTCCATGGATGCCTCTGCAACAACTACAGGAAGGAAAAGCTACAACACTTTCAGGGCTAAAAGATAAAGCTGTATAAGTTCAACCAGTGAAATAGTTCAAGAGTGCTTTATAGATAGTAAAACTAAAAACATTATCACCCCGTTTGTTAAAAAATGGTTTTCTTGCTCTAAAATAGAAGCTGTGTATGAATAAATTCTTGATTCACACGCAACTTTACATGTGTGGGAAGGATTCTGATTCCCAGCAAAGATAAGGAGAAAAAAAATTCAAAATTACCTAAATTTTGTTCATTGATTCCTTTTGAAGTAGTCCCCTCGCTTTCCTCGACGCTTTCTAATTTACGTCTTTTAATTCTGCATTAATTCATAAATTAAAGTACAACATAGTGAAATCTGACCAAAACCATGAAGCAAGAAAAAAATCATAGCATCATCTTTCAGAATGACATCTGCAACATAAATGCACCAAAAGCATGAACCCAAAAATATCAGTCTCTCCCTCAGGTTTAGGCAAATTGGTTCACAATTCCACAGACCACCAGTAAAAATAAGTTTTCATGCAAGTATGCAACATTGGAGAAATTTAAACCAAAGCACAGATAAAGCACGCTTAATGTGAATAATTAAAAAAAAGGCATAACTAATAGTAACATACACGCAATAACATCGTTGACAGCAAAAGAAGGATGCCTTTATCTATAATATAAGCAATGGCCTAAATGTAATTAAAACCTCTCATTATGATCTTCTCTGATTTTAGAAACAAACCAATCCTAAAAACTTGTCAAATCTTGGTAATGATCCAGGATAAAAGAAAATCAAATTAAATGCAGCTAACAAGCAACTACCAAAACTATAATCAAAGTCTGAAGTTTGAATCACCATGGTTTCCTACAAAAACAAAGAGAACCGAGATATGTCCAACTAGCTATATGGATCCAATTGAACACTGTTTCACACTACCAAAAACCAAATTTTCAATAAAACCATTTATTTAAGCACCATAATACTCTTTATCAAAAGAATGTTTAGTCCTCTAAGGCTTTAAGGAATCATGATCTGATATTTCAGTTTGCATTAAATGTTAAATAAGATAAGAGTTTATCCTACTCTTCTCTTATTATGTTCCTATCCAACACTCATATTCTCTCATGTTCTATCATTTTCTATTCTATCATATCTACTGAACAGGCCCTAAACTCTAATGAATCACAATATGATACATGAACATGTCACATCACATAAAATTCAACATATTTGTAATTTGTGAAATCACAATTGGCAACAGCTTCTTAACTCATACCAAAACGCATATAAAAGTAGGGAAAAGGTAATAAAGAAGACCTTAGACTCTCAAACTCATCTTGGTTTTGAGGTTGTTTATCTGTAGATGAGTCGGGTGAGTTTGCATCTAGTGCAGCATCGAGATATGCAATGAAATCATCACTGCTGGATGAATGCACGGGAGAATCGGTGACAACACTCATCTGTATCATTGTCATACAACAAAATCAAATTAGGAAGGTTCAATAACAGAGTGAGAGATGGCATGCATCAAAAGCACTGCCAAATTAGAACCAGATTTACCAATGGCAATAAGAGCATTGATCTTCAACAGTACATGCTTTGGCCAGAGAAAAAAGACAAGTGGCAAGTCAGCTTTACTCTGTGTAACATAGTAAATCATACGCCACCTCCAGCTACCCTTACAAATAGATAGTAACTAAATGACTATTGAGGGGCTAGCTACTCCATTACAACACCATTTAATATCATTTAATATTTTAATCCTACTCACACACCATACATACAATTGCAACATTCAATTCCATTTAATCACTCAGATATTGATGTTGTTGATAAGCATGAAAATTAACATTGGTTAATTCAACTATTCAAGTATCCAGCATATTTGACCCAGATGAATACATTATAATACATGTTATTATTGTATTGAGAAAATGATAGAACATGAGAAATGAAGAACAATTCAATAGGCCGAAGAGGTTGGGATGTAATTCTATGATCATTCTCACTTGATGTCTATTCATATATCAAATCAATATCATAGATGGTTATTTACTTCAAAACCCAGCTCAAATATCAAATTCTCAATTGTGTATAAACAATCAAAATTTACAAGCAAACCAAAAGTTGCAACTAATTAAAAGACAAAACTACAAAAATCTCAAGCAAAAGATCATCCAATGGTAGAATTACAAGAGTTAATAATCATACCCCCCACATTGGCCTACCATATCACATAATAGGGTATATAGGGTACCTTTAGCACTTTCCATGTGACATACACCACTTAGATTTCATCGATTGATGTTGATGTCGGTGTAGGATTCATCTTTAATATATGGTCACATAACCTTCAGAAAAAATCATCAAATATGACTTAAACAATAAAAGAGTGTTGAAGAATTAATTTAATCTATATTAATAAATAAAAATTACATTTTGATATACGGTTTAATTTTCAATTCTTACATTCAAAATCCTACTCCAAGCATATTAAACTTATTAATGTTTTATTACATTGTTACATAAACACAAATATTTTTAAAATTTTAATTTTATTTTGATTTATAATTTAGAGTTACAATTTATAATAAAATTTAATACTTTTAATAATTTTTCACATTTATTTTATTTTAATCTTTTTATTTAATAAGTTTTATTTCTTAAATAAAATAAACAGTCACTAAAAGAATTATATATTAGTATAAAAAAATGAAATATAATCTCATAAAAAATTACAAAAGTAAAATCAAAATATTCAATTCAATTCAAACCTCAAAAAATTAGTTTAGTTTGATTAAATTTTATGTTGATCTCAAACTAATTTAAATTGAACTACAAGTTTAATTGAAAATTTTAAACAGATATTTTTTACAAAATCAATCCAAACCGAGTTGCGTAGATCGACATAAGAATAACAATTACGTGTGAGCGCTAAGAAAGAAGTTGGGGAGATGTTAATGGGAAATAAATTTTGAAAAGAATAGTAGAAAATTGGAGGTACACATAACTTGAGTAGTGAACTCTGTTTAGGCTAAGCTTATAACATTGATTAATTGGTTTAGGTATATCCTTCACCGTCGAGGTTCCTCCTTAATAAATGGGTACATTTGCATAGTAATGCAAAGTTTAGGTTCATTTTGCTGTATGAAGAATGGTGAATAGTGGAGCATGAGAATCTCCCATGTGCATGTTTTGATTTGTTCAGGCACAACGCACATGTTGGGAAAGTTTATCTTACTTGTGCTTATCTCTTCAATGTATGTTTTATCTCTTACAAAAGAAAAAATCTCTGTCTGCTATGCACTACCTAGAAAGGTAATGGCCCCAAACAGTTATGTTCTCAGCTTTGTTTTGATTACTGTCTTGTGTCCAGATTTTTCTTATTTTTCAATAATATATGATGGTATTTCTCAAATAAAGAGGACCATCGTCCATCCAATACTACCAAAAAGAGCAGAAAAAACGCATCCAGAATGAAACTAGTATTCGAGTGTGATATGTCTATATATCCCCATTTAAAACTACATTTTATTGACAAAAAAAAACTATTTTAACAAAATTATTATTTTTTAATGTATAGATCTTTTATTGAAAATTTTACTAAAAAGAAAAATATTTTTAATATGGATCACCACGCTAGTACACATACATATATAATAAGGCAGATGGGATTGGGTATGCCAATCAGATTTGCTAGTTTTGTGTTACGAAAATGAGATACCGATACCAACAATGAAAAACAAAATATACATAGATTGTCATGGCATAGTTCATCCAGCTTTTGGCTTCCAATAAATGTTACATTCTGGCAGTGGAAGCACAAAATCAAACTATCTTTGACTTGGCTAATGCTTTCATATTTCTAAATAAGAACTATGACAAATTTACTTCATTACTAACCCTACAATCTGGTACACCTAGTATATCGTTGTTCATGGGCAATAATCCCATTCAAGATGTCTTGGCATACATTTCTACTTAAATATCGGTTTTTTTCTTCTACTCAAAATGTGTGATGATTGCTCACAATCAGAAGATAGTCAGTTAGGCATGAAATATCCTTTCAAAGCCTTGGGCCACTATAACGTGTAAACAAGCTATGAACATGGAGCAAAGTGTTTGATACTACAACAAAACGTGACTATTTTTTTTTAAGAATGAAGTTCTCCTCAGGCTGCTTTTGCCAAAAATAATTTGCAGCCTCTATCCACCGGGGATGAACCAGAAACTTCTTCTCTTTCACTGCCCACCTGGACTTCTCAGTTCCAGCATCAGTGGCAACTATATGTGTCACAGAGGGATCAATTTCTGTCAAACAAGTGGCTCCCATCTGCTCTGCCATCTTGCGCAAAGATGGCAATGCACCATGAAAAATACGGCTGAAAACGATCACGCATCCGCTTAAAACTTCACTTCTAAGTGACGACAAAACCTTGAAAAAAAATGGACTGGGCGTAAGGACAATATTAATAGAATCTCACATTAGGATTCCAAAATTAACTAAATATTTCCACTAACATAGAACAAGAGCAAATAAGACGAACAAATATGAACAATATAACTACCTGCCTCACATCTCGATCAACAAGGTCTACTTGAAGTTTCTACAAAAGGTTCCCACCACACAATTTTAGAATAATATCAGAAATAAGCAAACATGTTATCAGGATGACATGATGAGGAATGCCATACATCAAAGAATGTGCAATGGACTCGCTCGAGCACTTTGAGAATTTTTGCAAGTGCTCCATCAGTTTCATTTTCATCACTCTTCAGTTCGGCAAGGGATTTGCAATTGAAACCAAACTGGCGACAACTTGAAGCAAAAAAATGGTATCTTTCCATCAGTATAAGATTATCTTTATGCTTCATCCATGCCTGCAACATTTTCATACATCCCAATAAAAGGAGATGATTTTAGTTCATAAATTCCTAAATAACGAAGAATGACACCTGAAATATAGAGAATGAACTTTAAAGGGATAATTAGATTTAATTTAGAAAAAAGAAAAGCCCACTGTTAACCAACATAATCAGGCAAAACATTACACTAGGTCTTTCACAAGAGAAAGACAAGTCAAGACAGTAGTAGTAGTTCAAGCATTGTAAGATTAATTGTGCTTAGTAAAAAATTTCCACAGAAGTTGTCTTCAAAGCCTAAGGGGTTTCCATTCTGCAACACCTTTAGACACATCAAATATTCAACCATAAACTCATAAAGATAGAATCATAGAAAGAACAAAAAGTTCAACCATAACGAAAATGAAAACCAGTTTAACTAGATATGTTAAAATAGCCTGATCTCAAACCTATGAATGAATATTAATAAGCATCTAAGCATAAATGAAAACAGAAATATTTTATTTCCAAAAATAAATACACAATTCAACAGACACCACTAAATGAAAATGAGTTCAGCCATATTTTCTAATCTCTCTTATAATTTATAGAAAGAAACTTTGCAAAGTAAAACTGATTTGAACACAACTAAACTTACAAGATAATACTTTTTTTCAAAAATATAAAGTTTGAAATGTTCAATGACAATTTGATGTAGTCATCTTTGTAAAATGATTTCAAAAGAACTCTAGAAACAGGGTGCTGGCAAACCTATCCTTACAAGTTCAAACTAATAGCCATTCTAGCACCACCAAATGCAAATGCAAGTAAAACTAATTTCTTACTCCTTATGTCCTATCACTCATGAATTGGGTAGAACTTTTGTATTCATATTATACAATCATATTTCATTTATTTCACCCAATTTGAAACATAATCATTTAGAAGTAGCTTGACCAAAGTTGTGAATCCCAGAAGACTGCTTTTAATGGATGAATGAAAAGCTCAATTCTTTCAATGCTATTTAGCAATTGAACAACAATAATTTTCTTCCATTATAACTAAATTAATTATAAACAAGAAATTGACTTTATAGCATCTGAGCCAAAACATAATCTTGCTCATAATAAAGAAAAATATTCTAAAATGACTTCTAAGTAAAATAACTACCATCAAACCAAAATTCCAGTTAAGTATTTCAGCAGTAAAAGTCAGAAACTAGCAATGCACTCACGTGTTCGGTATCATCAAGAATTAGGACAGCACTTTCCTGCCCTAATACAACATCGAGACCCTTCTGATGCTTTTGAGTCCCATCATCTCGAGAAATAACCTTAGCATTGAAGTATTCTCCCTGAGGATCAAGTAGCTTAGCCATTTCTAGTGCATAAGGCCGGTCACCCATGGTATATATGTACATCTCAAACATTTCACTCGCTTCTTTCAGAAATTGATGGACAAAGGGCCTCAATTTGGTCATCATATGCATATGCTCCAATTTGAAAAGGCTACCTTTGGAGACATCTATCATATCATTATTTATAAGTCAAGAAAGGCAGCACATATAAGAAGCCAACAAAAACCAAGATCATCAAAACGGGAAATTAAGAAAAGTTGTCAAAAAATACACACACGATGATTAAGTATACAAATGTCTAAAGACACTAATTTTACCAAAATGCAAAAAATTAAGATAGAATGCCATTCAAAGTACACTCACCAATGTAAGGGATGCTATTCTCAGGACAGCATGACTCCATTCTACATGACACACTGTTCTAGATAATGATGCTTCATGCAGAATGGACTATGCAATTGCAAGAAAAACAACGATACTTTGTCCTTTTGCAACAGAAGAAACTTGAACAAATCATTCTTTATTCAGCCAACATTTTGAAAACAGTATCAAAGACAACAACAGACCAGAATGGACTCATTCATTACCCTGCCACACTTTTACAACAGTATCCTCAGCAACTAACAAATCAAGTCCAAAAGTTATATAATGCACACATCTAGTATTTATGCAAGTCTCTTGTTATATTATAAGACAAAGTTGCACCAACAAAATAGATTATGTGATATTTGATAAAAACAACAGACAGGGGAAACACTTTCAATATTAAGAAAAACTGCTGACTGAGAAAACCAATACCAATTACCAAAAGCAAAAGCACATTGCTGATATACCTCCTAGGGAATCTGTCTGGTTTAGTAAATCCAACTCTTCTGAACTCAAATGAGCAAGGTGAGTGGAATTTAGCAGTGTGTGATCTAGGTCAAGAACCAAGTAGAGCTTTTTACGACATAACAAACTCTTCATGTCTGTATCACGCAATCTTGAAATTTCCTCATCATGAAGTCTCAGTCCCTGCAAATACAATTTTTTCCACCATATTTACTAAACTATTATTTAGTTAAATTCAGTAGATTGGCTAGGTTATGTCCACCAGCTCAACCATCTTGCTAACCAAATCATAAAAATGAAAATAAGATTTCTATATAAAAGATTAGGGGATGTTATATATATCCACCACCATCAAACTCTGGTGGAGCCTATAATCTGTTGATTCAACAGCATACTTATATATGAATGCTCCAGAACAACATATTGTAATTCTTATAGGGATTTCAATATGGAGAAGTATATCCCAAATGAGTGGTGCTACAAGGTCACCACTACACCTTTGGTCAGGATAGATAACAACCATTAAACAAAGAAATAACTATTTAACATGTTACGACTTATTTCAAGTTAATCTAACAGTTATGCAGCAGCAGCAACTATACAAAACTAAACTTGTAATTCCACCAGATAACCATCTGAAACAATGTATACCTTATGTATGTACCCAAATGTCACACCAGATTCCCCATCCAACTTTTGCCCACAACGTATACACATATTTCCAAATGAGCCAGGATGCGTACATAGATCTGCCTCCATGGATGCCTCTGCAACAACTACAGGAAGGAAAAGCTACAACACTTTCAGGGCTAAAAGATAAAGCTGTATAAGTTCAACCAGTGAAATAGTTCAAGAGTGCTTTATAGATAGTAAAACTAAAAACATTATCACCCCGTTTGTTAAAAAATGGTTTTCTTGCTCTAAAATAGAAGCTGTGTATGAATAAATTCTTGATTCACACGCAACTTTACATGTGTGGGAAGGATTCTGATTCCCAGCAAAGATAAGGAGAAAAAAAATTCAAAATTACCTAAATTTTGTTCATTGATTCCTTTTGAAGTAGTCCCCTCGCTTTCCTCGACGCTTTCTAATTTACGTCTTTTAATTCTGCATTAATTCATAAATTAAAGTACAACATAGTGAAATCTGACCAAAACCATGAAGCAAGAAAAAAATCATAGCATCATCTTTCAGAATGACATCTGCAACATAAATGCACCAAAAGCATGAACCCAAAAATATCAGTCTCTCCCTCAGGTTTAGGCAAATTGGTTCACAATTCCACAGACCACCAGTAAAAATAAGTTTTCATGCAAGTATGCAACATTGGAGAAATTTAAACCAAAGCACAGATAAAGCACGCTTAATGTGAATAATTAAAAAAAAGGCATAACTAATAGTAACATACACGCAATAACATCGTTGACAGCAAAAGAAGGATGCCTTTATCTATAATATAAGCAATGGCCTAAATGTAATTAAAACCTCTCATTATGATCTTCTCTGATTTTAGAAACAAACCAATCCTAAAAACTTGTCAAATCTTGGTAATGATCCAGGATAAAAGAAAATCAAATTAAATGCAGCTAACAAGCAACTACCAAAACTATAATCAAAGTCTGAAGTTTGAATCACCATGGTTTCCTACAAAAACAAAGAGAACCGAGATATGTCCAACTAGCTATATGGATCCAATTGAACACTGTTTCACACTACCAAAAACCAAATTTTCAATAAAACCATTTATTTAAGCACCATAATACTCTTTATCAAAAGAATGTTTAGTCCTCTAAGGCTTTAAGGAATCATGATCTGATATTTCAGTTTGCATTAAATGTTAAATAAGATAAGAGTTTATCCTACTCTTCTCTTATTATGTTCCTATCCAACACTCATATTCTCTCATGTTCTATCATTTTCTATTCTATCATATCTACTGAACAGGCCCTAAACTCTAATGAATCACAATATGATACATGAACATGTCACATCACATAAAATTCAACATATTTGTAATTTGTGAAATCACAATTGGCAACAGCTTCTTAACTCATACCAAAACGCATATAAAAGTAGGGAAAAGGTAATAAAGAAGACCTTAGACTCTCAAACTCATCTTGGTTTTGAGGTTGTTTATCTGTAGATGAGTCGGGTGAGTTTGCATCTAGTGCAGCATCGAGATATGCAATGAAATCATCACTGCTGGATGAATGCACGGGAGAATCGGTGACAACACTCATCTGTATCATTGTCATACAACAAAATCAAATTAGGAAGGTTCAATAACAGAGTGAGAGATGGCATGCATCAAAAGCACTGCCAAATTAGAACCAGATTTACCAATGGCAATAAGAGCATTGATCTTCAACAGTACATGCTTTGGCCAGAGAAAAAAGACAAGTGGCAAGTCAGCTTTACTCTGTGTAACATAGTAAATCATACGCCACCTCCAGCTACCCTTACAAATAGATAGTAACTAAATGACTATTGAGGGGCTAGCTACTCCATTACAACACCATTTAATATCATTTAATATTTTAATCCTACTCACACACCATACATACAATTGCAACATTCAATTCCATTTAATCACTCAGATATTGATGTTGTTGATAAGCATGAAAATTAACATTGGTTAATTCAACTATTCAAGTATCCAGCATATTTGACCCAGATGAATACAAGTCTATGGATACTCCAGCAGTCCAGCATGATCCTGACAAACTGAGTAACAAGACTCCCACCCAGAGGTCTTACTTTCATGTAATGTTAAGTTCAATAATTTGAAGTATGCTGTATACCTATATGTGGCCAATCAGAAGCACAAAGAGGGTGAGGCCAGATATAGCTAGTGCTATTGAAAAGATAATCTCCCCAGGATAGGAGCTAGTTTGAAGCCCCTGGCCAAGTGTACTGCAGTAAAATCAATGAAAATTTGGTATTGCATAACAAATGAGGGAGAGAAACTAAGGGGAAGGAAAAGGCAACGGAACAAGTGATTTCATCTATAGACTAAATCTGGAAATATAAAGAACGTACTTTGGCTGAAAGGCCCACTGTTTGAAGGCAAACTCTCCAAGAACATTCAGTACTTGACAGGAACTGGAATTAGATGAGCATTAATGTATTCACAAAGCCAGACCTTTCCCTCTTCTGAACTAATATAAAATTGATTTCAGTATCAAAAAGAAAGGTTACATATTGTATCTGTTGCTGTCAGTTTCGTAATACTGGAAAATAGAAAATAAAAGGAAATGCGACAGATTGTTTGAGGGACATGCACACCTCCCACCATTTTTGCACTCAAATTCTCCCTAAACCTAGCCATGTGTGCGTATTGGTATGACCCTCTGCTCTTCTCACATTCAGCCTCAAAAGCCAGTACAACTCCCTCAGTACCCTTCCAATCTCTCAATTTTACACCTTTGTAATAGGAAACAGGGCAAAAATGGACATATACCTCATCACCTTTTAGATTCAAAGTTTTCAAAGTGAGAAACCAGTAACCTAGATGTCAAACTACATAACAACTAATAGATTCTTCAAAAGGTAATGCCATTAAGTGTATTTAATAATAAGACTAGCAACCTACCTTCAGAATCAATTTTATTGCCACAGATTTTGAGAGATTGTGGAGATCTGATTAACATAAAATAAAACATAGTTCAAATAAGCAATAAAAATTGTTTGTCACAGCTTTACCAAAGAGGATAAGACCTCATAATGCCCAATTGTCCCTACTCCCTAGTCACTAAAACATATAGTTCCTCCAATGGTTTAAACATATTCAAATACTCCTTCCACAAAACTTTTCAAACAGATAACAGTAAAACAGTGTCTGGAATAATAAATAGCATAACACAAAGTACATGAAAAAATGAATTCGATGAAAGGAGCGCCTAAGGCTGAAAAATGTGTTTATTTATTTATGGAGAAAGAGAAGGGTAAAGTACCTGTGTGTGTGAGGGAAAACAACTGGATGAAGGAACTACCAAGGAAAAGTGCAACGAAACCAACGAACAGGGCTTCTGGAGAATTCAAGGGTAAAATTAGCACTTTTTTGGGGATTTTATTGGATGGGTTGGGCTTCGGATTTGGGCCTAGTCATGCAGCAGTTGCCGATGAAGGTTCACCACAACTTCACGGCGTGGTGGTCGTTTCTCGGTCTTCATGATTCAATTTTTGGTGAGGGGTGGTGGTGCTGTGATCCGGTCAATACCAGGGGGCTTTTTGGAAGAAAAACTACAAAAAAGTAATATAAATGATGGGTTGGGCTACGCTCATTGAGGCCCGTTCGCTCGCTCCATGGCTTTCTCTTTCGTGCGGTTCTTTTGTTCCTTCAGGCTTGTGCCTCTTTATGTAAATGGTCAGGAGGAAAATTTGTTATAAATGTGCTCACATTGTTTTTTATAGGTATAAATATATTTTCAATATTTATATTTTTTTGATTTTTATTTTTTAATTCTTAATTTTTTAGAATTTAACTTTGTTAGTCTCTAACAAAGATATGATTAATTAATTAAAACGTTCTCAGATTTTTTTGTCATGTTTTACTTTTTTTTGCCCTACAAAATAATTGAATTTAGAAAAATTAATTAAATAAAATGAAAAAATAAATTTCTGAGAGACTGAAATTAAATTTTACAATATAAAGATTAAAGTTATACTTGATCATTTTTAATATTACTATTTTTAGTCACACTATTTTATATTATTTTAATATATTTAATTTTAGAATGTAAAAAATATCTAAAAACAATAATTTTGAAAATTATTTTTAAATAATTTTAAAATATAATTCTGAGATTGATTATTATAAAAAATAAATTATTTAAATTAATTAGAAATAAATAAAACTTTTTAAACACTAGATACGTGACAAAAAAAAGCACCAAAATTTATATAAAGAAACAAGTGCAAAGTTTATATTTTTTTAAAAAATTTAATGTTTAAACTTTAAAAAAATTATTTTATTCGAATTAATATTTGACAAAGGTAATTTGTAATTTATTAATGTAGTCAATGTAAAAAAACTTGTAACTTTTAAAAATTAATTTTTTGAAATTTATTTTAAAAAATGTTATAATATTTCTATTGTATTTTTATCATTCATTTTTTCTAGAACAACTTATCTTTCTCATCCATTAATTTTTTTATCAATATTTTTATGATAATATTTTTATTAATAATTAATATAATATTATATATCTTTTTAAATTATTTAGTTTTCTAAATAATTTAATTTTATATATTACTTGTATAATTATAAATTTTTAACTACAAATCAGTTTCCAATTAACTTTATAGCTTGATTTTATCAAACATAGCAGATTGGCTCTACGTAATATATGCAGTACCAGTCAAGTCTGAATTACTGTTTTCTCCCAATTACTGTTTTAGTGCTTGAACCTAGTTTTCATTTCCTAAATTTAATGGATTATTCTTTGATTATTCAGGATTCAACTTAACAACTACTAATTTTTTGTGAATAGCATAAAATTCAAATTTAGTTTTTTTTTTTTTTTTTGAAAAGTCAGTATTAAATGCATGAAACAGAAGTTGCGTGCCCATTTGCTCAAATTTAAAAAAGAACCGAGGTAAAGTTCATCATTATTGATTGATGATTCAATTTTTGTGTAGTACAATATAACGGATTATTCTTTGATTGTTCAGATTCATCTCAACAATTACTCTTTGTTGATAATAGCATAAAATTCAAATTTAGTATTTATTTTTTCAAAAGTCAGTATCAAATGCATGAGACAGAAGTTACGTGTCCCATTTGCTCATTAAAAAAATGAACCGAGGTAAAGTCCGTTATAATTGATTGATTATTCAATTTTTGTACATACTAACATTTTATAATCACAACGTCTGGGGGTTCTACAACCCGCCGTCTGGCACTGAAATGTAAATTCAAAATGTCACAGAAATGTAAGCTCAAATGTTACACAACGTAAATTGCTCCCTTATATGTTACTAATATATAATTTCTTTCCTCTAGTAAGTAGTAACCGACACCAAAGGAACACTTCAACTGAAATTCTATTAGAATGTTTCAGAATCTTGTATTGTACTACTAAATATATGTCAAACTTGATTATGTGAGTCATCACTATTTCCAACCTTAACAATATTTGCAATGTTACAGCTGGGGTAGTACACATTCAATGATATTGAAGAATTTATTTCCCTTGCTTTTGGAGCCCCTAAGATATTTAAATAGCCGGAAAAAAAAAATCATAAAAGCTATACAAGAAGAATCAAGCTTTGCATTGAAGATGTGAAATCAGTGTTGCTAGCGGAGAGAACCAAGCCTAAGGGCAATATTTAAAAAAATAACAACGAATGCCCTGGTTTCCTGGAAATACTTACAATCATACAGTTTCGGAGTGGAGAGGGAAGTGGAAAATATAAACAAGTTGGCTGGTAAATAACACAACTCGTGCAAACTCCACCATCTAAAATTCACAATTATTAGATAGAATAATTAGTGTAAAGAAGGCGATGACAATCAGAAAAATATGTACCGCGAGCTATGAGTTCAAAGAGTTACCCCAGTTTTGCAGTGTAACGGAGTTATTTGCTTGGGTTCTCAATGTCAGCTACTACTACTTATGCCACTATACATGCTTCTCAAAAACGCCAGACACCAGACCCGTTCTTGTCCAGTCAAATTCCTAGTCATGCTAGAGTATATACTGATTCTCCAAGCTAGTAGGGTCTAATTATCACTTATTTGACATTGCCAGTCCGGATAGCTGTAGGTAATATTCTTTCTGATTCACACTTCTTTTTCTCACTTTCTGCTGCTTTCTTCATTTCAAGCTCGTGCTGCTTGCAGTTTTCTTCATGGGCTTTGTTAAACATTCTAGTAAAGTTGAGTAGAGTTGATACAACTGCAGAAAATTCAAAATAATTACAAGAAACAGCAGTATTTAAGTACAAGTAGAGAAAGACTCGTGATTTTTACCTCAACTGAACTACATAACAGGTTTCAATATTAGTTACCAAATAGGGGGGACGGGGGAGTGCATTTATGATTTCTTTCCATAAAAGGAATTACTTCAAAATAATAAGAGTGACAGTTTCCCCGCTTCTATTCGGAACTGGCAAGAGAAACCTTATTAAAAATTGACATTGGTAAAGATTAGTTTTAAAGCATTGAATACCAGTTCCAGAATATACTAAAGAATTGTACCTTGAAACTATTAATCCTTTGTTTCAGAAAGGATAATAAAGGCCAGTTAATATTGAAATAAAGGCCATTCATAAAAAAATATTAATATTGAAATCAGGAGTAATAGAATCAAATATTGAAATTTCACACGTGTGCAGACAAGTATATGTGAAGAATCCATGCACTTACTTATTGGAAAGTATAAATTAGTAAGGTACAAAGCTAAATATATCATTAACATAAACCAAACAGAGGGTGATCACTTAAATTAGCCATCAAGAAGGAGTGCTATACTTGAACTTTAGAAAATCACATACCTTGCTCAAATGGGCAGCGGGATGGATCTTCACCAAAATAAAGAATCAACGCATCCACATTCCTACCCTGTAAATATACACTATCCAATTAAAGCTTAGCTTTTATATGGTTTTAAAAGATCTAAATGTATCCTAGAAAGCCTACCACACTAGAATATAGTGAAGCCAATGAACGGACTTCAGCTTCAGCAGAACAGAGGAACTCTTTCAATTTCTGGGGTAAAAATGAAATAATGTTAAAGACTGGAAATACAAACCGTTTATTACATGAAAATCATGAACTTTTAGCGAACAGAAAAGTATTTCACAGTTTTATACTTCCCACATTCTCACATTAGACCAATCACAGACAAGCCTCAATGTCTGCCTCCACAGAATGGGGCTTCAAAAGAAAATGGAAATCTTTTACAGACATGATTGCAAACTCAACTGACTCCAATTAATGTAGATATATGCACATGATTCATGAATAAGATAACTATTTTGTGGAAATGTGAAACTTGAAGCAATGAAAATGAACAAAGACAATTTAAAAAAAGAAGAAAAGACGAGTTGGTGAGTCAACTACTTGAAACTTGTGAAAGACTTATAGTAGTGGCAGAGGTACGATGCTTATACTTTGCCGAAAGTTTCTGATATAGGTCCATCATTTTCCGAGGTTGATAGTTCCTGTATCACTTTCTCTAATCCTTTGTTTATAGCTTGCATCTCCTCGGCCAAATACTTCAATTGGATCTGGATTAAATTATTTAAGTCAGTGTTGGTACATTGTCTATCAATATAATGAATTGAAGAGCCTTTGAGAAGTCCAGAACCTTTGCTGCTGGCTCTAGGTTTCCAAGGTCCTTGGAGAAGTCTAAAACTTCTGGTAGCTTGTCAACTAGCACCTATGTGTAAGCATAGAATCAGATCAATGAATTAGTGTTTTCAAAGTGAAAGTACAAGAAAAGTTATCGACAATATTTCCCCAACTCAATATCAGAATTGACTCCATGGCACTGAAGAAACTCATAATCATTGAAAAAAAAAAAGGAAAGGAAAAGGAAAACAATAAGGAATAAATAGCAACATGTACCTTACAAAGATAATGCATGAGAGTCATCTTGTTGTTCCTTGCGCGCGTCTCAGTGAGTTTAAGAAGGCTATCCAATCTGAATCCAATAGCAGAACCTAAAAGACGATTGGAAAATATAAACATATGAAATTGATAAAAGGAAATGAATAATGACAAGAAATAAGATAAAATGATAATAAAAAAATCGATGCAAATTATATTCAAACTAGTGTATAAAAATTTGTATCCAAAATTTGTGTTCAAAGGAATCATTTATTTGCAAACACATTTGAATGAATAATAATAAGAAACCAATACCCTTCTAATAGCAAAACAACACATAAAAAATTGTGTTCAAAGAAATCATTTAGCATAAAGGCGATAAGTTATAGAGATTTTCTTAAAAAAGTGGTACTTTTATTTGCTGTTTAATGATACATGTTGCATCTATCTACTTCTATGTCCATTTGTTTTAACTTACCTCTGGCAGTTCCTTGGTTCAAAGCATTTCCTAAAGAAAGTATTGTTTGCATAATTCTCTTTAATTTGACAGAATTCCTGATCTGAAAAATGAAACAAAATCGTTACAATATCCATAATGTTATCTTTCATTAAAAAAAGGAAACCCTGCAAAAATATGTTTCAATAGAAAGGAAGATATCATGCCTCTTCTGCAGCAGCATTTACGACATTCAAGCTATTTCCAAGTTCAGAAACCTACATAAAAATATTAACAGGGTCAAACTAGAAATCAATTTAAATCCATTTTTTCTTGTAAGAATGCCAGAAAATAGCAACATTTCAACCTGTGCGTGGAACTGAATCTTGAATGAAAAAACTCTGAGCTTGGATTCTACTCGTGGTACTTTCATCAACTCCGTGAAGAACTATAAGAATTTGGGAAGATATAATTCATATTCATGCCAAGGGAAGGTAGAAATGCAATCTCCACCATTGAAAATAGCAGTTACAGTTACCACTATGCGAGAAATGCTAAATTTATATATTCATACAGAAGAGATCCAAAATATATCCCTAAGCCAAAAACCATAAATACTTATATACCTGTTCACATCTCCCTAACTTCTCCTTTTCCCCATTATAACCCTGTGCCAGAATAAATGAATATGAAATTTATAAGAAATAGGAGACTCGTTATAAGGTACTAGAACTTGGCATAATTATAAACCATTAACATAATTATCTCCAAACCTTTAGTAATTCCATCTCCTCTTTTGTAGGACAAAACTTTATGAGGTTCTCAACCTGATCAATGTCTAGTGCTGACTCTTCCAATGCTAGCACTGAGCTCTGTGAATATTCCAAACACGCCATTGTTAATGAATAAAAACTTGTATCATCACTTATCAAGTCAACTAGATGATTTCACATCATGAACAAAATTTGAAAAAGTAAAGAAGGGAAATGAAGTACAACTGCTTACAAATGAACACAAGTCCCAGCCATTATTCATTTATTCTAATGATACACCAAAAAGATGTTAATGGACAATTGCAACTGTACACTGCATAATTTTCCACCCTTATTTAGAAGCACTAACTACAAGCACATTATCACATTTCGTAATAGGGTTATACAGATATCTATATTAGCATTTGTGAAAGCAAATTATAATAATAATCTTTTTAAAGAAAGGCCATAAACTGTGTATAAAATAGTATCATCGAAAAGATCATTTCAACTGAACTGAACCTTCACCTTTGTAAAAAAGATCATAGTTATAAAGATTTTTAGTACAATCACTATTTGGGCATAATATATAAATGGCTTAAATATGTTTTAACTACTTCTAAATAGGACTTATTTCAAATTACTATTTATTAATTTTTTTTTCATTTTAATGTTTAACTAATTTGTTTTTATTTAATTTTGTACTCGACATTGGCCTCCATTAGTTAAATGTTGACGTGGTTCACAGTTTGTCACATCACTTTCAATCTCTCTCCTCCACTTTACTTTTAAATTTACACGTCACGAATCCATATTAGCAAAAAATTAAAAAAAAAAAAAGATTCAAGCACAAAAAACTTTAATTTTAAAACACTGCATGCTTGAATCTTATTTTTTTTGTTTTTTTAATTTTTTAAAAAATTAAAATACGAATGTAAATTCGTAATGTAAAAATTTAAAGGTGAAATAGAGAAGAGAGATTGAAAATAACATGACAAACTGTGAGTTACATTACAATTTATCTGACGGAAATTAAAGTTAAGTACAAAATTGAAAAAATGAATAGTTAGACATTAAAATGAAAAAAAAATTAATGAATAATAATTTAAAAATTTAAAATAAGTCCTATTTAGAAATAGTTAAAACATATTTAAGCTAATATAAATAGTTAGTACTCTCTTAGGTCAATGCATGTCCTGACTGAATTTTAGAACACAGCAAAATGGTTAGTTAACAATTCTACACATGTTTCATATGAAGCCTTCAACACTTCTCTTTCACTCTAGCCTTCTATCCAACACCTAGAAACTGTTCTCCTCAACAGCAATTAGATATTTCAAAATTACAGCACAAGAAATTAGTTCATATATTTTTTTTTCCATAATAAAATTACAAATTCAGTTAATTTACTAATGTCAACGCTCATTTAGTTTAAACTTAAAAAAATGAGATTATATGATACTGATACAGTTCTTTTATTGATTTTCTTTTCAAAATTTACTATTTTAAACATCTAACAAAAGCACTAAATTTCTTTTTTTAAGTTTTCCCTTAAAATTTTATAGTAAAATTTTACATGCTTACTATAAAATTTTAACATAACTTTTAATCAAAAACATTTTTCTTCTAAAATGCATTGCGCACATACAAACCAATATGAACTCTCAATATGCTACAAGAGTATGAGTTTGTAAGAAGAAATTACATTGAAATATTCAATACTTTCATGTCAAACAAAACAAAAAATGATGAAGGTGATGCGAACATTGTTTGTTTCCACTTAATACAAATCACTAATAAATTATAGAAAAAGACTTTGAATCAAAAGAACAAAGGTACCATTCAAATGGCAATCAAAACCATAGTTTTCTTATTAAATGACACTCCATATTATTTAATAGTAGTTATTCTTCTTTACTACATAGTTAAAGACAATAAAAGTAATATCAATCTTACCATTAAATCATGCAACGGCACTTTCACTTTTGAAAGCATAATTTCACAATTATATGCTCGTCTATGGTCAATCTGCAATGAGTGATAAAAACAATCTGAATCAAAATTAAAAGTATGATAATACCACTTTTTTGCCAAGGCCAGAAAATAGATATCAGTGAGAAAATGATAAATAGAATCTATTTTAGGAACTGCACTACAGTGATAAACATTCATTATTTCACACCTTCACTGTACTCAACTTATATCACTCACATTAGTCAATTTAGATGATAGTATCACCTAAAAAATTATATTTTCACATACATGCATATACATGGACAAGTCTTATATTATTTGTTTTTGTTTTAAACTTTAATTTAATTTTAAAATTTTTAAATAAGTTTAAATTTAGTTACTAGGGTAAATAAAATTGATTACTTAACAGAGAATAAAGGGGTATTTTTAAAAAAATACACATTAATAAAGAAGCATTCTTAAGAAATAATACGATAGAAAACATTCCTAAAAAATATTGTCTAACGTTAGACCAAATGTATTTTTAACATTCTTAGGAAAACAGAATTTTTAAGAAAAATAATTTCTAGAAAACTAAAAGATTTTGTACACCAACACTTCCTTATGGTTATCTATTACCAACATAAACTGATAACCATTGGTCATAATTTACTACGAAATATCACATTTTTCGCAATTTCTTGTCACATTCGGATATAAGCAACTAGATTATATAAATATCCATAAGCAGTCTAAGTGATACTATAAACTGAAGCTAAATTACCAGCTGCACTTTATCATTTTTAGGCCCAACCGAGCTTTGGAGATTTAACTTCTTGGCAGGACCTGAACTTGGGACTGCTGCTGAGAAGAGACTCTCAAGCTCTGAAATATCAATCTCTGGGGCTCTACATTTTTAAGATAATAAAAGGAAAAGCAGGTGAGAATATGGAATGATAGAAAGCTAATCTGCACAGAAAATGAAACACTATATAGCCAATCAACATTACTTGGAAGCTTCACCAGATTTCTGTGTCTCAGCCCACAAACTTCCTTGCACAGCTCTAGATAGTTTCAACCAATGCAATGGCTTCAACTTTTTGCTGTTATTCTTAGAGTTAATTGTACGTGATAGAATTCGTCCCTTTGAGCCAGTTGCTAAACCAGATTGAGGTCCGGTTGTACCTGACACGTTATTTCCATCACCAGCCCCAAAAAGAGACAATGGAAAAGCATTGGCTGGTTTGAGACCTCCTTTACCAAAGGGAATTGGAGGAGGTGGAGCAGCTGGTGCTGTAGGAGCAGATGTGGACTTTAGCAATGAAGAACTAGAGTGACCTGAGGAAAGTGGTGGTGGAGGTGCTGGTGGTGGTGGTGCTGATGCTGCTGGCACTATGGTGGGACCTGCAGCTTTTCCAGAAAGACAAGGAGGTGGTGGAGGTGGTGGAGGCGTAAACCTAACAGGTTGCTCCTCTTTTAGAAGAGGGGGTGGGGGAGGGGGAGGGGGAGCAGGAGGAGCGTGTCTATCTCTAACCTGTGGCTCCTCATTCATGGGAGATGAAGGAGGAGTAAAGGATCCAGCGTTAACATTTAGTTCCTTCTTTGGAGGAGGTGGTGGAGGTGGAGGAGGTCCAACTCTAACTAGTTTGGGATTCTTTAGTGGAGGGGTAGGAGGTGGTGGAGGTTGTGAAGGTGAAGACTGTAGTCTTGTTCTAATAGGTAGAATCTTATTTGCATGTGTTATGGAAGAAAGTGAATGAGATGGCTGAGTTGAAGTAGTTGCTGAAATTGATGGATGGGAAGTGATGTCAGCTGGTGACTTACTGCTAAAACTAGATGACAATTGGGTCCCTGGTATAGGGCTAGAAACAAATGAATGACTTCTCTCTTGTGACTGGTGTCTTGATTGCAATGGCGAAAGGTGAGGTGGTGATTCTGTGTGAGGAGGAGAATCATGAACTTTATTAGCACACCTAGTGGAGGGAGGCCGCAAAGGAGGTGTTTGAGGGGAAAGAGAAGAATCAACAGAACGAGATAAGAGAGGATCAGATGCCTGCAGTTTTATGCCAAGATTTGTAGATTCAGTTGGACATTTACTGGATTCCAAGGTTCTTTCAGAAGAGCTGGACATCTCTTGACAGATGAAGTCAGACGTACTAGGTTGTTGTGCAGTAGCCTCAACCTTGTTGTTCCTATCCTCTTTTCTACTCATATAATTGTCTAGGGATTGCATAGTTGAGGATAAAGACTGCATGGCTTCATTCATATTCCCCTGAGGCATTCTAGAACCTGTTTTATGCAAAGTACCAGTTTCCATCTGCTGATCAGAAACTGTATCCAACATGTCGTTCATAGCCGAAGCACTTATCTGCTGGAGAACATTTAGTGCTGCATCTGCCTTGGGGCTCATCCAGTCTACATGACTAAAGATCTCTTGAACCTTAGCAAATGCTTCCATTGGCAGACCCTCCTTCTCCTCAAAGCACGATGTACCTTCCGCCATAACTGCTGCAGCAGCATCCATCTCTGAGAAAAGGATCTTAACACAAACATAAACCAAAAAAATAAATTAAATATTAGGAATAAATAACCTAAAAAAAATATTATTATAGTTGAAAACTAGTTGCACCTCAGCTCTAAAATCTTTTGGAAAGTGATCTTTAGCATCCCATAAAATGTCAATTTCGTCCCGGTTAAGCATCAAAATATTAGATCTAACAAAAGCCGTGTTGAACATGACTCGGAACATCATCTTTTCATGCTCTATGTCACCATTCAAGTTAATACTCTCAACCACAACATCACCTTGAATATGGCAATTGATGTCAATTTTAATTAGTTCACACTCTCCCTGCAACACAATAGCAAAAAATTTCATAACAATTATGCAACTCACATCAAATTCCAGATGCATCTTGCTTGCAGGAATAAATAAGTTGACCAACAGTCGCTACTAGAACGGCAAACATTTCATCATATGAAAATGTTTATTAAAACTTAAAGAGCATGGGTCTATTCTGAGGTGAATTGAAATTTGACCAGGATATCCTAATTGCTAAACATAGAGCATACGAACTTAGTTTCCCTTCCTTCTTGTAAATATTTTCCCCCTCTTTATCCTTATACATTTTTGGGATATTAATGCTAAGTGCAGCCTCTTGGATCCAGACTAAGATTCATTTTAAATAAAGCTCCCATATTTGTCAAAGAGGAGTAACAAACAATATGCCGTTCATCAATATAGGTACATCATACATGCGTAGGCCTATTCTTATTCCAACTTTCAAGCTACCGAAAAATTATTATGCATGTTTGACTCAGTAATCAGAAAACCAAATTCCAACTGCAAGTGAATGATTTAGAACTATTTCAAGTTTAAACAATCAGAAATTGTACAACACAATTTATAAAGCACTCTGCAAGTCAAAACTGCGGAAAATTAAACCAGCATTAAAGGAAGAAAATGAATGAAGTGATTTTTCCCTATTTCATTTCAGAGCCTGCTTGCCATAATTTATGAGGTTGCAAGTAATCTCAAGGACACAGCTACTCACAAGCTTCAATAATTTCTTGCAAAATAACAGTAGCAAAATAGACATTTTATCTGTTAAAAATAATGATTTTATCTGCCATGTCAGGATATTTCATGAAAATATGCAATCTGTGCATGCCTCTATAAAGTACAGGCTTCGAAATAACACCGTCAACAAACTGAAAACACCCAAAGAGGAGGCAGGAGAACTCAGAGCAAACCATTTGAAAGCATGACGTAAACTCACCTGCTTATAAGTCCGGACATTTTTGCTTCTCTTTGGAGTTGAATACAACTTTTTTGGATTTTTATCAGCACTAAAAGGATCCGGTCCATAAATTCTAAACACGGGATGACAACCACCTTCCCCATCAAAGTTTGGAAAGAATCTGAGAATGATGCAGTCCAACATGAGTGCCCTGTCCAGTGGAGGCCAATCTATGGCCACATTCCTCCTGGAAACATACTGCAGATACCGCAGTTGGGAAGGGATCGGATTCAACGGCGCCAACAAATGCAACAGCTCACTCGGAGCCTGCCTGTGAACCATATCCAAAGTCCTCTGTTCCCCACTATAAACCTTTCTATAAATCAACAATGCAGCCAACATGAAAGCCAAAACAGGCCAACCACCACGTTCACAATGCATCAACAACACATTATGCTGCCCAAGCGAGAGCCAGCTTTCACCAGACCTCAAAAAGTGATGAATGAGCTCCATTTTGAGCACAGGACAACCCTCATAGTGCCGAGGATAGTCCATTATAGTAATATCATACTCAGACATTATATGTGCCATTTGACTCTTGGTATTTTCCTCGCGGAAATTAAAAACCAGAATTGAAGCATCAGGTAAGTTCTCTCTAAGTTGACCTACTATCCCATCCATGTACAATTTGTAATTCCCTTCATCCCAAGCATCCGTCGTGAAGCAGCAATCAAAAACTACATCCACAGTGAACGTTATGTTAATTCCAATTTCCAACAACAATCAGTGCCTCCTAACAATAACAATCATAAGCTAAATTCAAATTAAACAGATTCCATTCATATCTCTTCCCCGCTTTTCCAATCAATCAATCACATACCTACTGTTCCTTGAATCATGAATTGCGAAATAATTTTTTCACAAAATGAGAATGAGAAAAAGAGAGAGAAAGTACCGTAAACTCGCTCGCAGATCTCGAGAAGGCCATCAGGTGGCTTGCGAAAGAACAATTTGCGGAGCATAGCCATGTCCGCGAAGCTTCAGATTCAAGACGAGAACCCTATCGCGCGCGATCAAATTGCGAACTAGAAATTCACGTTCCACGGAACGTAACGTCACGTAACGATCTTCCTTACGCTTTAAGAAGGAAAATCGCGCGAAGAAGCGGTTTCGAGGGAAAATGCGAGAACGAACGAAAAGCGAGTTTGGATTTATCGTTGCATCTCTTTCTCTCCCTCTTTCATATTTCTGTTTCTCTGTGAAAAAGAAAAGGAGAGAGGGTGATGGGTCCGTTGGTTTTGTTTCGTAGCTGAATTATGTTACTTCAGCTCAGATTACCAACCGACTCACAGTGACACGTCGGTGACGTGGATGCATCTCCCCACGACACGTGTATCATGGGTATCGATCACGGGTAATTTCAAGTTACCGTGGTTTTCCATTTTCGGAATTTTTTTCCATCATGTAACAGTCATTGTTTCCCGCTTCCGTACAATGGAGAGACACGTGTGTCCATCATTGCACGATTGGTGTTTGTTTCTTCCTATTGCCACTGGGATTTCCTTCTACGTGCCTCAACCCAACACTCTCGCATCAAATTTTTATTCCATTATATTACCTTTTTATATATTAAACTATAATACATTTTTTCCCATTTCAACTCACTTTTCAAAAACTATATGCATGGAACCACAAACCATAAAGTGTCACAGTATCAACAAAGCCTTTCAACTAAAAGAATCAACTGATAATCTATTTGGGCCCTCTTCATTCTCATTGTATATTTCATTTGTTCACATAACATCCTCACTAATTGTCAAAAAATTATAATTAATTCAATTGTCATTATAGTGCTCCTCCAGTGGTCCTATCAACTGAAAAATATGTAGTTGATTAAAATTAGTTTGTCATCTATAGTAATATATGTAATTTATAAAAAAAATTAATTCTTACAAATATATAATAAATACTGTAAACTTTTTATTTAACATCTCAAAATAAAACATCTTGCAGAATTTAAATTTAAAACAAAAAGTGATAAATTTTTTATGATACTTGTTTGGGATTTTTAAAAAAATATTCAATAAAAGTGCTAATTTTGATTTTCAATTGGTAACTCAAGAAAAAACAAATAAACATATACATTTTATTTATGTGTGTGTAGATTATCTTATTAAATACGCAAGAAATAGTAAATATCTCGTTTATAGTAATTTTTTAACATACTAACTGTAAGTATTCAGGCATGGCACAAAGTGTGAGCTAAACGATTTGTTCATATGAAAAGCTTTTGCCAATTAATAATTCGAGTCAATTTAGTCATACTCTTTTTAGTCCTCGGACTCTTACTTTTATTTTGAATTGTAAAGGTGTCGTAAAATAGAAGATTAGACGCCATTATTAAAAGCAATTTTCCATTTTGTATCTATGGTAAGAAAAATTAAAATGAGAAATAAAAGATCGTTAAATATTTATTTTTAAAATACTGAATAAATCAGCTTTAATGTTTTTACACTGTATATGTACGACAATTTTATACTTTTAATAAAAAAGTATCACTTTTAAATGTTTAAAATCAGTGTTAAGAGTTCATGACAAGTTTGTAAATAAAAATACGTGTGTTATTTAGCAGAATTTTATGAGATAAACGGGATTTTAAATTGGCACCGGTTAAAGCTATTTCTTGTTCTTGAAGCTTTATGAATGGTTAAAGTTAAAAAAGAAAAGAGGGAAGCTTGTTATCGTGATGTCAGAAAATGCGGAGAAAGTAACATAATAAAGAAGGGTTTCATAAAATGGGGTTAAGGCACAAACATATATATGGTTGGGTTTCATATGTGCCTTGCAAGACATTGGCTTTGGACCCCTAAACATCTCATGTGGGAATCTGGGTTTCATATGTGGTTGGGTTTCGTACAAGATTTGACCAACAAACTACAAAACACAACTACCTTAATTAAATCAGTTATTGCTATCCACACCACCGACAATTTTACAGCTCATTAGATTTTCTTGTGTCACTGTTTATGGGCTTGATATTGTTTTGTTCTATGTTTACCTGAACTCATCTTCAACTTCAACTAATTTATGCTGAATAATCGATTTTGTTGTGAGTAGAAAATATTTATTACCCCTTAATGTGTTTTTAAATTTTGTGTTTAAAGCGTCATAATCGTCAGTTTAAATTGAGAAACGATTTACACATATGGAAATGTCAAACTAACATGCCTTGGGATTTTTTTTCTTCAAATTGTAGCACGTCTTAGATTTTGGATCATCATTTTTGCATTAATCACGTCATCTTTTGTTATTGTTTTCATGATTTAGTTTTTGAAAATAAGTTTAGTATATTCCGAAAGAGAATAGAGGGAGGAGGAAACTTAAATGTTGGCCCAATATAAGAAAAATTTAACTGGACTATAACTGGAATTCAAGAAATGTGTTTTTCTTCTTTGGACCAACAAAATTTGTGCTTCTTTTATATCAGTGTTCATTGTTATTATTTTGTATGATCATTCTTTAAAAACTTACACAGAAGTCAAATCCAGGAATAATCATTTTTTATTTTTATAATATTAATTTTAATTTTTTATTATTTTAAATTTGAAAATTAATTTTTTTTAGTTTAAACTAATATATATTAGTTAATCATTACATATTTATATTGAATTATTGAATATTGAATCAACATTAATAATAGTAACGACAATAATAATAAATGACTATGGTAATAATAGTGGTAGAAGTATGTAGTAATGATTACAATAATTATAATTATGAGAATGATAATAATGATAGTGAGTAATCAAAGTAATTAAATGATAAGTAAAAACATTAGTGAGTATGATAATGAATATAGTATTAGAGGTGATAATAATGTAATTATACAGATAAAAAATACTTGTGTTGATCATAATGATAATAATTAATGATATAACATTAATAATAGTTATATTCTTAAAATAAAAAGTATTATTTATGATGCAATGACAAAGATTATGATAAGCAATTAAGTGATTAAGAAAAAAAATAATGAAAGCTTAAACTAATAGTAATAATAAGAATGGTAGGCTAATAATAACAGTGAAAATTGATGTTACTAAAAAACAACAAAAGAAAAATAATAAAAAAAAAAATAACAATAATTATGATGACAATGATAGTAAAATGACAATTATAACAAAATGATAACAACATTAGTTACATCTTAAGCAACGATAGTTGACAAGAAGCAATAATAATGATAGTAAATATAATATTAATTTTTTATAAGATAAAAAAATTAAATAATTTATTTACAACTTAAAAATTTTATTCATTAATAAAACCAAGATAAATTAATTTTACACATGAGTTAAAACTTTTTTTGTTTATATTTAATTGATTGTGTTTTGTTTCAGAATATGCATTTAAAAATAGAAAAATTGCATTTATTCTAAAATGTTTAACAATGTTTTGAGTTTTTTTTTTTTAATATTTCATATAAATTTAAAAAAAAATACAAGGATAAACATGTTTATGAGATGTCTTTACAGTTTTTGTCATGGCTACGCTTACTATGCAGTTGTCTTTTATTCTAAATATTACATTGTGCTAAATCCTTATTATACGAGGAACATCGAGCAAACAGCAATGTTTATGTCTAGTATGAATAAATGTAATTAATCTTAAGATTATTTTTTGCTTAAGTATTAGTTTGACTTTAGTGAAAATATATTTTAAATAATTTTAAATTCCTACAATGAAAAAAAAAAATCACAAAAATAAACTCTACCTTGATGGCCAACAGATTTATATCAAGTAGGTGTATTTTGTTATGATAAAATTTCAATACGATATTATATTGTATTTTTAGCATTGTTATTAGATTTAAAATAATAGTTGATATTACTAATATACACAATCAATGTCAATATTATAAAATATTAAAATATTAAAGGTTGATGGAAGTCATTAAAAAAAAAAAATAATTAACCTTTATAATGACGTGTGAATTATATTTTTTATTATTACAATAATTTTTATATATGTTTTAAGTTTGTTTTAAATTTTAAAGATAAAATTATTATTTAACATTTTTAATAATTTTAAATCTCTATATTTATATTTATAATTTATTTTTATTATTTTATATAAACTTTAATTTTTCTACATATAATTTTATTTGTATAAAATTCTACTTAGTATATTGTTTATATTATTTTAAAATAAATTATATCTTAAAATTATTATAATTTTGTTAAAATTTTAATATTTGGATACATATTGTTTGTGGTTATTAAATTTTTAAAATAAATTTATAAATTTTTAATGTTTTAAATAATTTTATTATATATATATACATTCAAAATGGAAGTGGAATGTGATGGTTGAAACTAAAACAACGTTTCGAATCATAATCGCGAAAATCACGTTTTGAAACTCCAACACGGTAGCAAGATGCATGTGAAACATGCCTAAGTGAACCAGTCAATAGAGTGATTATTATTTGGACCAAAAAGAAAAAGAAAAAGTGAGTGCGTTATTACCGTATTATAGCCTACCACAACAACAAATATGTAAATGTAAAACATTTTCTAATTGATAAAGGCGTGTAAAAATATTTGTAATATTAGTATATTAAAATTAAATTCCAATATAATTTATCATATTTTTAAAATAAATATTAATTAATATACTAAGTGTATTGATTAAAAATTGAAAATAAAATATAACTATGTATTCTCCTTAGTCAATAAAAAATATTTTTACAACATTGATTAATAAGACCTTATTTTTTAATAGAAAACTACACATTTTTTAATTTTATAATAAGCGTCTCTTAGTCACGTATTAGTGAGACTCTTTTTAAACACCTCTTTCATTTTTTTAATTATGTAAGGTTATGATATAGACAAAGGAAAATAACTAATTTCCTCGTTAATATTAAAATTGAAACTTTTAGTATATATTAGTGCGAACGCAACATCATAATAACTTTGTGAGTCAAATTAGAATTACACATATAAATAAAAAGAATTAAAAAATTATTAATATTTTAATCATTTTAAAATAATTTCGATTTTTTTATAAACCAAAACCTCATCAAACATTCAATAAAATAATTTATATTTAAATAATTTAAATTAAAGACATATTTACAAAATTATTATAATAATAAAATAAGTGTTTATCATGACTTTCAAATATATATTTTTCATATTTATTTAAATTTTTCTCTATATAATTATATTATTAATAAAAAATAATTTAGATGATAAAATATTTAAACACAAGTGAAAATATAAATTGTGATTAAACTAAGCCAACAGTGTGTGCTTAACACTGTAGCCGCAGTGTGTTGGACGGAGAACGACGCCGTCCAATAAATACATGCGGCTGTGATGGTCTGCACAACGGAGTCCACATTTGGAGGGTCCCACAAAACGACTTCGTCTTGCTCTCTCACACATATAAATCACATTGCCATCCACATCGACATTTTCGAAAAGGGAAAAAAGAAAACAAAGAAGAGCGTTATCTCTCTCAATCCCTTGTGAGCTTGATTCTTCTCTTCTGCTCACAATGGCTTGCACCCTCGCAGATTCATTATTCCTTTTCAAGGTTTTCCTCTTTTAATCTTCTTCCTTTTTCTTTCACCGTTATCCTAAATTCCAACGAAGTAGAATCTCATGCTCTGGTTTTGCAGGGCTCTCATAAGAAGCCAGTTTTCAAGACAAACATTGCTGCTGCGCAATGCTCTCCAGGTCATTATTGCCCTTACCTTACCTCAATTCAGTGCTGTCGTTTTACTATTTCCTAATGGCGTTTTAAATAATTAATCGTCGTTCTGCCACAGCCATGTTTAGTTTGAACTGTGAGGGGCTTATACGGAAAGGGTTAAGGCATCAAAGGCATTTTGTTGGTAGGAATAGAGTCACTGTTGTACGTGCTGTGGCAATTCCAGTAGAACCAGTGGAAGCTGAAAGTGCTGAGTACAGAAAACAATTAGCTGAAAACTATGGTTTCAGCCAAATTGGAGAACAGCTTCCAGATGATGTTACTTTAAAGGATGTTATTAATTCCCTTCCCAAGAAGGTGCTTCTTTCTTTTTTCTTTTAATTTTTTAAATGTAGAACCGTGTCGTGTTTTATAGCGTCATCACTGAACAGGACTTTTGTGTTAAACTGTAGTTTGCTGAGTCAGTTCTTAGGTAGTCTATTATTTTCAATGATTTGTAAATTGTGTTATTAAGTTTGGATTTTTTTTCCTTGCATAAGAATATTGAGAAAATGTTCCCAATGTCATGGTGGCGTATGTGTATATAATAGAACATCAATGATGTTGTTTGTATATGGTTCTTCCATTTTCATCCCTTGTTTTGGCATAAAATTATACCCAAATGAAAAAAAAGAAAGGAAAGGTTTGTCTTCCTTTTGTAATGTTTTCATGGTGATGAGGGTACAGTTTTTATTTAGTTATGTTTAATTTGTTAATGATGCATATTTTTCCTTTACATTTTTTTGAAGGTCTTTGAGATTGATGATGTAAAAGCATGGAAATCTGTTTTGATATCTGTCACTTCCTATGCCCTGGGGCTCTTCATGATTTCCAAAGCTCCCTGGTATCTTCTTCCTCTGGCTTGGGCATGGACTGGGACTGCAATAACAGGGGTTAGTTCAGTATGCATAGTTTTCTTTATCAACATTCGTTACTGGTTCCTCACACCTATTTCTCAGCAACTCTTTTCCCCTTAAAGATCTTGGCCAACCTTCTGATTTTGTTTTTGTAATCCTCTTTCCTCTTTTTTTTCATACAGTTCTTTGTTATAGGACATGATTGTGCTCACAAATCTTTTTCAACGAACAAATTGGTAGAAGACATTGTCGGAACTCTGGCCTTTATGCCACTGATTTATCCATATGAGCCATGGCGATTTAAGCACGACAGGCATCATGCAAAAACAAACATGTAAGCAATTTTGCCTTCTGTTTTGTTTTTCCAGGTGTATCTTGTAAATTAACTGTAGCATCAGAGGGACTGGCTAATATTTCAATTTAATAGGAAGTGCAAAACTTGATTATTTGTTTTGTTTTAATAGATAGTGGGATATTGCATCATTTTGCTCTCCATGATATTTCCCTTTCCTTTCCAATATGCATTCACACTCAGTCCCGCATGTGCTCAAAGTTAGAGGGCACTAATGCAGAAAGGATAAAATGCATGCTACATACAGTATGTATAGTGCACCTATTGAGACGTGTAATGATAACATGCTTGCTAAGGAGAAAATCCTGTGCCATGTTTTATTTACATGATGCTCACAAATACTAATATGGAATCCCCTCCTTAGGAGATATTTGGTTTTAGAAAACATTTTTTATTTTCATTTTCTGTTCTTTATTTTTTATTATAAAACAACTTTCTTATTTTTATTTTGTTTTCTATTTTCAAATATTTGTATAGTAAGTATAACTTTTATTGTTTTTTTGTACAAATATTGGAAAATAGGAAATGGAATGAAAATAAGGTTAGAATTTTGTAATTAAAAGTGAAAATAGAAAATTAGAACAAAAAAGTTTTTTGAAATCAAACAACCTCTAAGGGTCTCTCTCTATCACACTCACACTTTGAGCTTTCCACACCATAATGGGTCAAATCAGTAGCTTCACTGTTTCATTACTTTGAATTGTAAGTCATTTCTGATGCTACAGGTTGTATGAAGATACTGCTTGGCACCCTGTTTGGAAGGATGAGTTTGAATCATCTCCAACTTTGAGGAAAGTAATAATATATGGATATGGTCCTTTTCGATGTTGGATGTCTATAGCACACTGGTATGGCATACAAAGGAGTCATTTATTCTTTAAGATCACCTATGCCTTGAAATATTTTTACAGTTCCGCAAGTTCTACTTCATTTACTTAAGCAGCCTTGGATTCATATTTTATGACCTTTATTTCAAATCTTGATAATGATGTGCATCCTAACAGGTTGATGTGGCACTTTGATTTGAAGAAATTCAGACCAAATGAAGTGAATAGAGTGAAGATAAGTTTAGCTTGTGTTTTTGCCTTTATGGCAATTGGATGGCCATTAATTATTTACAAGACTGGAATAATGGGATGGATAAAATTCTGGCTGATGCCATGGTTGGGCTATCACTTCTGGGTAATTTCACTTCTATCTTGGAAATTCATATTTTGTTAAACTTCACTGAAAAATTTTACAATGATTTAATCTTATGGAATGAGAGAGCACTGTGTTCAACCTTAATAAAGCTATGCCATTTTAATTTTTAAATTTAAAAACTGTTATTTAAATTTAATTTTATCCCTCTTGAGTCCTTATAATTATTCCTGGATTCCCTAGTTATAACTAGGGATTGCAATAAGTCATGATGCTCATTAAGGTCCTATGTTGGCCTATTTTGGCCAAACCTACATAGCAAACAAACTAGGCTTGTATTGTTTATAATCTTATTTAATTAAATAGGCTAAGTTTTAGGCCCTAAAAGAAAGCTTTTTTTGCTTAACAAAGTGACCTATTTATTTATTTCCTGAATGTATACATTTTGGACAACATATAATTTTATTAAAGATTTTGTTAACCTCAGTCCTTAGTGCTGAGTTTAAACGTCTACAAATAGAAAATTTTTATAAAAAAAAATATACAATTATTATATTGAAATTATAAAAATACAATAAATACTTCTTTTTTTAATAAAATTTGCTTATCTTCAGTCCTAAACAAAACTCTTTTATTAAAGATGATATTAAAAATTAAAAAGTTTAGTTTCTTAGCCTACTTTAAGGCCTACTTGTAATATAGGTTTTCTGTCAGGATTTTATATTTTTGCAAAAAAATTTAGGCTATGCCCCAAAAAATAGCAAATGATAGTTATTAGGCAAAGATCAGGCTGGCATTTTGCTAAGCAGGTCTAACACTATTTGCACCTCCAGATAAAATATCATGCATGCCCTTTTTATTTTAAATCATTGACAAATTTTGTTTGTTACCATATATTGCAATCTTGTTGAATTATTAATATTTAGTAGTTCTGTTATCCCCCCACCCCCCAAGATACAGTGTGCCGTTGCCAAGTCTGAATTTTCTTGATATAATTAATACTCTGGCCATGTGTCTTAGAATTTAAAGTTATATAAAGAGTCCAATATCTAAGTGGTTTTTTGTTTTGCTGGCAATCACAGATGAGTACTTTTACCATGGTACATCATACTGCACCGCACATACCATTCAAATATTCAGAAGAGTGGAATGCTGCACAAGCACAGCTTAATGGAACTGTTCATTGTGATTACCCTAAATGGTAATGGAATTCCTTTTGCTCCTTTGATTGCAATTTATGTTTTCCTTTCCAATAAATTGTCACATGGAGGTGGAATATAGTGCATAATTGATGAGCTATTGTTGAATTTTATTTCATTACTTATCCGAAGATGACTGATCTTGGATTCTATGAATAATTTTTAATGATTTATCCTTCTTATCCTACCTATTCCTTATCTGTGCTCCAGTGTTATTAAAATACAAGACAAAAATTTGAAAAAATAAAACAAATGAGAATAAAGATCTTTTTCATAGGCCAACGATGTTTTCCCAGGATGAGTTCTTATTTGAGGTGAAGAAGATTTTTACATGTGCTTTGATATTGCATTACTATTATTGATTAATTATGAATCTAATTTGAAATGTTTTTTATCAACCAACAAAATTTGAAATGTGTTAATGCTTACAGTTTCCTGATATCTGTTTTAATGTCTACTGCCAGTGAATGTGTTAAATTTAAAATGCTTGATTATTCATATGTTACATTGCATCCCCTGAATTACTTATCTTATAACCCCCCCCGGCTTTCTCATTTTGTCTTAAAAAACGTTTGTATATCATAGGATTGACAAACTTTTTTCTTTTGTTGCTATTTTTTTTTTCCTGAACAGGATTGAGATCCTATGTCACGATATTAATGTCCATATTCCTCACCACATATCCCCGAGGATACCAAGCTATAATTTAAGAGCAGCCCATAAGTCTCTCCAAGAAAATTGGGGACAGGTAAGACAGAAAGTGCCGATATCGTTTTCTGCCTGTTCATGTATGGAACGAGGGTCATTGTTCAATGCATTAAACTTATATTATCAGCACTGTCAGCATAATTAACAAGTAATGGCTGGCTTTTTCTTCCTTTCTCGAGTCTCAGTCTTAAAAAAATATTAAAATTGTTAGACTATTTGCTTTGCCACTGAAGCTTCTTTTAGATATAGTCCAAATAAAAGATTTGGCAGTTTTGTTTATTCCAATAATACATATTTGTAACTTATCCCATTGGTTAAATTCTCTAGAAAATTGTCATTGTTGCTAATTATTTTTATCTTGTTTTCTTTGTGTTGGATCGACAGTATCTGAATGAGGCTAGTTGGAATTGGAGATTGATGAAGACAATCATGACAGTGTGTCATGTGTACGACAAAGGGCAAAATTATGTTGCCTTCGACGAACTTGCCCCTGAAGACTCTCACCCAATTACATTTTTGAAGGAAGCCATGCCTGATTATGCCTAATTAGGTCCACGCTGGCTTTCTTCTCATATGAAATTTTTTATGTATCAAATTAGGTTGGTATGCCGTTCAATTTCTTTTTACATGTTCGTTCTTTGTCTAATAGGGTTTTGTTTTTCCTATCACGTATAAAGAGAAAATTGCTTGCTGCTATCGATAATCATGTTACCAAGTTGCGGATTATCCAAGGCCAAGCCCCAAGAAGCATTCATTAGGTTAAAGTAGATGGGTAATCTTTACAGCGAGGTTCTTGCCAGATATACACGTTGGGAGAACATTGTATTATATATTTTAATATATAAAGTTGTCCAACGGATAAGAAAACACGTGGAGTTGCACAGTGGTTTGAGCGCAATGAATTATGCTGAGTACTGCCAATATTATTGCTGGGTATTTTTTTTTCTTTATATTGCTGACATTTAGGTCTACAGTGTCCTTCTGGTCTAGTGAAAAGTCCATATCCAACCATAACTGTTTGCAAACTTCAAAGTGGAACGATCTTCTAAACACAAACAAGTGTTTCCTCGTGGGGAGACCGAGAGAACCCAATCCATCTTTTTTTTCCCGCTAAACAACCTGAGTTTGATTAAATTAATATTTGGAACTTGGACAACGAAATTGTCTGGTTGGTTATCGTCCGTTAATCTCAAATATCTAACAATTTGAGACTTTGGGATTTATGTGTGCTTTTGATGGATTTGGTGCAGCCGAAAGAGTTCAAGGGATATTTTATGTAGTACCATTTATTGGGAAAGTAAAGTGACCTAAAAGCCGCAAACCACTCCACCCACCAGTGACGCCTTCTGGCTGAAGCGATTCCATTCAAAGCAAGTCCAAATGGCATAGCAGTTACAACTGCTCACGTGCCAAGGGAATTCAGTTCACATGATTCCCTTCGTCTTTTTAAGGTTAGTGAAGTGACTTTACTACATTTAAACCGCAATATTAGTTGGGAAAGAAAAAGGCGAAACAATGTAAGGAAGAGAATATGTCCTTTAAATAGCAAAAAAAAAAAAAAAACGGAGAGAGAGAAAAACAGGGGGCTGGTACGAACCTAGAATCTGCAAGAGATCGAAGTGATGTATGAAATCTGAGTCACAGGAAACAGAAAATATGCAATCCATATTTAGTATTATCTTTATCTGTAGATCTGCAATCCACTACACCTTTAGACTTTAGTTATAAACTACTCAATCTCGTATATACAAGTTTTAGACTCAACACTGCATCAAATGCAGGAGCATTCCGGTTGTAGCAAACTATAGATAAGTAACCGTAAACTAAGCAAGCCACAGTATAAAATAAATCATAGAATTGGTGGTGTTGGAGTCTCCCATATATCAAACACATTCTGCTCACTATGAAGGGCGAAAAGCCTATCCCCTCCAATGGAAAAGTCACAAATTGAACCACCATAGCTTCGTCTGAGCCTGGATGTCAAAACCCATTCAGGGCCACAAAACACTGAAATGCAATCATTCATGGAGGAAAAAAGCTGGCCTCCATGCAGTGCCAATTTGGGGTAACAGGGTTCCTCTGGCATCTTCCCATTCATCAACCTACTTCTTGAGCTCCACCTAATGCTTGTGGCACCAGAACTCCTCAAATCCATGAACCCCAAATCCTCAAACTCATTGACCACACAAATGGAGTTGTTGTCCTCCATTGCAATTGCATCCCTCACCCGTTTCTCATCCACAGCAAAGGGAGCCCCCACATCAGACCAACACCAAACCATCCTCTTCTCCCTGAAATCCAAAAGGCTAATGTAACAGTTGTCCTTCCTAGGAAACATAGTAGCAACCAACAAACAGTTGCTCCCTTCCAACCACTGAAGCTTATCAGCATCCCCAAGAGACCAACCGAAAGGCTCATAAAAAAAATCAATTTGACTCCCAGTTACCTGGTCCCAAACACCAACCCCATACTCATTACTTCTTCCCTTACAGCTAGAAAATATCTTATAATCCGAACTAAAACTCAAAGCACCAGCAGTGTAACTCTTCACCCGATTCTCATGACTAACTTGAAACTTATATCTAAGTTCCCCCGTGTGGGAACTAAACAACCCCATCCCACCATCACCCCTCCCAAGCCTTTCACTCACTCCAATTACTATGTTGTCGGAGTCAACCCAACCAGCATCATTAACTCGTTGATAATCAAGATTGAGAGGAGGGTGTTCCTCTAACATCCAATCATACACATGAACCATGCTACCATGAGCTACACAACAACCACCATCAGGGCCAGCCCGAATGGCTGTTCCATCACCCGGTGCTTGACCCTGCAAGGACCGCGACAACCTCAACCTGTTACCATCGAATGGACCCCACTTTGCGGCTCTAACGTGGTCCAGGACACCGTAAAAGAGGGCCTCTCTGTAGAGGAGTTTCTCGGGGATGCTGGGTGGGATGCAGAGTTCCCCGGTTCGGAGCAGATCGAGGAGAACAGCGAAGCAATCGGGGTTGCGATCCATGAATCTCTCGCTCACGTTATCAGATATCAGGTTCCAATTCTCGTCAAACATTGCCCCGAACATTGAATTGCGCCCTGCATTGGCCAGTGTTGTTGCTGTCGTTTCCATCACTCTGCCTCCTACGTTGAATTTCACCCTGTCTTTTTGAACCCCCATGATTTGATTTCTCCAAAGTTTGAAACTTTGCGAGAAAACCAGGTGGGGATGGAGATGGGGCTCGTCAATTCAGCAGGGTTGAATTGGATTGGATGAACACGGGGAACACGGGGTTTCAGGGCTGTTTGTAACTGCCACAAAATGGTAACGGAATAAATAGGAATTGAAAATATTATGGTTGAAGGGTTGATTGGAATTGAAGCAAAGATGAAGAGAGGGTGTGTGTCCCAGGATCAGAGGTTAAGTTAAGCAACAAAAAAATGATGATTTTGTGGGGAAGAAAACAAGACATGGATGGTTATTGTAAGAGACACACTCACACACGGCTTTAAAAAAAAGTGGGTTTTTAAAATTGTGGGATTTGGTGAAAGAAAGAGGAATCAAGATGATGCGTTGGAGCGGTTGGAATTCAAAACCGAATTGACTCGGTTTAATCTCTCCCTCTAAGTCACTGTTGGTCTTTCTCTCTCTGTTTTCCAATTGGAATTTTTCCCACGTCTTTCTGTCCTTTGGCTTCTTTGTTATTGGTCGTGGGACATGTAATTGAATCTTTCTCATAAAAATAATCTAACCGGGGTCCAATTAATCACACACTATGGTTCTCAGGATCACATCCAACGGCTGTAATGAAATATGAATCGTAGGAATAAAGTACACATAAGGTAGCATGGGATCATAACCCTTGTGTGCTTTGCTGAATTGTAGTAATATTTAAGGTGGCTGGTTCTCTCTGTTTTTCATACCAAGTCAACTTTCATGCGCGGTATTTGGCGTAAAGAAAGCGCGTCATGAGACTCCTAATTTCTAAATTTAAGTAGATTTTTTAGAACTCAGAATTAATACGAGTGGGACAACAGAGTTAGATTTTATGAGCGACTTATTCTGTTTACTCTTTGAATTTTGTAACTAATTATGTCAACTTACCATTTATTGACAAGTAATATGTCTATATCATTCTTTAGTTCACTTAAAGAAGGTTTTCCAAACCTAATTGGATGGCACTCTCTCTCTTGTACTGATGAGGGTAGGGGAAATTGCACCATTCGTTGTGTGACATTCGAAGTGCCAATTTTCACTAATAAAAAAATACACACCAAAAGGGTCTTTTTTTCTTTTCTTGAGATTAATTCGAATGATGATCATCTCTAATTCACGATAGATATAGAGATAAGTTTTAACGTCAGCAGTTATCAAATGAATGTTGACCTTTTCCATTTTGTCCTTTCTTGATAAGATAAGTTCAATTTGCCTAATAGGAGTGTTTTTCTATTTTAAAAGGTATATGAAAACTTATTGCTTGACAAGTTGTGAAAGTCGAGGCCTTTTCCTCAGTTTTTTGGCCTTGAATTACTCAGCTTTTTCCATATCCCCTGTCCCACCCACCCATTCAACTTCGTTGTAGCGGGCCGTGAACGGCAAAACTTTCACACTTGAGTATTCACAAAAAGAAAAAAAAAAAGAGGACAAATTAATTGAGTATTGAACACTTCTTATTTCTTAGAGCTTTAGAAGTAGTCAATACGTTCCAATTCCTATCAGACAAAAGGCTAACGGATCAAATGAATCACTGAAATTATGATTGTTTTTATTGCTGATATAAATTATAATAATAAAGATTAAAATGATTGGTTTATGTTAATTTTAAATACTAAAATAATGTTTCTATAATTGGAAAATATATTAATCGATATTTATGGGTTTAAGGTCTAATTTGATGCATTATTCTTGTAAAAAATAAAATAGGAAATAATAACGAGTTTAAATGCAAAACACTGCCCAGTGGGGAAAAATGTGGAAGAAGATTGGGTAGGTCAAGCAGCTCTTTCCTTTTCATTTTCAGTGACATTGCGAGATAAGAATAAACATGGCATGGTGGACCTTGATTCTAAGTTAATATCGTGAAAAGGTTTCAAATCAGGATTTATACAAGTAGACCCTAAACTAGATATAATATAATATTTTAAAATTACATCCAACGGCTGGCAATATAAGCCTAGCATGATTGAGTAAAATCATACACATATCCTTCAAATCATGTAAGATATTGCTACTTGCTACACATAATTTGATATCAAACAACGTTTGGTGGATATGTGATGGTCACAATCTTCTTTTCAGTAAGTGGAATGAGGGAGACACCGAATGCTTCATATCACAATTTTGGATAACAAGCTTAGGATTGGCTCCAGAGTTACATAGCTTAAAAAAGACATTACATGATTGGAAATTTTCTTAAACTCAAAGGCATCGACCATATAGTTTATCTTGGTCTTATCTTCCTCTTGGTGGGTACGACCAAACAAGTTAACGAATCCTTTATATTTGCCGCAAGCATGATACACAGATGAGGTAGCAAGAGTTAATCTGATTGGTCCAAGTGTATGGTGCATTATCATCTTTACCATCAATCACACATCTATTGCAACGTACAAGATGGACTTGCTATAATTTGGTCCATCGCAATCTCGATAAATAAGTTCCATATAATCATAATAATAATGGTCATGATAGAATTGGTTTTTACCATTAGAACTGGTTATATTATTAAGGATGAAAATTTTCCTAATTAAACCTATCCTCATAAAATAATGCATTTTGTATGATATTCTATTTGATTCTACCATAGTTATAACAGATTATCATTATTGTTGAAGCAGGGTTAGATGAACACTGGTTATTTTTTCTTTTGTGACTTTTTCATCTATGTTCCTTTTTAGATGAAATTGTTGTAGGTGAAGGGTATTGGTATGCATGGCCATTGGGGTGATTTACCAACAACTTTGTCAATTAGGTGAATTATTGGAACCAAAGAAGTTAGGTACAACTTTCTCAGTGAGCAATTGGTGTATCTTTACATGAATTCGACGTGGCAAAAAGAGAAAGTGTGATTCAGAAGTATCATTTGAATAGGGAAGAACCGCGCTCAATCTCTCAATTCTAGTTCCGATTGCACAGAGTCATCATTGGATGATAATGAATACTATGATGAAGAAGTTGTGTTGGAAACTGGGTGGTGGGATAAAAAAGTAATAGCCATTGTTGAATTCTATTACAAAAGAGCAATAAAGAGAAGGAAACTAAGGACAAAATCTGAATTGATCAAGATTGTATAATTTGTTATTATAGAACATAACTCTCATCTCAGGTCTATCAGCAATTTACATATGAATACACCTACTGATATGAAAGGATACAAATGGGAAGTGAAAGAAAATAAACTAAACTAACTAGCCGTTAAAGTCTATTAAAATAGAATAAGAGAGTAATTAATTTGTTTTACTGTTAACATGGTGCTGAGTTTCATTCAATAAATTCAACCATTCTAGTGTGTATTAAGAAGCTTTCCAACAAGTAAGACATCATCATTGTTCTTGTTCTTGCCATTTATTGTTCTGCCTCTTGCAATTTCCATTTTTGTTCTTATAATTTCTTTTTCTTGTTTCTGTTCTTGCAATTTTATGTTCTTGTAAATTCTTGAGAAGCTTTCCAACAACTAAGGCATATAATCATTAATATCATTATTATTGTTCATGCAATTTCTAATGCTTGTTCTTGCATCTTTTTATTCTTGTTCTTATTGTTCAATTTTTCATGTTCTTGTTCTTGCAATTTCTTGTTCTCATTGTTGCTGTACTTGTAATTCTTGTTCTCATTTTTGTTGTTCTTGTAATTTGTTGTACTTGCAATTTCTTCTCCATGTTCTTGCAATATGTTACTCTTGATCTTGCAAATTTTCGTGTTCTACTGCTTTTCCTTATTCCTACAATTTTTTGTTCTCGTTCTTGTAATTTTTTATACTTGCCATCTTCTTCTTCTTGCAGCTTCTTGTTCCAGTTCTTGCAACTTCTTGCAAATTTTCTCGTTCTATTTCTTTTCCCTGTTCCTACAATTTCTTTTTCCCCTTCCTGTGATTTGTGGTACTTGAAATTTCTTGTTCATGTTCTTGTAATTTCTTACTCTTGATCTTGCAATTTTTCTTGTTCTGTTTCTCTTCCTCGTTCCCACAATTTCTTGTTCTTGTTCTTGTAATTTGTGGTACTTGCAATTTCTTGTTCATGTTCTTGCAATTTTATGCTCTTGGTCTATTTCTTTTCCTTGTTTCTACAATTTCTTGTTCTTGTAATCTTTGGTACTTGCAATTTCTTCCTCTTGTTCTTGCAATTTCTTGCTCTTGATCTTGCAATTTTCTTGTTCTATTTCTTTTCCCTGTTCTACAATTTGTTCTCGATCTTGTAATTTGTGGTACTTGCAATTTCTTGCTCTTGTTCTTGCAATTTTCCTTGTTCCTCAATCTTTGTTCTCGTTCTTGTAATTTATGGTCTTTGCAATGTCTTCCTCTTGTTCTTGCAATTTCTTGCTCTTGATCTTGCAATTTCCAACAAGTGAGGCATATCATCATCATCATCATTATCATTGTTGTTGTTCTTGTAATTTCTATTCTTGCAACTTTTTATTCTTGTTCTTGAAATTTCTTGTTCTCATTGTTGCTGTCCTTGCAATTCTTGTTCTCATTAATTCTTGTAATTTGTTGTACTTGCAATTTCTTCTTCATGTTCTGCAATTTGTTACTCTTGACCTAGCAATTTTTCTTGTTCTATTTCTTTTCCTTGTTCCTACAATTTATTGTTCTCGTTCTTGTAATATTTGATACTTGCAATTTCTTTTTCTTGTTCTTGCAGCTTCTTGCTCTTGATCTTGCAATTTTTTTGTTCTATTTCTTTTCCTTGTTCTCCTTCATGTGATTTGCGGTATTTGCAATTTCTTCCTCTTGATCTTGCAATTTTTCTTGTTCTATTTCTTATCCTTGTTCCTACAAACTTTTGTTCTTGTTCCTACAATTTCTTATTCTTGCAGGCCTATGTATTTTTGTATTTTATTGTAGATCAGGAAAAAGTAAAAAGAAGAGAGCCAAAGAAGCATATTAACGCCCTTCTGCATATTTTATCCTAAAGAAGTAAGAAAATGTCTGAAGATTTTCATGATTATACCACAGGTTTCTAAGTGCATTAGATTGGTCTGGGGTGCCCGATTTATCAGTTTCCAATTGCAAACCTTTTTCTGACCTCTGAGAAGAGTTTTCAACTTCAGTTTAAAAAAAAAAAAGGTCTCTGTTATCCATATCTGTACATGCTCGATGAATGAATTTGTGTCTTTTAACTGCAGAGGCACGAAGTATTGATAATGTCCACCATTTTTGTGTTGCCCATAATGCAATTTGTGGCTTGAATTGTAATTTCATTTGTGCATAAGTTGTTGCTGAACTTATATTTTCATTTGGTGCTAAGATTATGTTTTTTCCTTTTGATGTTAAAGGATGATGCTCGGGGGTTGAAATTTTTGTTATCGATGTTTCAAATTGTTGGTTCTACTAGCATTTATATCGTGTTCCTTCTGGTGTTTTCTCGTGGTGTTGAGTTGGAGCCAGGTAAGCATTTTTTTTGCCTTGAAACGGATAAAACTAGAGGATTCAACAAGGGCACAATCACTAGCAACAACGAGATTTTATTAAACAAGCGATAATTTTTTTTTCTTGTAAAATTTGTTCATGTTGGGTCAGTAATAGCACTCCAAATCTCATAGCTGTTTCCAAATCAACTTAGTTCAAGACATCGTCATCTATGATTTCTGGAGTGAAATTCTAGGCCCAATACTTAAAAGAGCATTTGCTTCAAAATGTTGTCAGCTGTTCTTACATGTACATTTCACTAGGTTTCAATATCTTTAATGTTTGCAAAAGGCTAATTCTTCCATATCAAGTGCCTCTTAAAGTTCAAATCCATTGAGTTGACTAATTGGTAGCAGGATCCATTACAATCTTAGTTTCACATTGCATATGTGAAAATAAGCTATGGTCATTGGCATTGTCTCGTGGCCTAGGACAAGAGTACATGTTGCCCGCAAGGTTATATTTAGAATCAATTCAAATATTTAATAATGTTGATGCTTGCAGGTACATCCCAAATCATGTTGTGTTTGACAATTTGGCAATGTAGAGTTCTGAGGTCTGAAATTTGTACATCAACCGTTATAAGAGATGAATGCACTACATTGTGGTTAGGCAAAGTGGGAGACACGTAATACACTCTGGCAGAGAAGGAGGCATTAGATTTTAAAAAGTTTCGTAACAGAATTTTTAAACTTAGGAACACAAATAATTCTGTAAGTTGTACTTATACATTTTGTATGGGAAAAATAAATAATTATAAACATTATTTATTATTTAATTTCTCACGATTCTTTAATTTTCTCTTGTCCTAAACCTTTTAAAAACTAATTAAAAATGGTACACTTTTTTTTTTGTATTTTTAAATGAATCAAACAAATTAAATGCATCTTCTTTTCTTTCAAATATTTGTTTAAAAATGTCTTTGAAAAACTTCACCAATTTCTTCTTTCTTTACTTCGTCTATTAGTTGAAAGAACTTATAAAAAAAATTCAGAAGTAGTAGTTGTTTTTTGAATATTTATAAAAGATAATTTTAAAAAGATGGTGTATTAAATAAAAATGGGTGATTTTTTTTCTTTTGACATGTTAGTTTATAATTCAAATTTCTATCTTTCATTTTTTATTGAATGTTATGGATTCTCTTAGAAGTATAAATTTGTGACTCATGCTATCTTTTTGAACTATTTTAAAAAATTCTTATAAAATAAAATAAATAAATAAAACTTCTTCTAAAAATTCAAAAAAAATTATATTTATCTATTTTTAGAAGCTCTTCATTTAATTTCTCTAAAATTTAAAGAAATTAATTATTTTTAATTTATAGAATAAATTTTATTTATTATTTATATTAATTTTTTCTTTTATAAGAATTTTTTACTCAACTGAATGAGTATAGATAAGTTCTTATTAGAAAAATAAAAATAATATAAAAAATAAAATATCTCATAAATTAAAAATAATTTAAATTTTTAAAATTAAAAAAATATAAGTTGATTTTAACTTATAAATAAAATTTCATTCATTGTATTACTTAATTTTGACTCTTATAAAGACTTATTAAGAAATTTATCTAAATTAAACCTTTTTTATAAGTATTTTTATGTCATTTATTTTTGTTTACTACGATTTAAAAAGTTATTTTGTTGCTAGAGTATAGAAAGTAACGGCTATAAACCTATAATTTATCTAAAATTATACTCTGAACTCTTTATTTTAAGAGTTAATTTTAATTTTTTTATTTTTTCATTTATTTTTAATAAATAAAGTTAGTGAGAACTTAAATTAACTTCAATGAAACATATGTTAATAGTAGAGTTAGATATAATAATATTAAATTAAAATAAAGTTGTTATGATGATTTTGAAAATAAAAAAAATTAATTTTGACTAATTTAATTTGTATAATTTAGTTGACATTAGTACGAAAACTGATAATATGAAAAGTTACGGATCAAAGATATACATATTTAATCGGTTGTTTAATAATTTGAAATATAATGAAAAATAAGAAATAATAGAAAATTCCCATAACGATTTTCAAGCAATTCATTTCATACTGTTTGCTAATTTTTTAAATTTAAAGTCACTTATAAAAATTTATAAGTTATTATTTAAATAAGTTAAATTATATATTTTATTTCTATAATTAATATTTATTTATGAATTAACTTCTATAATTATGTTTTGATCTATATATAAATACTTTACTATATTTTATCATTATCATTACACCGTCACTGAGAGATTTCAAAATATGATTAAATACTCTTGAATAAAAATTAGAAAATACATAAAATCAAAATTAATTGAGAATATATATATATATAGTAACTTATTTTTTTTATAATACTTGATTATTAATTAATGAATTTTTTTTTAATTTATTTTTTTTCTAAAAAAATATTAACGTTAGCATTTTTATTACAATTATTTAATATATTTAATTTATATATAATATACTTTTATATAACATTTTAATTTCTATTGAAAATATCATCAATTTATTTTTATGATAAATTTTTATCAATTAAATGTTTATAAAAATAAAAATATTTAAAAATATTTTTTGTCTGAATTATTTTTGGTATCTTATTAATTATAATTATAATTTTTATTTAATTTATGTATTTATTAAATTAATAAATTTTATATTAATAAATATATAATTTTAAAGCATAAATAATAATATTTTTACTGAGTTTGTAATCTTTTAAAAATTCATGATTTTTTATTTGATATATTATTTTAATATTTTTAGACAATTTCACCAAAAGTTTTATTTTTCAGTTAAGATATAAATTTAATTTCGATAATTAATATCCATTTATTATATTTATTAAAAAAATTATACAAATATTTTGTTACATTTTAATCTATATTTTATAATATAATATTATAAAGTATCAATTATTAAAATTAATGTAAATAACATAGATGAAAACTTAAAAAAATTTAAATATGTAATAAAATATATTTTTTAAATAAAATGAGTTTTGTTTATAAAAATTAAATAATATATTTAATTTTTAAAATATTTATAACTTTTTAAATGGTATATAAAAATAGGTTCAAAAAGGATTATTTTGGGTGCAAAAAGCCTCCCTCCTCTTCTCGGCCATACACTCACTCATGGGCCCAGGCCCAACTGACCACTCATAGTTGGAGAGAAAAAAAAAATGATTACCTGATGGGGGTGTAGGGTTTAATAGTAGCCACCGTTCGGCCATCATTTCTCTTTCGCAGAAGCCGAAACCCTCTGCTTCTGTTTTGTTCTCTTCTCTGCATTTCCACTTTGCACTTTTTACTCTGAAATCGAAGCTTCTCGAATGGCGGAAGCTTTCTTGATCCAAACAGAGCCTCCGAATCCACCGGATCCTTCACCTTCTAACGTCCTCTTCCGGAGAAGAATCGAGTTCCACCCTGTCAAGAAGCCCTTCAAGGGTTTTTCCAATGATTTTCACATCGAAACCCTAAACCCCTCCTCCTCCGAACCTGGACCATCCGGTTCCGGCGCCTCACCGGCGGGTACTAAGAAACACGACGCTTCCGAATTCTCCGAGTTTGGCTTGGATCCGGAGCTCAGCTTCGGAATTACCTTCCGAAGAATAGTGAGTCTGTCCGTCACTTGAATTTCATTGCTTCTGTCGGTTGTTATCGTGCGTTTCACAATTTAAGATGCAAATTAGTTAACGCTTAATTTGGAATATTTGATTTTGATGCGAGCTTCTATTTTTCGTTTTGCATTCACTTTTATTGTTCTTGATTTTATTACATATAGGCTTGATTAAAGAAAAAGATGCTATTCATAATTTTCAGGGAGCTGGATTGCGAAATCTTGGAAACACATGTTTTCTCAATTCAGTACTCCAGTGTTTGACATACACAGAACCTCTAGCTGCGTATCTGCAAAGTGGCAAGCATAAGACTTCATGTGAGAAACTCTCTGCATTTTTGTTTTCCTTCCTCTTCTGTTACACTTGCCATATTTATATTCATGTAAATACTTCATTTATGGTTCACTTTTGCTTTGTTGTGTATGATGCTAAATAAGCGCAGTCGAACAGGGTTATGTTTTCATAAATTTTCCTGTTAGTTGGCAATGATGCATACATATGCATGAAGGAAATTATTGTTATATTGAATTTCTGATTGTATTTTACGATTATTTTAGGCCACATTGCTGGATTTTGTGCTCTGTGTGCTATACAGAATCATGTTAGCCGTGCACTGCAGTCAACTGGGAGAATATTGTCCCCAGAGGATCTGGTTGGGAATCTACGATGTATCCTTATGTTTTATATTTGATTTTGGAATGAGCAACAGGGCTTCTTTTTTTCCCTCTTATTGTTTAGAGACTCTTGATAAGAATAAGGCTACTATTCTAAAATATCCTGCTTCTTTCCGTCTCTCTGTGCTGTTTGTGTATGTATTCCTTTGGGCTAAGGAGAGAGTGGTTGGCTGGAAGTTTCTTTTCATTGAGCATGCATTCCTTCAAACCATTGAGTCGAGAGTCTGACAATTTCACCCCTTTCCGTGTAAACAATCAGAAATTGCATGTATCGCAGCCAAGGTAGTTAAAATCCCGATTTGAATCTTAAAATCTTACGATTTTACGATTTTGGAAGTCTCACCGATTTAAATCGTGGATAAAATCCTAATTAAGTAAAATTCTTGTAAAATCCCGATTTGAATCATAAAATCCCTCAAATTGTGGGATTTTACGATTTCACTTCGATTTTGAAAATTTCTCGCAAAGTCTATTTTGTTGAACCCTATCGTACGCCTCTTTCATATATCTCCTTTTTATGGAATCTAATTTGCCTCTAGCAGCTTTGAACCCTAACATTGTTGTCAACATTCAACAGTCCTCCTAATGCGTGCAACCTGGTCTGCAACTTAATCTATTGTTGTTCTTACATCTTTTCTGTTCTGGTCTATTTTTTATTCATGTAAATGCATTACATTCTTATGGAATAAATTATGATTTGTGAGTTCTACGTTGTTTAAGTATTTTTACTGATTTGAAGCTTTTTTCCCTTAATTTATGATATTTTATATGAATAATATGAATTTATATCATATATATGAATTTTATAAAATCTTACGATTCAATTTACGATTTTACGATTTACGATTTTCACTCTCCTTTACGATTTAAAGTAAAATCCCGATTTTAACTACCTTGATCGCAGCAAGCTGTTCTGGAAACATGGCTAAAACCACTTCTTCACATTTATTTATCTAACAATGGGTTTTGTCCTTTTGCATCTTTTTGTGAACTTCCCTGTTGACAAGAGATAATACTGTTTCTTAAGTTAGTTAGGTGATTGTTCCTTGGTTTGATCAATAAGCAGTAAGCACTGTTCCCTGCCCCCTTTCCCTCTTTTATTGGCTTGAAATTTGTACTTCCTGACATGAGGTCAGGCATATCACGGAACTTCCGAAATGCAAGGCAGGAGGATGCGCATGAGTATATGGTGAACTTACTTGAGTGCATGCATAAATGTTGCCTGCCTTCTGGAGTACCAAGTGAATCACCTAGTGCTTATGAGAAAAGTTTTGTTCATAAAATCTTCGGTGGTCGTCTCAGGAGTCAGGTAACTGTTTTTTTATTCAATGCGGAGTTTTGAAGAGTAATGTCATTACTAATCAAGTTTAGGGGCATTGATATGACAGGATCCAGATAACATATAACATCAACATGGAGATGCAACAAATTATAAAAATCATGTAACACAACATTGCTATAATGCAACATATAAGTTAGTATAAAGTGAAAATTTCCAATCTAAAGAATTCATGTTTTAAAAATGAGCCTAATTCATTATAGGCATAAGAAAATGTTAAATTTGTATTAATATTGTAGTATTCCTATCTGTATTGATATAGATGTTTTAAAAATTATATAAAAAAGATAATAAACCTGTTACTAAAACTATTTGAAGTGTGTGTGCAATTTATACACATTTGACATGGTTATGACTCAGAATTACATACTCTCTGGAGATGTCCATACTTGTAATGGATGTTTGGAAGTGATTTGGTTAATATCTAAAATATATTTTGGGAATCTATATAGAAAGCAAACAATTATACACTTTTTTACTTCAATATATGGTTACTTTATTACAACAATTGAAGTGTTCTTTGTTACTTTTCCCAGGTGAAATGCCAGCAGTGTTCTTATTGCTCCAACAAATTTGATCCCTTCTTAGATTTAAGTCTTGAAATATTCAAGGCAGATTCATTGCAAAAAGCACTTGCAAATTTCACAGCTGCAGAATGGTTGGATGGAGGGGAGAGGCAGTACCAATGTCAACGGTGCAAACAGAAAGTTAGGGCTCTCAAACAGCTAACAATTCATAAGGCGCCTTATGTACTAACAATTCATCTAAAGCGGTTCCATGCACATGATCCTGGACAGAAGATTAAAAAGAAGGTTCATTTTGGCTGTGCATTGGACTTAAAACCCTTTGTCAGTGGATCATATGTAAGCAATATATATTTTTTTTAATAATTGTATGAATTATGTTACTTTTAGCAAAATTGTTGTTATTTTAATAATAAATATATGCCTAAAATTGTGTTTGCCATTGGTTTACTATGTTAAAAAAGCCAGGCTTGGTAAAATTTTTCAGTTTCTTGTTTTGAAATACTTGCTATTTTGTTTTACTGCCATATATTTGTGTATGTAACTTCTAATAATTAATATGGTAATGTTATGCTTCTTATTGCAACCTTTTTCCATTTGGCAGGATGGAGATGTTAAGTACTCCTTATATGGGGTTCTGGTTCATTCTGGTTCCAGCACTCATTCTGGCCACTATTACTGCTATGTTCGCACTTCAAATAACATGTGGTATACCTTGGATGACAATCGGGTACTGAAAATGTGCCTTATAATTTTCTTTTTATAGTTTTATGGATTTTGCAAATCTTGGTACTAATTTTATGAATATCAATAAACTTGACAAAAGTGGCCAGTGTCTTGAGATTGGGGGGGGGGGGGATAGTAGTAAAGAAATTAATTTATAGAATACCATATCTTTACTAAGGTTTTTTAAAATACTACCTCTGGTCCTAAATATAAGATCTTTTTGACTACTTCATAAGAATTAAGAAATAGTTAATTTCATTAATGGGATTCAATTACATAAAATCTTGGATTTTTTTTAAAAAAAACTACCCATAAAATTATTGGGATTCAATTATCTTATTCCCTTTCTACCTAATTATTTATTGTCTCCATTGAGGGTGTTTTTGTAAAAAAAAAGTTATGCTAAAAACAACTTGCATGGGATCTTATAAAAAGGACCATGAAAAACTCCCCAAAAAGCTCGATATTTAGGACCAGAAAGAAGTCGTAGTTAGCTCCTTGGAAGTTGACGTTACTGCATCAATGTTTTGTTTTGTTGGGAAAATGAACTGACCTTTAGGCAACTATATCTCTTTTAGGTTACCTTCAAAATGTTGCCTGAGTTAGATTGTTTGTTCTCATAACTGGATAAATACTGTTGCTTTTATGCACATGTATGATACATGCTATGGAAATGGCCTGCATAACTTGTGAATTACTGTATTGATGATTTTCTTTGGAGGAATACTAGATAAAGCCTGACACTAGGGTGCTCTTTGTTTTGTTGTCTTATTGAAGTCAGTTATTTACCGTTCTAAACCAATCTGCACTGTTGCAACAGGTAAGTCATGTCAGTGAGCGGGAAGTTTTAAATCAGCAAGCTTACATGTTGTTTTATGTTCGAGATAGAAAAAGTATTCTTCCAAGAAAGCCTGCTGACATTGCTAAGAAGGAGAATATGAAGTCTAATGTGAATGGAAATAGAGATTCTTCTACTTCAAATCATGTCTTGAGGGAATATCCAAATGGTCTGGCAGAAAATAAATTTTGTGGTGAACCTTCTTTGACTGCAGAAGCTGAGAAAAACATTTCAAATGTTGATTCATCAAGGGCTTATTTTCTGAAGGATGCTCAGGTTCAGCAAAAAAATAGTGTCATTTTAACAGAAAGCTTGATACAAAGTAAAAAACCTGTATCTGAACTTTCTTCCAAGGCACAGGAACAGAAGGATTTCCCAGTTGGACTCTCTGTGGCTAAATCAGAACTTGGATGCTTGTCATCTTCAGATCATTGTAGAAAAGACTCAGTGAAATGTTTAGCTAAACCAGTTGGAGACAAACTTAATATGTGCAATGAGAATGCTATTTCAGAAGAGGGCAGTAAAGATTCTCTTTCAATGGTGCCAATATCCACTAATCCCCAGAATTTTGGACTCACTATTGATGGAAAATCTCAGTCTCTGGAGGTAATTCCAAGTACTTTCGGTATCCTCTTTATTCTGAATTGGTAGGGATGTCAGTTGGATGATTTGGATAAATTTTGAGTTGGATTATTATAATGGATGTGTAAAAAAAAAAAAAAAATCCAATTATTATTTGTTGTAGAAGTATTGAAAAAATCCAACCATCCATGATCTATTTATCCTTTTTCTATCAATGGATATCCAACTCATCCCTTAAAAAATCTTACATTTAAAAAAAATCCAATTGGAGTAATTGCAACACTATGGATCACACAGCTAAGGAAAAGCACCAGGAAGAAGAAATGTGCTTTCAATAGCAACATGAAGAAAAACTACTTGATCCATTTTCAGCATTTTAATAATACAATGGATTGGGAAAAAAAAACTGATGGGTCATTAAACATTGATCAATCACAATAACCCAACCCATCTAATCCATGCACACTGATTTATGGATATATTGGATTATTTTTCCACCCCCTTGAAATGTTACTATTTCAGTTTTATTAATTAATAAACTGTGAATCTCCTCTCCTCACTCAGCAAAATCTTGTGAAAAAAGTTGATGTTGCTGCACCTCATGATTCAAGCACAAAAATGGCCAACACCATTAGCCCCATAACTTCACTGGTTAATCTGAAAATCAACCATCAGGTTTCTAAACAATCCCCTTTATGCTCATTGCTTTGAACCTTGTTATTTCGATTTATTTACTTTACTTTTATATTTTAGCATGGAACTTCTGCAACTGGTTCGGTGTGTGAGGAAGCAGGTAGTACAATGCATGAAAATGCAGTTGGTTCTCAGGGACGGGCTTTTAATGAGCCAATGAATGGATCTTTGATTACAGTGTCTTGTAACCAAAAGCATGTAAAAAGATCCAAAAAGAAGTTCCTCAAGTATCAGTTATCCAGCATGCATCTTCGCCCAACCTTCCTATTCATGGCATACTTGGGCCCGAGGAAGAAGAAGAATCACAAAACAAGTAAACGTCGCAGGTTGGGTTTCAAGAATCCAAATAAAGAAAAGTTGGATAAATGCGCTTTCTCCTCAGAAGAGGCTGAACCATCTACAACTGGAAAAACTGATGTATTTCCTTGTGTATCAAGTTGTTCGGAGAGCAAGACTCCCAGGGCTAGTTTTAGACCTGGTGTTAATTTTAAATCTAATGATGAAAATAATGCTGAAGTAGAATTGAGGAAGAGAATTGATCATAACTGCACTGTGCTTGCATCAGTGACCCAATTAGAAAACATATCTGGGTGTGCTTCAGTAGTAAATCAATTTGAAGCTAGACAACCTGATAGTGGACATGGTAGTAGGAGAGATCAAATGCATAATGGTTTAATGAGCATGCTTACTCGAGGTCTGGAGGAGACAGTTGGTAAGTTTCTATTGATATTTCCCTCCCAATTTTTTGTCTCGCATAGGGTTCCACATCCTTGTGGTTTTATTCTTGCTCTGGTGCTGTGGAAGGTGGACTTGCATAGTTGTTGATATTTTGTATTTGGATTTGTACTATCATAATGGTCAAGTAATTACATATATCTGCCTGCACATTTTAGTGGATCTAAATACTGAAGTTGACTTGCAAAATATTATGTTCTGAATTTTGTGAAACATTTTATTTTGGGATCTCTTTTGGAGTAGAGGTAATATTGATTTTTGGGTTAATAGTCTACCTGTTCATGCTCTAATATTGGCTTAATTGTTTGACCTGGTGTCTCTATAGCCTATCCTATACTGCATTCAGAATATGGAATCTTGCTACTTGCCACATTGCTTACTTCTTTCAAATCTCACTCCACCAGTCATTTTTTCCTCTCTATTTTATCCATGAAACCTCAATCAATGGTCAGTGGGTCTGTCTATGCTGTGGTTGGGGCCATTAGGGACAGTGACTGCATGAGCAGCAGTGGCATTAGCCATGATACACGGTGCTTGGTTGTTCCAAATTATAATTATAATATAGGTATTTTGGGATGTAAATGCTCAATTATTTTGGAGATCTTCAAACGGAAGTGTAGTGATTGGGATATCAATGAATGCTGAAATACTTAAAAGGGGACTCTACTTGGAAAATTGTTTTCGGTGTGAATGATGTCATCTATATAATGGTTATCACTGATAAATGTAGTTGCTTCAGTTAATTTAGCTCCACATGTTATCTAAATGGGCAAATACTTGAACTACATTCCCCCTCCCCCAAGATTTTCCATTACTTTTTAAAATTTGGAACCTTTTGTGTGATATATAACTTGTCTGTTCTTTGTGTACAGTTGCACGTTGGGACGATGTACAATTACCATCATCTTATACCTTGGAGTCAAAGAATGACAATATCGTTAGCAGCATTGGATATGTTGGGGATGAATGGTGAGCTCAGCCATATGTTGCTTCTTTCTTCCTTTGTTTATGGGTAGTAATTTGGACTGTATTAGTTTGTGCCTTCTTGTGTTGTGACTAATTAGAGTGCATGACGACACATTTTTTCACCTTTTTGTTTTGTGAAAAATTATATTTTTCAATGATTTGTCTATGCCTAAAAAGAATTTGATTTATTGTGTTAATTAATAAGTGATTTAAATTGTACTTCAGGCGTCTTTCATATCCCATGTGTGATGTAATGATTGCCTTATAATAGTATCTGACCTTGTAAATGCACTTGTTGACCTAGTCCCATAGATAATAGTTGGTACACTGGGTTCAAATGTATAGTAAAGTGAATTGTGAGCATATTGATGTAGGCTTCGTATATACATAGATAAAATATGCCCTTCGTGCAGTTGCTGTTCTACCGAAATATTAGTTGCCAATCACAATGTTTGAAGGTTTCTGGGGGAAGGCTTAGGATTTGACACCACTTTGTGTGACTGCACTATTTTGATCCAAAACTTTGAATATATTTATAAATTTGTATCTTGCTCCAAAATTTACAGGGATGAAGAATATGATAAGGGGAAGCGGAAGAAGATAAGGGGCTACAAACATAGCTTTGGTGGGCCAAATATTTTCCAAGAGATTGCCATGGAGAAATCTAAGTTGAAAAGAGCAAAGTTGGACCAATCTAGCTCAGGGAACCTGCCATTTAGGATATGACGCCCAAAACTAACTGCCTTCTATCCGCCTGTGAGCTTCTTGTAGGCAATTATTAACGCCAAAGTGTAGTGAAGAGAGCACCTACCTTATTATTTTTTTCCAGTACAAAAATTTGTTTGCTGGATCATATTATTGTCTTTGGGCAGAGCTGCAGAGGGTTGGGTTCTTTTATGCATCCGTGTTCCTGTAGGACATTTCTCATTTCAGACTAGTATTAGCTGCATGTTTGAGAAGTGAAATGAAACCTACTGTATTTCTATTGTAGTACCTGCACGTTTGTAGCTCAGAAATTTTGTTCATGAATTTTAATTTGTTAAGACATTCTCTGTATTTCATGTTACAAAATGTCTGTATGTAGTACTGGAGTTGTATTCTGCTTTTGGTTTGAGTTTGGATTAGCTGTGAGAAAAAAAGATTGTTAAAATTTGTGTATAATTTATAGGATAATTGTGTATAAAACAACTTATGTGTAAAAAGGAATTAATACCGTGTATAATAGAGATTAAAACACCAACAACTTATAGTTGTGTAGGATAATTGTTCTATACCGTTCAGAATTAAAAGCCTGTTGGTTGTTAAAATTGCTGGTTTAGGCCTTGCAAATATTTGTGTAAATAGGGACTAAAACAAAAGAGAATACACTAAAATATTGTTTAGAACATGGATTACCTGTAAGATTTAGCGGGAGTTTTAAAATGTCAAATATTAATAATATTACATTGTTACTAAAATAAACTTTAAACTCTTAGACGCAAATTCAAATGTTATTAATTTATATTGCAAAATACAATGAATAGAACATGAAAAACCATGTGTGCAGCAATCAGAATAACTAAAAACATTACTCTTCTTTCTTCAGCTATCCACATATTTCCTTCGTACCCAACTGCATCACTACTCTCGTAACTTCCAAAGGAATTTAAACAGCATATTAGCCTATCTTTAGATATCGACAAGATTTTTTATATAACTTAATTTGTTAGAATAATTTAATAAATTTATTTTAATTTTATTATATCAGTCATTATTTTAAAAAATATAAAATAAATATTTAAATAAATAATCATCTAAATACACCGTGAAGAAGTTCAAGTTGTATGAACCATGGTTTTAAGCAATAGTATATCATGTGTACATGGTTTATTTCTCGATACTTGTTATATAAATTTATTTAATAAAATTAGTTTAAAATTTAAGTGAAAATTAAAATGCTAATAAGTTGATTTTTTTTTTTTTCAATTCAAAGTTGTTGGCTGAAAGTTGAAATTAAACATTTAATTGAGAATCAAAATGTTAGTAAATTGAAATTAAAAATAATACATAAAACTAATTTTTAAACTAAATAATAAATGTAAAATAATAAGGCTTTATTATTATTGTATTGCTCTTGTTATTTTATTATATTATATTATATTATATTATATATATATATATATATATATATATATATATATATATATATATATATATATAAAGAATGATCTTCTTACACTGGTATTAGTTTAAAAACTCTTACACTTAATCTGAACTTTTTATTTAACTTATATCTAATGGCTAGTGAAATAATAAATTATAACCCGTTAGATGTAAGTTAAATGAAAGGTTCATATTAAATATAAGAGTTTCAAAACTTACACCAATGTAAAAAGATCATGCTCATATATATATATTACTTCATAAACCCTTAAACATACACACACAAAAGCACATTTTATTTTTTTATAGAATCAAATCATTAAAAAATATAATGTAAAGCTTTTTGTATTATTTTACTTCATTTAATAAAATATTTTTGATAAGAATACACGTAATTTCAAGTTAACGTAAACTGATTAAATATATTATTTTATCATTTTATATCCATTATTTAATTCAATAATTAATTTTATTAATTATTTTAAATTTAATTAGATAACTTATTATTTTGCAGCTTTTATCTTTTGACTTCTAGCATGTTTTAAAATTTTTAATTGATTTTTTAACTTTCCATTAACTTATCCATCATATGTAAAATATAGATTAAACATATCTATATTTTACACTTTCTTGCAACTTTTAGCTAATAAATACAAATGAAACAAAAATTATTTTGTGCATTATATTCTCACTTATAAATAAAGATAAAACAAAAAATAAGGGATTGGGGTAGAATTAAGAATATGCTTCTCAGGTCTATTTGTTCTGTTCTATCTCTTATTAATCCCCTTATTATAACTAATAACTAGGATTAGTTTTACTAGAAACTAGTTAATAATGGATATTTTTTAATCAAATTTGCCTTTACTTTATTTCTAATTTAAATAAAGATACTTCAATTTAGAAAAATATTTTTAAGTTAGTCTAGGATTGGGAGGGTCCTCTTAGGATTTTCACTTTTTCTATAGAAAGTTGTCCATGGTAGACTTTTAACTAATGAGGAAAAGTTTTTTTTGTAAAATAATTGTCTCTCCCTTATGTCTTAGATGCATGGAGACTCCTGAATCTATAATTCATGTTCTTAAGAAATATTGGGTAGCCAATATTATTTAGAGTCAGATTCTTCCCCTTGACAAGTGGGTGTAGTTTTCAGTCTTGGCTTATCCAACTGGCTAGGATTCAGTATCTTTAAACAAAACTTTCCTTTGTATCCCAATTGGAACATTGTCTTTGGGTTTGTTTCTTGGTATATGTAGAAATTCAGGAATAATTTTATTTTCTAGAATAACATTCTTAATAACCAGGAGCTATTAAGCAAAATCCTCTTTGATGTTGATTATTTTCTCTTTTGTTGTAGGCCTAATCAGAAGCAGTTTGCTACTGTTTGGTGAACTACTTGCATGATGAAGTGGATGCCTCCCCTAATTGGTTACCTAAAGCTTAATACTAATGGTTCAGTACCTCATTCCTAAGGTATTGTTAACTGTGGTGGCTTAATCCATGATTCTACTAGTGCTTTCATAGTTGACTTTTTGTAAAAATCTTAATCCTTGCCATCCTACTGTTATTGAACTTTAGGGCATTTTTTGGGGCCTCCAACTGGTTATTGGAGAAACTTTCAGGTTATTTAGGTTGAATGTGACTGTAAAATAGTCATTTTCCTCCTTATTAACATGCAAAGTAATAATTACTTTTTTATTTTATAATTAGCAAAATTAGGGAGTTAATCAGAAGCATTAAGTTTGTTAGGTTCAGTCATGTGCTTAGGAAAGCTAACTAAAGTGCTGATTGGTTGACTAAGTTGAGTCATGATCTTGAAGTGTCTTCTTTCCTCTTTGATAAGACTCCTTCTTCTTTGGAGCTTCTTTTGAGGCTAGACTCTTTAGGTAGTTTAGTTTTGTTTCTTCTTAAACTGTCTGTTTAATAGAAAAAAATAAAAATAAAAAAAAGAATTAATTTAAATAAAATATTTTACTACAGTAATAAATTAAATTATTACAAAATTATTTAAAACTTATAATTTTAAAAAATATCACAAGTTAATTTTGTTCATAAAAGAGTATTTAATGATGGTTTATAAATATTTTATTATGCTTATAAGTTTAACTTTTAATTAAAGAACTCAGAAAATAAGAGTTCTTTAAACTGAATAACTTATTTAAAAGAAAAATAATGATTTAATTGAATATAGAAACTAATAATATACGTATTAAAAAAAGTCAGTACACAAGTTAGCATGCCTTCAAGAATTAAGAGCTCGAATATGTTCTATAAGGTGAAATTATAACATCATATTTTAATTATCAAGTGTCTAGTGTGTCGGAATGATGCTTGAGCATGGTGTGAAAGATTTGCTCTCAAGTTGTAGAACCTTCTCATATACTCCTTAATCTATGGCTTGCAAAAGCATATATGCGCATGGTGGTTTATTAATTTAGAAAATTTGACGACATTTTCATACATAGCAAACTCTCTCTCACATACACACAAATGAAATCATGTATTTTTCTCCCTCCACCATTGGATCTATAGAGGGTTTATCTGCCATGATATATCTACTTGTACATACCTGTGCTTTTTTCTTATATATGATGCATCTCGTGAGTCCATGAAGTGGTCCCTCTGGTGTAGGAACATTATTTATTTGACGTGGTTTGAAATATAAGTATGGTGACATGATTAAAGGAAGAGTTATGTTTGATATCATATATTATTTTACATATGTATACGAATTTTTAAAAAAATACATAAAAAATATAAAAATATCTACTTTAATGATACATGAAACGTTTTTTTAAATGAAAATGGATACTACACATAGTGTTCGCATTAAAATATTAGTGGGGATGTTATGATTATTCAAAGTAATTTTGTCGGTTGATTTCATGTTACTCATTAAGCCTCATCCCTTAATCAATGCAAATCATTAGACACTGACATGGCTTCATTTTCATCCCCTCCACTCACTGCCTATGGATTCTTAACTCTCTCTCTCTTTCACGCGCCCACACACAGACTCAAATATTTATTCGTATATTGCCCCAACTTGGAGCTTTGTTAAAAAACTAGACAGTTTCTGCGCATGTTTCATGAAGAGGCCAACTTGCCATGTGAATACTCCAATTGCCCTATATTTCTTATTAGTTAAGATTTATCTATATAAGGGAATGAACTCAGCTTAGCCTTCTAAAATCTCATGTGCTACCACTTTTCCAATTAAGGTTCAGATAAGTGGAAATTTTGAGAAAGAAGAGATTGTGGGCCACAAATCTTGATAGAAAAACATTCTAATTAACTCTAGTCAAAACTTCTAGACATTGGACAAAATCTTCTTATAAAAAGAAAAAAAGTAAAAACCATTAGATATAGCATAGATTCATTGACACCCCGAAAGCCCAGAAGGGTGTATGTACACATCTTAGAAAATGAAATGATAAATATCATGAATGATGAGATAAAATGAATATAAAAAATATATAAAAATTAAGGATGTAAACCAATAAAATTTGTTAGATATAATGCCAATATAAACTGCACTGTATAATGGGCAAAAAAGGAATGCCACTGACATATTTTATAGACAAAATTGGTCCCTTGGTATTGCTTCACGTGACAAGAGAAACTGGCCCAAGGGTTCAAAACCCTAAATTGAAATGGATTATTGTTTATATTTTCTGAGTTCTCAAACCTACTTGAGGGTCCACATGGTAAATTATCGATTACTTATATTGTCTCTGACGTATGATAATTGGCAACCTAGTGAGCATAAATTAAGGTGAAAAAAAAGACTCTCTTAGGAAAATGGGGTAGGAGGGGACTTTTTTCTATGTTCCAAAGTCAAAAATATACACTTTATTCTACCAAGAGAACTAGCTAATCCATTGAAATTATCATCATCACACATTTATTTTTATTTTGTTTTATTTTTCTTTTGAGGGGGAGGGTGTTGGGGGACCAATATAGTTGCAGTAAAGATGTTGGTAACAACCGTGAGCATTTCCTATTTTCCTTGTCCCAACAACATTAATTGCACAACAAAGATCAAGTTCCTGTAACTCACATGAAGGGAGAAAGTGAGAGAAGATAGAAAATCGAGAAGACACTCGCAAAATCAGGGTAAAAATCCTTTTTCAGTAAAAGTCAACCATTTTAGGGTACAAGATGAACATTACCATATTTATTTTGAGGGTGAAAGGATCCAAAATTCTAATTATTTCCTCATATTTTTAGTTTAGAAATATTTGATTCCAAAATACTTCAATTTAAGTTAATAAATGGGCAGCCAATTAGTTACATAGTACTATTGAATCTAGTGATTTTGAGAGGTGTACAAATGTCAGCGTTAAGGAGGAAACACCAAGACATCACATGGACAAAATAGTCTATATATTTAGTACATGTTTAGATTTGTTTACTTTTTAAGAAAATCGTGTTTTTTAAAAATCATTTTGATAAAAATTAATTATAAATTATTTTAAACTAACTCGATTAATGTAAGTACTCAATAATAAATATAGTAAATTAACTTTAAAAATAAAATAATTTAATTGAAAAATAGCATCAATACACTCGTATCACTATTTTTAATGTACATATAACATTTTTGTGTAGAGCCAACAAAAATTATGAGACTTTTTTCTTTGCATAATTATTAGAATCATATTAAGAAATACTTTGAGTATTAAATTATTAATTAAAAATTCTGTTAAAAATATATTATGAAAATAAAAAATATTTTTTAATTCAGTAGTATCCTAACTAATCAACATTTGTCTAATTATTATATAAAATTTAAGGAGGCTTTTTTTTTTTTTTCCAAGGACCAAAAAGAGAAAAGTGATAAACACCCTCACTCACTCACCGAAGAATCATTGAATTCACACCAACAAATCTTTGATATATTCACCATCACCAACCGTCACCCTCAACGATATTTCAATTCAGTTTCTTTCCATTTATGAAGCTCAAACCAACTCCACTTCACATTCAAGTTCACATTTCTTTCCTAGTACACACCACACTGCATGTTGCGCTGTCTTTGCCTCGTTTGAATGAGGAAAAGACCCTTTTGAAAATTCAGTTTCAAGACAAAAAGTCCTTAGTCCTGCAACACAACCAAAGCATCAAAGCTTTTCCCCAACCTTTGAGTCTATACAAAGACAATAGTTTGCTTCTTGCATCGGTTGTTTCTTTACTTATCCTTCTTTTTGTTGGCTTTCATTAATCCTCAAATCCAGACAAGCTTATTCACATTCTCTTGTTGTAGTCCACAATCTTTATATTACATCAGAGTGAAAAAAATTATTTTTTTACCATAAAAAGTACCACCAGTTTTGTAAGCTTGTGTCGTGTACTTTTACTCTTTCTGCTGTCTCCTTAGCTTTTGTCCTTCTTTGATGTACTATCATGCAGTAAAAATATTGTTTCCCTGTGAGATTTTCTTGCAGTAAACAACCCATCATCCATGATATGGTCATGCTGCTTTTGAAGTTCTAAGGGGGCATTTTGCAGTGGTGGTGGAGGTTTTGGGGTTGCTATTTTGCATTTTTTGTTGGACTATCAGACATCATTCTTTGATGGGTTTGGGAGTGTTCGGTTTTGTTTTGGTTTTGACTCTCTTGTTCAAGCATTTGGTGTCTCAGCAACCAAACACTGATGAGTTCTTTGTATCGGAGTTCTTGAAGAAGATGAGTTCAAGTTCAACATCTACCCAAGCCTACAACTTCTCTGCTTCTGTTTGTTCCTTGCAAGGAGTATTATGTGATGCCAATAGAGAACACGTTGTTGAGTTGAGCTTTTCTGGTATGGACCTCTCTGGAACTATACCTGATAACACCATAGGCAAGCTCAGCAAACTCCAATCTTTGGATCTTAGTTATAATAAAATCACTGGTTTGCCTTCAGATTTTTGGTGTTTAAGCTCTCTCAAGACCCTTAACCTCTCCTCCAATCAGATTTCAGGTTCATTGACTAACAACATTGGCAACTTTGGTTTACTAGAAAGCATTGACTTGTCCAGCAACGATTTTTCTGAGGAAATTCCTGAAGCTATTGGCTCCCTTGTGAGTCTGAGGGTCCTCAAACTTAACCACAACAGGTTTGCACAGAACGTACCTTCTGGAATTCTCAAGTGCCAGAATCTAGTTTCAATTGATCTTTCATCAAATCAGCTGAATGGAACACTACCAGATGGTTTTGGTGCTGCTTTTCCTAAGCTTAGGACTTTGAACCTTTCAGGGAATAATATTTATGGCCGTATTTTAGATATTTCTGGATTAAAATCTATTCTGAATCTCAACATGTCAGGGAATTCATTTCAGGGTTCTATTATGGGTTTGTTTCAGGAAAAGTTGGAGGTCCTGGACCTTAGCAGAAACCAATTTCAAGGTCACATTCCTCAGGTACAGTACAACTTTAGTAGTTACAATTGGTCTCATTTAGTTTATCTGGATTTGTCAGAGAATCAGCTTAGTGGGGAAATTTTTCAAAATTTTGATGTGTCCTTGAATCTAAAGCACCTTAACCTTGCACAAAATAGATTTAACAGGCAGAAATTCCCACAGATTGAAATGCTCCTGGGATTGGAATATCTGAACTTGTCCAAAACTAGTCTTGTTGGTCAAATTCCTGATGAAATCTCACAACTGAGTAATTTGAATGCAATTGATCTTTCTATGAATCATCTTAGTGGGAAAATTCCCTTACTGGGGAATAAGCGCCTCCAAGTTCTTGACCTTTCAAACAACAATTTGACTGGAGCAGTCCCTCTACCCGTCCTAAAGAAACTTCCATGGATGGAGAAATTCAACTTCTCGTACAATAACTTAACCCTCTGTGCTTCAGATATCAAACCTGATATCCTGAAAACAGCATTCTTTGGATCGTTGAACAGTTGTCCACTTGCTGCAAACCCAAGACTTTTCAAAAGAAGAGACACTGGACACAAGGGAATGAAGCTAGCCCTTGTGTTGTCCTTCTCAATGCTGTGTGTGCTTGCTGGCCTTTTATTTCTAGCATTTGGTTGCAGAAAGAAAACAAAAATGTGGAAAGTGAAGCAAAGTTCATACAAAGAAGAACAGAACATTTCAGGTCCCTTTTCATTCCACACTGATTCAACAACTTGGGTGGCTGATGTTAAGCAAGCAACATCAGTCCCAGTAGTAATCTTTGAGAAGCCATTATTGAATATCACATTTGCAGACCTCTTATATGCTACTTCAAACTTTGATAGAGGTACCCTTTTGGCTGAAGGAAAATTTGGTCCTGTCTATAGAGGCTTTCTGCCAGGTGGTATTCATGTGGCAGTTAAGGTCTTGGTTGTTGGTTCTACATTGACAGATGAAGAAGCTGCAAGAGAACTTGAGTTTCTTGGCAGAATAAAGCACCCAAATCTTGTTCCCTTAACTGGATATTGTGTGGCTGGTGATCAGAGAATTGCCATATATGACTACATGGAAAATGGAAACTTGCAAAACTTGCTTTATGACTTGCCACTCGGTGTACAAAGCACTGAAGACTGGAGCACAGACACATGGGATGAAGGTAACAACAATGGAATTCAAAATGCTAGCTCTGAAGGGTTGCTCACATCTTGGAGATTTCGCCACAAAATAGCCCTTGGCACGGCTCGAGCATTGGCATTTTTGCACCATGGTTGCTCACCTCCAATAATCCATAGAGCTGTTAAAGCTAGCAGTGTTTATTTGGATTATGACTTGGAGCCAAGGTTGTCTGATTTTGGGTTGGCTAAGATTTTTGGAAGTGGTTTAGATGAGGAGATTGCACGTGGCTCACCTGGTTATGTTCCACCGGAGTTTTCTCAACCAGACTTTGGCACTCCAACACCAAAATCTGATGTGTACTGTTTTGGAGTTGTTCTCTTTGAGCTAGTAACTGGAAAGAAACCAGTTGATGATGATTACCCTGATGATAAAGATGCAACTTTGGTAAGTTGGGTTAGAGGGCTTGTAAGAAAGAACAAAGCTTCAAGAGCTATTGATCCCAAAATTCGTGATACAGGATCTGATGAACAAATGGAAGAGGCTCTTAAGATTGGTTATCTTTGCACTGCTGATCTACCCTTCAAGCGACCAAGCATGCAACAGATAGTTGGACTCCTAAAGGATATTGAACCTACTTCTAGTTAGCATGATCAAAATAATCCAGGTCCTTCAATTTAATTTAATTTATCTCTTTGATTTTTCTACTTGAGAGGTTCCCTTATTACCATGCAGAAAATGTAAATCAGTTAAGTTCTTGAATTCTGCTTTTGATGTTTTTTCTTTTTGTTGCCTCATCATTTGTGGTAGATGAAGTAAACTTTGATCAATATACACTGGGAACTAGATCTTTGAACTAACATGTTATCGCAGCATTTAGTCTTTCAGCCACTTTTTTATAATTTACTTATCTTTTCCTGTATTAAAGTGAATGCCTCCAGTTTGAGATTAGTTCTATTCAATTTTGGAAGTTGAAATTAGAGGAATAAGTGAGTTTATGGCCTTTGTTTTCATGTGTACACTTGAAGATATTTTGGGACAAAATAAGCTCACGAGACTTTTTTGAAGCAATAGAATGACATTATATGCACAATTTTTTTTTAACTAACATCAGTCTTTTAAGGGTGATTTTAAGTATTTGAAATAATATTTTTTATTCAAATTATACTTATTATATTTTTATTTTTAATATAGTAAATACTTACTTTTTAAATAAATCATACTATTTTTAGATACATAAAATTAATTTTATAAATTTATGTTAACACTTTTTATAATTTTTTTTTTACATTTTTATATCTATCTCTTTATTTTTTATGACATCACTTATCATATTTATTATTATTTTTCTCTCTTGCTTTCCTATCTTTCTTCTCTCCCAAGATTACAACTACACAGGCCTTTAAGGATGTAGAAAAAAAAATGTTAAAAGAAAGACTGCCCGATAAGCAAAATTGACTTCCTGTGTATTCTTTCCAAATTAATACTTCATGTGTGACTTTTCATCGCATCATACGTGGGTTTGTTAATTCATAAGTGAGTTTGCCCCTGATTTTTTTAGTTAATTTCAAGTGATTTTGTTATATTCTCAAAAATATATTTAATTATAAGTGAAAAAAATATAACTTTTGTGTTTGATTAAGATTTTCGTACCAAGTTTTATTACAAATTTTTTGTTAAAGATAAAAAAATTTAGACAAACCCTTTTAATTTGATATCACTTTCAATCAAAAGTGATTTTATAAAATTGATTAAATTTGCATTTGTAAATATTAAAAGAAACACATGCTGATTTTACAAGTAAATCTGTTCCAGAGAAGCGTATAGTCAACGGCAAGCCAAAAGGTGCAAGAACAATAATTTTGAACCATTATTTTATAAAGTTTTTATGATTCAATTATACTTTATTTCATTTTGTGCACATTTACACTCTGATTCTACTACCTATGTTTGGTGTGATGTGTACTCAAGGGATATATATTGCCGACATATTTTTTAATAGTTATAACTCAAAAGTATTAAAAATTAAAAATAACATTAAACTAAAAATAAAAAAATATATAATTCACATAATTTTAATAATTTTTAATCAATAACCATAAATATATCAAAAAGGGTAGCATTATTCATGCCAAAAAATATGTTTTGACATTGTTGCAAGGGCAGAAAAGGTAAAGAAACAACAAGTAGGGTGTGTCATTGAGAAACAGGGGCATGTTGATAATGACTTTGGAAATGGAGTGGGGTGCATTTAATCTAAACACGCGAGAAGAACTTTCAACATTTTTTTGTCTACATATACTACATCACGCGGAGACCAAATCGATGTACAAATAAATTATTATCTGCCACGAAAAAATTATAAGATTGTTTGATACAAAAATTAATGTTTTTTGTTTTTATATGAGTGTAGCTTCCACAAAACACATAGCATGATAACATCTTGACATGCGGAGCAATGGAAGCATGATGATTGCAAATAATTTTGAATGGTCTCTTTGGTTTGGTTGGCCAGCACCCAGCATCCATCTTTTCCACCTTGAAAATCTAATCATTTGAAGTTATGAATATAATATGACCTTGCATATTAAGCTATTCTTAGGTGCAAAAAATTTAAACAGAACATTGTGTAACTAATCATAGTAGTAAAAGAGCTAGGATTTAAGCCAAGATTGAGCTTTCAATGAATAGAAGACCAAGATTTGCCATGCATGGAACAGTATTTTAATCCCTTTTCTCTTCTTCATTTTGTTCTCAGATTACTGATCATTCCAAGTAAGAAGAAGAACATGTTTTTATAGAGACACTCTGATAATTAAGTGAAAAAATAACTTTTTACTTTGTTTGGACAAGAAAAAAGAAAATAAAGAGAAAGAAGATATAGACAGTAATGCACTTCTTATTTTGTTGAAAAAATTTAAGAAATTTTTTTTAGAAACGATATTTCATGAATAAAAAACCTCTCGTTTTCTCTGCAATTTACTTTTTCCCTTGTTTTTTCTCTATGGAAACAAGCAAGGGCTGCAAGTCTATAAAATATTTGTGAATCAAAATTGATGACTTACCTGAGGAATCATCCCTTTAAAGGGGCAGAAAAAGAACTGAATCCTATGACTATATCAAGATCTCTTAAGATCATCATCACTTTAATAAGTAAATCGAGATTCACAGGATAATAGTTGAGAGCAAGAAAAAACTCATATAATGTGTAAAATACTCATAAATAAAAGGTAACTTTTATGGTGACTTAAAAATTGAGAATATTTTATGTTTTTTACGTGAAATAATTATAATGGTCAATATAATATTAAAATTATTGATTTATATTGAAATACTATATAAATATATTTTACTTTTTTAAATATTTAAATAATCACAATCTTCCATAAAAAGGATAATAACTAATGGAGCTATAATTTTTTATTTTAAAAAAAAGATTTATAATTATTTTAAATAATTCTCTTAAAATTTATTTATTTTTATATGATTTTTATTTTTTAATACATATAACATTTAATTGGATTTCTACAATATATTATTTTTTTTATTTTTTTTTGTTTTTTTATTTCATAACTCAAAATTTCATTAAAAAAATAGAAAATATGATCATGCTAATAATACGTTTTATTCGTCTTATATCTTATTCAAATTATATAATATAAATCAAAATCAAAATCAAAACCAAAACTAAACTTTGGCATTTTGTCAGTGCCAGGCTGGCTTACAGGAGAATTTTATGGGCTTTGGCCCTTTCGGCCACCTAATTACAGAAGACAGTGACATTCCCACTGTGGTCCAAGTCCAAGACTAAATATTTTTTTTTACTGCCTTGCATGAAGATTTTTTACTTATTTATCGTGTTTTAATTATAACACGAAAATAAAAGTTTAAAAAATATTTTTTTTTTATCTAAAAGTTGTGAAATTATTCAAATTTATAAGTTTTTAATAAAATTATATCTAATTAAAAAAATTATCCATTTTAGTTGGTCTTATGGGCTCTTTGTTACCGAGAAAAAAAAAATCATTACTGTATCTTACTGTTGATGAGTTGATCTTATATAAATATCTAAATTAACTGCTTACTATCATTGTTATTTTGAATTTACTTATTTATCTTTGTAATAAAAAAAAACATATATCATACACCATGTGAGAAGCTATTAAAATCAAAGAAAGTAATGATGTGAGTAAAGTTTTGGATTGGTTGGTTCTTTATTTTTTAAATTTTTTATTATATTTTAATTTTATAACCTTTAAATGTTAATTAAATAATTTTTGTTAACTATATAAATTAAACCAGAGAACAAAATGTTGATGACAATGACATAAATTAAAAGAAACAAATAACTAATAGAATTAAATATAATTAATAGAAAAATATTTAGTGGACATTCTAAAATTAAATAGTTAGAATAAAATAAGAAAAGGGTAAAAAGAAAAAGAAAAAAAAAAGGATGACAATACTAATCTTATTATCCACATTAGAACTAAATATGATCACTAAATACATCAATAAATAAACATTATTTTAGTTTATCATATAATTTTGAATCTGACTTTTAACTAATCATATTATTTGATTCAATTAATATTGTTTTTTACAAAAGGATATTTATCATTTATAAAATAAAACAAAACAAAATATTTAGTAGTTCATATAAAAATGATTAATCATTTTCATAGTTTATGACACCAAATAATAAATTATCTTTTAAACATGCGCACAATAATTGTGGCTCTTCATGTCATCACGATCTTCCCCGTGGTACATGTTATTGTTATCTGATTGATTTTTAAGCAAGATCAATAAACTAATAATTAAGCAGTTGAAAATAGAAAACAGTGAAAAAAATCTAAGATATAATGACGAGTAAAATAACATCACACTATTCAAAAACACTCTATTAAAGCTAATTTAAGTAAAGTCTTTTATCTTAAAACTTTATTCACAAATGTGCGACATGTTACTTATTTGTGTAAATTAAATAAAAAAAATAAAAATTATTTAAATAAGATAGCAAATTAAATGTATAAAATAAAATAATTTTATTTAATTATATATTTATAAAATTTCATAAAATAATACATATTAGAAAATTTTCTTTGTCATTATTTCTGGCAATATGGTCGATTCTTTGGTTGAAATTTATTTGCATAAAGATTTATATTTCCTTTCCTTTAATAAAAATACGATTATTCAGTATCAGATACCCATTATTGCTGGGTTTTTAATAGGAAACAGAACGCAAAGGTTCTTCTTGTCAACATGCATGTTCGGAGGAACGCATAAATGGCGTGGATATTATTAATATTATTCAATTCAATACGTCTACACATTATTTATTGGAAAATATAAAAATATTGGGAGATGATTGCTCACCAATCAGAATCATACATGAGGCTAATTTACAACCACCCAAAACTTTTTTGAAAATTTTGAAGATATTAATAACAAATATAATATGTGGATTATTTTTGTAGTTTACTTTTTAGGCATTATTGATATACATCATCAACTAATGAAACTACAAGTACATATGTTTTAAAATTAATTATTAGGAAAATCAATAATTACTGTTAACATAACAATTCACAACTAAACAATAACATGAAAAAGTTACAATATTCATACATTGTCTTATATATTAAGTACATAAACTTTGTAAAATAATGATAAGTTGACCATAAATACACATGATACAGTTTTACTAAAAAAAATGACAAAATTTAAAGAATATCGCCTAAATATTGTCCTTTATAATAAAATCACACAGTATCTTGAAAATGTATTAAAACTCATTGAAAACCATTTAAAATATTTTTTTAGCTATTTTATATTATAAATTTGATTATAAAATATTTTTATGGTTAAATATAATGTTTTAAAACAAAATAAAGGTGCACCTACTCACCTAGAAATATTTTAAAAGTAATTTCATATTGTTGTTTAAATAAAACATTTTTATTGAATGTGTTTTCGGTTTACTGCTCACAACCATTAAATGAATTTTTTAAACATTCGTCCGTTTATATATATTTTTTTCAGCTATTAGTTGAGAAATGATTTAACTAACACTGATGCGTAAAATACTATTTTATTTATTCTTATATTCATAATTTATGAGTACCTGTATCTCTATATCTATTTCATTACTTGTGGTTTTTTTATATGAAATAAATATCTTTTAACTTATTTTTATGAACAGATAAAATATAAATATTATTACAAAATAAAAATAAAAACAATATTGCATCAAAAAATTTAAATAATATTTATTTAAAGTTTTATTCTAAGGTTTGAATAAGAACCTCGATCTTCTAAAACGAGGTAGCATGGATAACATATTTTGACAGTTTTACTTGTAATAATATATGCTTAAATTTTGATATTTTTTATAAATAATATTTTTTAAAATATATATAAAGAATAGCAAAAATGAAGTAACCATTTTTTGGCATCAAATTAAAACAAATTCACAAAATTATAATTGTTAAGTTTGGATTCATTTTATAGATGAATATTAAGCTTGATTGTACATTTTCAATAGTGTTCCCTGTCCTGACTTTATCCCTACCAATCAACCTAACCATATATTTTTTTTCAACCCAATGAATGCGTTTGATTCGATGCTGATTGGATAAAACATGGATGGATATTATCATCTAACTTGGGTTTGGAAAATTATTTGTTAATGATAATTTGGTACACTATATAAGTGTTTTTTTTTTCATTTTACATAAAATATGAGAAAGAAGAAAGTAAAATACTAATAAATAAAATAAAATTAATAAAAGATAAAAGTTCAATAAAATTATAAAAAATTAGACATAATTAACTAATCAAGAAATAAGAATGAAACACATTTTATCATTAAAAGACTAATATTTTTAATGACTTAAGATAATACTGTACAATCTATGAATAGAATTAATGCCTTTTTTCATATATTACAACTTTTCAAAATTTAACTAAAAATACAGTGAATAATATTTTTTCATTAGTGAGTGAATTTAAATTTATAGAAAAATTATAAAAAAATAACTATTTAAACCAATATTTTTTAGTAATATAGCGTGTTAAAATTTAAAGTTAAACTTAAACTATCTTAAACTTTAGTTTATTTTTAAAAAACTTAATTTGATAAAAACATATTAATATTCATAATTTAAAATCAACCAATAAAAAACAATAACGAATTGCAAATAGAAAACTATATACTTAATATAAAAATATATGTTTATTATTTTATTTAAAATATTTTTTTATAAGATATATTTTTATTATAATTTAAAAATATAAAATATTATAAATTTTTCTAAAAAATATAATAAATTCTTAAAAACACTTTAATTTCACTAAAAAATAAGATAATTTGTGTATATTTTTCAAAAGTGTTTTTAATATTGTTTAGTAATTAAACTTATAATATTTTTTTTGTAAGAGATCTCTATTTATATTATTTCAAGTTACTAAAATAAAGCTTTAACTTTAATTATAAAAAAAAAACTTAAAGCCTATTTTTTTTCCATTTTTAAAAATTATTTTTTATAAAAAATAAAAAAATTCTTAACATAAATTTTATTTTTATTAAAAATACAATTTTTAAAAATATTTTAAAATATAAATTTTAAAAATAAAAAATCTAAACAGAACCGAAAAATCTCTTAATTTTTGTTCTTTTTTTATCACGGGGAGATTTCAAATGTAGGATGAAAGATAATGAACGGCGAGGATCAGATCTAACGAGAAAGAGGGTATTTTTGGGATTAGAATAAAAACACGGGGACCACCGCACCGAGTTCTTCTTCTTCTTAAACTTGTGCTGAGAGAGAGAGAGAGAGAGAGAGAGAGCATCAAATATCAACCATGTCGGACGAAGAACACCACTTCGATTCTCAGGCCGATGCAGGAGCCTCCAAGACGTATCCTCAGCAAGCTGGTACCATTCGCAAAAATGGCTACATAGTCATTAAGTCTCGGCCTTGCAAGGTTTTCCATTCTCTCTTTTTCCTTTGTAACGTTTCACATAAAAATCCTTTTTTTATCTCCTTTTAATTCCATACATATTATTGGGAGAAAGTATGAATGAATCGTGCTGACGAGGGTTTAACCAGAGATGAATGAAAAACTTGCATCTATTTTTATTTTTCTTTAAATATTTTTGCTACTTTAGTTACATCATGAACATTGTATTTATTTTATGATTTTAATATTTTATTGTTCATTTAATTCTATTTCTATGTGATTACATAACATGGTATAGTATAATACCCATACCCATACCTTGATTTATTTGGTTGTCATGAATTTGAGATAGTCGGTTAAGTGAACATCTCTTGTGGTTCCCTGTTTGATTCTCAATTTATCTTTACAGGTTGTAGAAGTTTCTACATCCAAAACCGGCAAGCATGGACATGCCAAGTGCCACTTTGTTGGAATTGATATTTTCAATGGGAAAAAGCTCGAAGATATTGTTCCTTCATCCCACAACTGTGATGTAATGCAATGTTGCCTTCGTTTGTATGTGTAATATTTGCTTGTGATGCGTTTCTCAGTCATTATTAATATTTTTGCAGGTTCCTCATGTGAACCGCACTGACTACCAGCTGATTGATATCTCTGAAGATGGTTTTGTGAGTTGTCTTTTGCTTTTGACACTGGAGGTTTCGTTTCAGAAAATTATGTTGTGTTGTGGTTTGTGAAATGCTTAATGGCGTCGTATGTAGCCAACTTCACATGATAAGGCTTGGTTGTTGTTGTTATGGTTTGTAAAATGAAAAATGAAAATATAAATTAATATATAACTATAAGATATAGCTACATTTTGGGAGGATCGTCACGTTACTTTCTTTCTGCTGAGGATATCGTGTTCTGAATTATGCTTAATGGAATGTTGCTCCAGAAGATAAATATAATCTTCTGGCATGCTCTCATTACATAAAGAAGTCAAATATTTCCCATAAAATCCACCCTTTTTTTTCTATTTTTACACAAAACTTCCATTCAATTCAAGCTAATATTTTTTGTGTGTACGTCGTTCAAGGTAAGATGACATTGGATGCACTTCCAACTTCATAATAATTAATAAATATAACTCTAAAGTCTTAAACCCAGTTAATTTTAAAAAGAAAGAATGCTAAATTAAGATCCCAATTGGTGTTAAAGCAAGCATGTCACCAGCAAGGAAAAACAGTTATATTATTTTGATATTTCTAGTAGTAGCAAAACATTCTGAACCACTTGGATTGGGTTTCTTTTAGGTGAGTCTGTTGACTGAGAATGGAAATACCAAGGATGATCTGAGGCTTCCCACTGATGAGGGGCTGCTTACTCAGGTGTGTTGTTAAAATCATTTTTGAAGTTGCTTTCCTTGCTTGATGTGTTTTCATGATTTTATTGTTCAGTTATGATCTATGCAGCACATGAATCGTGTGCCCTGTTAATTGATTTCTTGCTTGGTTGCTATTGTATTTAGATTAAAGATGGATTTGCTGATGGAAAAGATCTTGTGGTTTCTGTCATGTCTGCAATGGGAGAAGAGCAGATCTGTGCCCTGAAGGACATCGGTCCTAAAAATTAAAATGATGCTATGGCTGTAGCTGATAGCACGCTTTTTCTTATGTTGCTAGCAGGTAGTATATTTTCCGATGCTTGTGTGCACAATAAACTTTATAACATGGAAAATTGCCTGTGCTTGAGACTCAAAAGGCTTGGGATAGGGGAAATGGTACCAAGTTTAGCTTTTGTCCCTTGATCAAGGAACAAAATGTCTTATATGTTAATGGTTTTGTTGAGTTTTATTTATTACCCTATTACTTCTCTCTCTGCACTTATCAGCTGATAGACAGATAAATTTAGGATAATGACTGTTGTGAATTTCTTGAACACATGGTTAATCGGATGTGTTCAAAGATTTGATATGATGAAATTTTGCCATCAAAATTTGGGATTATATGCTAAAATTCAACACCTATAGCTATAATATGAATTCATAGTTTTCAATGTTTCCTAGATGACGATCACGCGTTGATGATGCAGGCTGGAACCTGTAGAAGTAATTTGAAAATATAAACAACATTTTACTTGAATATAAAGATATTTTTAAAATCAAAATGAAAAATAGTTTCATCTGCAAGTCTATACGCGTGGAGAAGCTGGTTGCTTTTAGAGTTACGCATCTTAGTTTTCAACATTAATATTTTGATTTATGGATAGTTTTGATATTTTGTAGATTTTTTCAGTAAAATATTCACCGCCTTCTCTCCCTCGTATCGTCTGCATGTTTAGCTTGAAAGTCTATTTACATTGATGCCGTTCATCTCCTTGTCACCTTGAACCCCACAGCTCTGACAAACACTGCAACAGCATCACATCCTTCTTTTATCTCTGTGGCACTACTTCACCACTGTCATTTTCATCCCCTTGCTGGCGTGTGCATTTTGCACTACCATCCTCGAACAGCCCTCAACCACCGCGTCAGCCACCAAAAAATGTTAGATACCCACTACACTACACAAGAAGTCAACTTTGCGCGCCATACAAGCCTTGTAGATGAGAAATTGTCCAAAGCTGGAAAGGCTTCTTTTTTTTTTTTTCTCCCTCAAGAATTGCAAATAATAATAATATGTTAACAAATGGAGCTCATCACCCAAGCTCATGTGGTTCGGAATTTTTGTCTAATAAAACAATCATGTGAGATGCTGGGGGGATTTGACATTCCGATTGGTGCTCTTTGTTATAGAAAGACTCTATTTCACACAGTTTAATAATTACAAGGAGTTAGGTTGTTCAATCTAAAAAGTAAGAGTCTACATTACATATGGTCAAATATATAAAGGGATAAAATGTCTTTTTTTCTTGCTTATTATCTCACAATTTAGCAAACAAATATTATAAAGATTTAATTTTTTTAGGGATGCACTTTGAGTATTTATGGTGGACAGTCAAAACTATTTTTTTGAGATGGAAAAATAAATGAAGTGGATATAACAGACATGCATTCATATATATAAGAATTAAATAATCTATTGACATGCATGACGAGCTAAGTATTTAGTAATTGTAGTAAGCTTTGTTAGTGTTAAATGGTTTGCATAAGAATATATTTTTTAAAAAAAGGAAAAAATAAATCGAAGGGGTTAAGAGAAGTAATTTGTCCGTAAAAAGATGAGGAATTTAAATCCTTTTTACCAATATTAATGGCTTTCCATCATCGGACTAGACTTTACCTTCAATGATATGAAAAAAGGTCTCACTATTGTAGCAACAAAAAGATAAGGATTTGAAAGATTCCCTTGGTTGATACCCCTAGTGGGGAAGAATTGGGACGATTTATCCTCATTTCATGAAACTTTAACGTTGTGTTTGGATTTGGAAAAATAAAAGAGAAAAAAGGGAAAAAGAGGTAGGAAAAAAAAACAAAATTATCGATTCTTACTATTTATGTGATGAAAAATAGAAAGAAGAAAAGTTTTTTTCCCGTGGGATCCAATTTAAAATTTCCCCTTCAAGTGATGAGAAGTGGGGGCGAAAAGTTGTTTTCAGAATTTTTTATTTATTTATATAAATTTAAATATTTTTTATAACATAAAAAATAATAAAGATTTATTTAGTTGAAAAAACAAAAGACTAAATTCGTATAAAATGTAAAGGCTTTTTTTATTAAATTGATATTTTTAAAAACAAATTATTAACTTTTTAAAATTAATTCTTTATCAATTTTATCATGTGACATAAGTTTCACCATCACAAAATAGATTATTACTAGTTCATTTTGTACGAAAGATTAATATTATGTTTTGTCCTACACGGGATCATGCAAATACATACTATTGAGGGAAAGCCAGTTTTGCCATATTTATGATAAAACTTATTTTTTTTTTTAAATTACATATTGTCATGATATTTGTCAAATTTATAAGATTTTGGTATGCGTTAAAATTTTATAAATTTTACAATTTTAGCAGTGAAACTTATTTTTAAAGATAAAAAATTAAAGTTTCGCCAAGTAAAACTTATGTTAGGTGACCAAATTTGTTTTAAACAATGAATTAATTTTAAATAAAGTTATAATTTTAAAAAAAGTAAATGTAAAATAAAAATAATAATTCTAATAAAAAGCATTCAACATGAATAAAAAGAAAGTTAGAAAGTACGGGGAAAAAATCAAGAAAATTATAACTACAACCAATATAATTTTTGTAAAATGCGCTGTTATTTTTATTTTTAATTTAATATTTTAACCTGTAATATACAGATATTAGTTTCATCACGAGTTCATATTTTTTTTTATATAAATTATATATATTAAATTAAAAATATTTTTATCCAATTAATTTTAAACACATTTTATTTCGCTTTTAAAGAATAAAAAAATTTGAATGAGGAGAAGTTTTGACTTTTTTTTTTCTTAAAATATTGAACAATACGTGAAAATATTATAAAAAATATTTTCTTTCCTTCCTCTCCGTTACCCTTCAACTAAGCAAAATATTAATAAATAAATAAAAAATCAAATGAGCTATAACTATAAGTTAACAAAAATGACTAGCGAAAATACCATATAACTAGTTTATACAGTTTTTTTATTATTTATGAACATTTATAATAGAGAAAATAATAGGATAGAATAAACTAAATTTATGAAGATCAACTTGTATATCTTAATTTATAGAAATATTATATGAAAAACAAAAATAAATGCGTAAAATTAATTTTAATTTGTAAAATAGTTTTAATTTAAATTTTTAAATTTTTTTCCTCTACTGATTTCTTATAAAAATTTTTATCCAAAAGAATATAATTAAACAAACTTATAATAAACCAAGCAACTCCAGAAGATAAACATTTTATAAACGTGTACTATTTAGCTTTGGAGTGATTATATTTGGTATTTTCTATCACCATCCGTAATTAATTTACTATTTACCTTTTTAATAGTTGTGAATAAGTTTTACGCTGATAATAAAATGATATTGCATAAATGGAAATTTAAACATGTTAAATTCTACTTGTTTGTGTGAGTGTATGGTGATTAATCTAGTCCCATCATTCGAGGTGTACATGTCTGTCAAATGAGATATCACAAATTGGAAAAATCAAAATAGCATATATATTGTTTCAACTTTTCATTTTAATAATTGAATTTATATAAATTTTAAAACTATAAAAATTATTTGTATATATTTAAAAATAGACATGTAATGTTATTTTTTTAAGGAAAGATAGGTAACGTGAATATTCATTGATGAAAACAAATAGTTTTAAAATAATATAAAATCTTACAAATAAACCTGTAATGTTAATAACCCATTTATTTAATTGATAAACTCCCCTTCAAAGGGTTGACTCTTTCTTGCAAAAGGGATATTCCTGCTCCTTATCGTTATCTCATTACTCCCTCCGTCCAAAAATATTAAATGCACACGTTAAAAAATTATTCATTTATTTAAATTATAAAAATTTGTACTTACCTGAATCATATTCATTAAAATAATCGAAATATATTTTTTAATAATGTTCTATCTGTTCTGTTACTAAAAGACACTTATAATAGCAATATATATATATATATATATATATATATATATTTAACACAAAGCAACGTTTTTTTTTTTTTTTTTTTAGAAAATCTCATCATCCAAACTATATGACTATTTTAGTATTCCAAACAATCTTGTAAGCATACCCTCCACGTTAGTTTCATACTTTCATTATATTAAATTATCTTATAGGTTGATACAAAATTGCAATTTAATTAAGGGCACATGTCATTATCCATTTTGATCAATTACTTTAAGTTCCAAACAACCCAAATTCAAACCCATGGTTTTAACTAAATCAACAAAATTTCTCATCGTTAATTAATTTCATCTTATAAGTTACGCGATACTAAATTATATAAGAAAAATATTAATTAATATTTTAATGATGATACTTGAATAATTAAAAATAAAAGATAATATTTAATATTATTAATATATTTAAATTATAATGTTTAATAACCTCAATAATATTTGTTAATAGAATCTAGTAGATTGCAGAACCCTGTGCTTTCATGACTATGTTTTTTCTCCCAATACTAGCTCGTGGGTGACACTTTTTTTCCTTTCATTTAATGTCTACGTTATGCTCCCACTATTTATGAAGTTACCCTTTATTCTCAAATAAATAATGAAATAAAGCTACTTGCCTTAAGATATAATATTTAGGGTAGATTCGTCGTCAACTTCAGGTGCACAGGAACTTTGTTGACTTGGTCGCAGTACTAGTAATCGCATCAAAGATATATTAATACTTATATTAAATATTTTAAATAATTTTTAACATGTTTGTTAATAATATATTATGAATCGTAATAATAAATGTCTAATGTATAATTTTAAATAATTTAATATTATTTTCTTAATTTGGAATGATATTTTTTATTTAATAATTTTAACAACATGCAAATATTATTATTAAACTTTTGAAAAGTAGAAGAACGACAAGAATTGTCCACGTAGGATTCAAGGGTCATTAATGTTCCAAAAAGCAAAGAAAAAGAAAAACGGCTCGCTGCAGCGAGTCAAAGAACCAGAAAACCATAAGCATTGACGCCGTCGATGAAACCGTTGTCCAACACAGCCTATTAACGGAGAAATGGACGACGTGTGTTACCTCGGATCAGAGCAGAAGAGAAAGAGTCTGAATTAAGAATTTTTACTTTTTTTTATTTCAAAATTTATTTCACTATTAATAGTTTATTTTTAATTATATTTTTAGTTTTCTTAATTTGGAAATATTTTATACAGCAAGACTTCTCTTTATTTGCGCAAATTTATTAATTTTATATTTATATACCGCTGTTTTTTGATTTGATATTATCTTGCTAATATAGAAAGATGCAAATTCGATGAGAATATGCAATGATATAACATTTTATAATACTTTTGTTTAATTAAAAGATTAAATTTAAAAATAAATATATTTAATATTTATCATTCTTAATTCAAATAAAATAATGTATAATTACTAATTATTAACCTTTACAATAATTACTTATAATATCTATTGGTTAGTTAATAATATGCAAAATTTTATATTTAAAGTAAATATTGTTTGTAAGTTGAAAAATTTTGAATTTATTAAAAATAAAAATTTACAATTAACTTCAAATCATTAGAATGATCTTGTTAAACGATTTTTTTTTAATATTGTTCAAAGTTCTTTATTTACTATTTTTAAACAAATGCAAACATTTGCCTTAAAGGAAAAAGAGGCACCTGAGTCAATGCAGGTCAGAGACTCAGAGACACAAACCCGCAAACTGTCTCTCACACAAACTCTGGCGTTTCGCGAAATCCGAAACGTTTCGTTTTGGAACAGAGGATAAAATTAACACTCCTCAAACCTTCCTTTTTCTCTCTGCAACCGCGTCGCCATGGCTGAGCGCCGCAGCTCCGAAGCTCTCCCAGCGGAAGCTCCGCAGCTCCATCCAAAACCAAACGATTCTCAAGATAAAGCGGAAAACACCAAGGAACGAGTCGCTGAATCGCCGTCCGCTGCTGAGTCGCAGCGCGACGAGTTACCGAGTCCTAACGACCCTCGTACGGAGTCCAATTTAGAAACCCTAGCTGCCGTTCCCTCTTTGGTTGAATCCCTTGCTGTGCAGCACCGGAGTGACGGTACGCTTTGATTTATCGTTTGTTTCAGTGTGTGACTGTGTTGTGTCTTTTTACTTTTTAATATTTATACAGATGATTTTTTATTTTCTTTTAGTGAATTGCGTGGTTGATGTGACAGATGTGCAGGGGAGCTCTACTACGCTGAGTTCGGGTGACAAAGCCGAAAGTAAGGTTAGAGAGCATTTATTATAGGAATTTTAATTATTTTGAACAATATTTTCAATCTTGTTTTAGTGCAATTGTTTGGCTTCTAAATTTCTATTTGAGTGCACATGCTATGCTTAATACTGTATTCAAGTTAAGGTGAAGGGTTTTTGGTTAACGTTCTGATTAGGGGTTTAGTGTGTAGTGTAAGTGTAACCCGTTTATTAAAGAGTTTTACTTCGTTGCTTGTTCTTACGAGTTGCTGTGTATAGATTTACTGGATCTTTGTTTCTTTGTTTTAAAGTTCCTCGTGTTTTGTGGGGAGGTTTGTTTTAATCGTAAACTTCGAATATTTTCTTTCTTATACTTTCTTCTTTGCTTTAGGTCTACAAGATGACGGTTAGTTTTGAAGGGGTAGCCGGAGAACACCATAGATAAATGTTAATTTCTGCTTTACAGATTATGAAACTTATTCTAGGCAAAGACATCTCAGCCCTCCTGTTTCCGATTTTTTGTCCCCTTAAAATGTGTAAGTAGATGCTTAGAAGCTTCGACTTAAAGAGGAGTTCAAACCTGCTCTTCTATATATACTGATGAATTGATCCAATAGAATGGAGGAATATGGTCACTTAAAAGAAAATAAGTAGTGACCATAGTCAAACAATGGGCTGCAATAATAAAAAATCAGAAAATTCTATCAAAGGTACTTGCTGCAACTAATAATTGGCTAGTTCCAAAATTGAAACTTGAAGCAGTTTATGTAATTCCTGCATGATATTTGAGAAGATTCTTAGAATACTTTTCTTATCTCTGGTATACACTACCAAGTTTTGAGTTTTAACATATCTAATATACTTAAACAAATATCTATCTAATGGTGCATTTAGTACTAAAAAAATCTATAGTCACAAACTGGTATAGATATAAACCATTCTCAAGCTTTTAGGAGAATTAGTCATTGACATGCTATTAGAGGCCCCCAGGAATTGTCTGTGATGTCCCATTTGTTCATCATTAAGTTAAAAATTTTAGTATGACTACCTGGCATGGTGGATGGTGGACCTGTGTTTTGTATGTAGCTTGTGTATTGGGTGACCAGGGTGTGTTAGAGACGGAAACCATTATTGGAATGCACTTGACAGCTTTGGCTTTGGGGGTACTTGGTCTTTGACAAGAACCAGTAAGCTTGGTTTGGTTTGTGCATTGGTGTATGGGTGTATGAACAGTTTAGATTATACAATGGTGATTTGAAAGCACAACCCACAAAACTGATTTCCTTAAATTTATAGTAGCAGTGATCATGTCCCTCCCAGATGGAAATCCAAGGTATACAGAGCAAATAGTCATGTAGTTGCTTTTCTTGAATGAACAATTCCAAACATAAAGTAATATTTTTGCAATTAAATTAAGCATCAGAAAGTTGCATGTATTGTACATCCCAGATATATTTGGTTTCTTAGCACTTAAGTAGGTCATTTCATGCTCAGGAGACAGTTGGACCTCCTGAAAAGGAAATTATTGCAAGAGGAGCAGCCCAAACACTTCAAAGTCAGACAGAAAATCAGCTTCAGGTGTCTGTGTGTTCAACTCCATTGTCTGAACGATCACCAACTTCTGTTACACAATCTTTATCATCTGTTTCTAGTCCAACTGTACGAAAACTGAAAATATCTACTACTCCAAAGGTTAATAACGTGCATGTGCCAGAAGAAGATAAAAAAAATCCTTCTGGTGGTAAAACCTTATCTGCTGTTTCTGTTGCAAGGACATCAGGATCTGATGGATACAACTGGCGGAAGTATGGTCAGAAGCAAGTGAAGAGTCCTACAGGTTCTCGAAGCTATTACAGGTGTACTCATGCAGACTGTTGTGCTAAGAAGATTGAATGCTGTGATCATTCAGGTCATGTGATAGACATTGTTTACAAAAGTGACCACAGTCATGATCCTCCGCGGAAGACTAATTCCATTAGGGAAAGTAAGTTGCAGTCTTCCAGTGAACCTACTTTGGAAAACAGTGTTACTGAGCAGCCTGTCAAAGTTCTAAAGGATCCTGATTCATCCATTTCTTCAAAAGAACTTCTACAAGAAACACCCAGCAGTGCTGATAAGAAACGGCAAAACTCATCTAATATCAGTGATAATGGTAAAGTTATTTTGGAGGAACATGAAAATGAGGCAGAGCCAAAAAAAAGGCAAGTTTGCACGTGAACTCATATTCTTTATGGAAAAAAAAAAGGGCAACAAGCCCATTTTCTTCTAATTGTGGTAGGATTTAATGATTTAATGTTCTCTCTTTGAATTTCTTAACCAGGATGAAGAAAGGTGACTTAACAGACATGGATTCTCCCGGAAAACCTGGAAAGAAGCCCAAGCTTGTTGTACATGCAGCAGGGGATGTGGGGATCTCTGGTGATGGTTACCGATGGCGCAAGTATGGACAGAAAATGGTGAAGGGGAATCCACATCCCAGGTGCATATCTATATATTGCTTTTTTTTCCCCCCCTTTCTTTTTAATTTGCCCATTCCTTAACATAATTTCATATTTTTGCCTTGACAAATTAGTATCCTTACACGATGATAGGTAAAAAGTTGCATGCTGAGTTTTTGGCTTGTTAGCACTTTGAAGAAAGACCATGATGATGATGCAAATACATTGTTTCAAGCTAGTGCCCTTTTTTTTTCCCACTCTGGCTAGTTGTTGTTTGTACATATATATTTTAATTTCACTTTTTATGTAGGAGTGCAAAATTACTGAGCTTCATCAACAACTTCCTATTGTGTTTGGGTTGAATTTTTTCATGAACTTAACAATCATAGTTGTATTTAGTTACCAAGAATAAAGGCATGTGTATTCTGTGCCTGTTTGTATTAGCCTTGCTTTTGTTTAGAATAACTAAAAAAAAAAAGTTGTTGGGAGAGTTTTTAGCTAAAAGCTGTTTTTGTGTGAAAATTAAGCTAAAACAAACATGGACCGAGCATCAAATTAATAAATGAAACAGTTTGCAAAATTTATTATTTCTGATTATCTAAAGCTAATGAAATAGGAGGCTTTGTTTAGCTGATGAATGTTGCGTTATACTAAGACCTGTCTGTCCCTTTCATCTCATGTTCCAAGAAATGTTGTACCTGTCATGGTAGCATGTACCCATTAAAACACAACTAATTGGATCTTCAAGAAAATATATATTGACTCTGTTTCCCAGTAATACCATTTCAGAATGTGGGGTTTCTGTTGGTTTTTTGTCTGCTAAGGAAACCTAAGCTCATGATATGGAGTATTAACGAGAAAACTGACATTGCTATTATCTTTAATTGCAAGTTGTTGACAGCAAAATTTGTACACAGTTAATGAAGAATTATATAGAATCTAAATCAAATATAATGTGAATGTGATCATTGGCACAACTTTGATTTTGAAATTGAACTCATTTGTGATCATTGGCACAAGTTTGGTTTTGAAATTGAAGGTCATTTACATAAATCCAGGTCATCTTTTAGGACTACTGCCATAAAATCAGTTGTTGGAAATTCAAAATTTGATTAAGTTCATTATACTATACTGTTGTACACCTTCTGACCACTATCTTGAGTGTTGACTACATTATTGGCAACTATAAATAATTTTTAGATTGATTTATCCAAAAATTTAATGATTATTGATTAGGTGAGTGTGTGAAAAAAGATTTAGTTGGAATCCATCTGTCCATGTATATATGTGTTATGGAATCAGCCCGTCAATAACTTGTAAACAGTTGGGAGATTTATCAGCCCTCCATGAAGAATATTTTTAACGGCCAGTTTGCCATTATGGAAATTTTATTAACTGACTCTAGTGAGATATTGGCAGGATCTGTTTATCAAGTGTATTTCTATCTGCATCTCTTATCAAATCTTGGAATCTTATCTAACTCACTCAAGTTTTTGACATCATGTATGGTGTCTAGATGCATCTTCTTCTGTCTCTCCTTGGTGCAACAAGTGATGATAGAAGCTTCTTATTTATATAGCTCTGTATTTTCACTTGATTTTTCTGTGCTCAAAATCAACCAGTGTCAGTAAATGGGACATATATGTGATTTTTATTGTCCAAAACCATTTGGATGTAAATATTCTCTTCAAACTTTTTATATGCTTAGTTTATGTTTGCATCATTTGCAGTAGGAATAATTATCAGTATAACTCCTTCCAAAATTGGGAGGATAAGATTTCTTAATTTCTGAAGTCAAAGATGTGTTGTTGTTGGTGTAGTCCTTTTGCTTCTCTGCTTCGTTGAGAACAGTTGCTTTGGGTCTATGTGATGCAGCAATTCTCTAAAATAAAATTTGCTAGCCATTTAGGTCCTGTTTGAAATTGTTTTCTCTATTTATTTATTAAAATTTGTTTTTAAACTTCATTTCAAAACTTATTTCAGAATAATTTTTTTTTTAAATAATAGACTGAAAAAATTGTTTTGGATGAATGACTTCTAAAATACTTCTTAAAAACAAAAAAAAAAAAGTTGGTGTGGAATAACTGACTGCCGAATATCTACAATCTTCATCCCAACATGCCTACACCAGACATGCTTGCGGAGAAGTGAAGATGAAGTCATGTTTTTTTTATAGTCTACCATTATTTACAATGATGCTGCAATACTAATCACTTATTTTAAAACTCAACGAAAAAAAATCTTCAGATTGTTGTCCGTTTTTCACCTTTTAAAGAACAAAATCTAGGAGATATAGTTTTAAAAATTAGACAAAATATGCCAAGTTGATTTTTCTGTTTATTGGACTTTTAAAATTAGAATTTGTTTTCCAAAACAGTAACCAAAAAGGCCCTTAAGCCCCCCCCCCCCCCCCCCCCCAACGATCTTAAAAAAATATGTTGATTTTTTCCTTTTGTGTTTCTTTGACTTGTTCATTGAAATTGTATTTTATTCCTTTTCTTCTTTTAAAATCTTGAATTTTCAGGAACTACTACAGATGCACTTCTGCTGGATGTCCTGTCAGAAAGCACATTGAGATCGCTGTAGATAACTCAGATGCTGTCATCATAACATACAAGGGTGTACATGACCATGACATGCCTGTGCCCAAGAAACGACATGGCCCACCAAGTGCTCCTCTTGTGGCTGCTGCAGCACCTGCCTCCATGAGCAGTTTGCAGTTGAAGAAATCCGACTCCCCGCAAAACCAGAAAGTTTCTACTCAATGGTCAGTGGATACTGAAGGAGAACTAACTGGGGAAGCCCTGGACCTTGGGGGTGAGAAAGCAATGGAGTCGGCTCGAACACTACTGAGCATAGGTTTTGAAATTAAGCCCTGCTGAATTCATCTTTTAGAAACCATGCAGCTGTAACTATATAAATTAATTGGCAGGTCTCTTGTAATTTCACTGGTTCCCATGTTTATCCTTTCTTGTTTCTTTGCTTTTCTTCCCCACGTAGGCTTCTTGTGGAACAGTTGGTGTGTATTTGCTTGTACACCCGTTCAACTTGTCTGAAACAGTTTGCTAGTAGTGGAACGAATATAGAATTGATTGGCATCATTTTATTCTCACGGTCATGGAGGGTACTGAGTAGCAATGCGCCATTATCATATCCACTCAAATGATTCGATTTAAAGATTGTGGCAGCAATTGCCCAAACGTTGTCTATTCAACAAATAGGTTTAGATGAGAATTGGACTTGGGCTCGTAGAGCAAGCATTTGTATATATTTAAATGCGTAAAACGTGCATTTCATATTTGGCGGTGCGTGGACCAAAAGATTTGAAGGTGCTATAATGTTTGTATATCATCCTAGGCCAGGGCTTATATTTCATACGGGGTTTAGGGTAAATGTATAAATTTCAGTTGTATAAATGCTTGTATAATTTTTTTACCCAAAAAAAAAAAATCCAATTGGATTTAGCATTTCCTTTTGTAACATTTCTTTTTTGTCAATTTTTCACACAATTTTGGACGAGATTGATGGTCATGTATTTTTCCCCCCCTCAAAGTAATGATTTTAATCCTTGATATTATAGATAAAATTTATCTACGATTTTACCTTTAATGTAATCAATTAGTCTAGTTTCTTCTCGTACTTTTTGATAATCCAAAAAGGTATAAATCCGGGTGGACACTAGTGTTTAGATCAAAGTTGTCATAAATTATGGTGGTTTAACCCAATGAGAAAGTAACTTTTCATTTCTACTTCAATTACGGTTTGAAATATTAAATTGTATTCAAACATAATTCAATTGAATTTAGCATTTATTAATATCTATTAGTTCAAGTGATACACGCTTGATTTTATTTAAGCAAATTTTTGAGTTCCAACCTTGTAAATGAAAAACATTTTTGCAAGGAGAGCAAGTTCCATCATGTTGTAATGTTTTTGACTTAAATATAATTGCTTCCTGTGAAAGATATATGTGATATGGATTTAAAAAATAAATAAATTTAGCATTTTCTTTTGTAATTATTTGATTGTCTTTTTAGTTTTTTCAAAATTTCACAATTTTGAATGTGATAGATGGTTATGTAAGTTTTATTTTTCCCAAAGTAATTTTAAGCATTTCAATTTTTTTTAATATTATAGATGAAATTTATTGAAGTTTTTTTTTCTAACATTCAGATATAATTAGAAGATTTACATTTGCCATGAGAAGGAATGTGACAAAAGAAGTCTTCCCAATCCAAAACAAGTCGTATGTAAAAAAAAAAATTTGCTAAATGATTAGCAACTAAGTCTACTTTTCTCTTAACGTGAACTAAATAACAACTAAGAGATTTATCTATAAAAAATTTATGATATTAGATAATATTGTTAAAATAGTAGAACCCTTCCCTCATAATCTCCATGCTTAAATAACAAGCATATTATCAATTCAAAAATGATGCTTTAAAAGCACAAATCAATGACAATATAAGCGTAGCATATCTTAAACAAATGTTTCTGCAGTCTTCACATTCATAATGGGACACATAATTTTTGTGCACAACTATTTTCTTTTTCTTGAAAGTCCTTGAATATGATGCCCATTCTAGCACCTGTATGATTAAAAGATGCATCCAATTCGCCCAATAATCAATTAGTGCATTTTGCATATAAGCATCTGGTTTTTAGGAAGAAAACCAAAATTTACATTCCCCCCAAAGCGTAGGCCTTCCGCATCCAAACTTTCCATACTTGCATAACTCATATTTCATCTAATGAACTTAGAAAACCAGCATTCCTAAATTGTGTTTTATTAGTTTTTTCAGTGTGTACTTCCAAAGCAAACAACTTACTTTTTCTTTGATGTTTTGGTGAATATTGTGGTTGATTGTCCTTGTAGTTGGTATTTGGTGGTTGATAAAACTTCGTTCCTGCATGTGCTTATAAATTATATAGTTATCTACACTCAAATTACAACTAACTTGTTTTTGAAGATTGAACATGAAGGTAAAACTACTAATTGTTTTATCTATTCGCACTTTTATTTACTCGGAATGTCGATAAACATGTTTTCTTCATTCTAATTTTGATGGAGAAAACTCGATTCAATTAAGTATTGCCCGTTATGCTTTATAATTGAGGTTTAAAATATCTTTGAATATTTTTTAATTGAGTTAGAGGTATTTAATTAATTTATTTGATTATTATAAATAATTTTAAAATTAAAATGGAGATTTTATCTTAATATTCTGTCGTAAATAAGGTACCTAAAAGAAAACATAAGGTGTTCCAACTTGCTATTTATGCATATACGAGTTTAGAAACATAATTTTTTAAAGATAAAAATACAGAAATAAATACTTTGGTATATTATTCAAACTATAGTCATTGCCTCGTGGACCATCGATTTGCAATGAATTGTGTTAAATTATCAAATGAGTATAGAAAAAGCTAATCAAATGAACATACTTACTATTTACTACCAATGCAAAATTCGAATATGCTGTTAATTTCGTTTTTCAACCTTATAATTTCTTAATATAAATTTCAACTTGACACTATTTAGGAAAAAAAAAGGAAACATTTGATAAAATTTTTATTATATTTAAAAGTTATTTTACATGTTTTGTTACACAGATAAAATATTGGCTTTTTAAAAAAAAATACAGCCTTTTTAGAATGAAATTACGCACGTTATCTAAGAATTTTTTTTTAGAAAAATATTATGAAACTCTAAATTGAAGTTGATTACAAATGACTTCAATTTCAAATCTGATTCTATTGTTGTTTCCAATTGAAGTCGACTTTAAACGATTTTAATCTTTCATAGAAGTCGACTTTAATTGACTTTCTTCCTCCATTGAAATTGATTCTAGTCGATTTAGGTTACTGATTTGGGGATCTAAAGAAGTTGATTATAATCGACTTCCATAATACACTTAAAACAATTAAAACAGACTTTTGTTGATATTTGGATACGATTATAATCGACTACTATATAGTCCATCCGTGAGAAAGGCGAAATTAGAAAGAAAAGAGTAGAGAGAAAACCGAGACTAGAGAGAAAGGAGGCTAGAGAAAGGGATTGAAGAACAGCAGAGACAACAAAAACGATAAAAGATGGATAATGATTTATATTGACTTAATTTTGTTGATCATATTGCCAGCAAGTTGTCAATACAGGTAAATTAATTTTTAAATATATTTAGTTGATTTACAATTAGTTATTTTTGTATTTAATTTCATATATTATTAATTCTGTAATTATATGTTTAGAAAGATGTATAAATGTTAATATTATGTTGTAAATTAATTATAGTTGTTTGTTATAAATATAATTATTATATTGAGGAATGCAAATAAAATTTTATAATATATTTATAATTATTATGATAATTGATTTTTGCATTGTAGTAATTTATAATTATAATAATTTTCTTATAATATTTTTATTTAAATATTGTATATATTATTTTGTTATTCTACAAGAAGCTCGAATTTTAAAAAGTATGGGTTATACTATGATGGTTCCTCAAGATTTAAGAATGGAACCATTTTTTAGACAAACTGATTTTTGGCATATTGCATAGATAGTTCTAGTATTTGATTATGTAATGACACTCATCATAAGTGCACTTATAAAACGTTGGAGGCCTAAGTCACATGCATTTTATTTTTCATACGGAGAATGTACATGTGAATGAAGTCCATGTGAGTGGTTGTATTAGAGTGTGGAAGAAATTTTATGATCAAAATATATGAGCATTGTATGGAGATTTACTTGGAGCAGTTCCTAATAAGAGAAATATAAAATGATTTTCTATAAATTTACAATGATTTATAGATATATTTGAAGTATTACCTCACAATACTGATGGACAAACTATTATTTGTTACACTAGAGCATACATAATGGTTCTATTTGGTGAGATATTGTTTCTAAATAAATTAGGATTTATGGTGCATATGAAGTGACCACCTCTTTTAACTGATTTTACTGAGATTTCAAACTATAGTTGAGGTTCTGCTGTTCTAGCATCCCTTTCGTGAGCTTTGTCATATGATGAAATACAATGTCACCGAAATTGTAGGTTATTTGTCTCTTCTACAGTCTTGGGCATGGTACAGAATACCTCAGTTAGCCCCTAGGCACCATCATCCTCTCACTTTTCCACTAGCATTGAGATACATTTATTATTGAATATATTAATTTTTGTTATTTATATTTGTTAAATTTGCACCCTAAAAACTAATTATGCTCATTTTAAGTGGAGAAGTTTTAGGTAATCGACGAGATCAGATAAGGATAAGTTATTGCGATATAGGAGGATCATTGATTCAATTAGCATTGATGGAGTAAGTTCAAAGAGGATGTATGCTACTAACTTTTGTTGACTTTTAATTTTAATTTTTGGTCTAATATTTGTTTTTGATTATTTCATTTTAGGTGGATGCCCTACAACAACAATGAGATCGAGATGATTACACCTCCTTTCATGTATGATGAGACTGATGTTTGGGCATATGTGACTGCTCTTATACAGTTTACTATGATTAAGTGGCATCCTGTTAATCGCGTGGTTCGACAATTTGGTGGAGTACAACACATATCAATCAATAAGATAAATATTGATCGGTTGCATACTAAGGATGAGAGGGGTGATATAGAGATATGGTGGCCTGATTATCACCAAACATTACACGCTACATGGGAGTCCATACGGAACGACGAGTTAAATATCCTCTAGCTGATGATGATCATCCCTTTGTCGAGTATTTCCAGTGGTATTTGTCAGTCGCTAATAGATTTTTGTCATTGAATGGAGCCCCACAGAATCTATAGCTTAAGAACTTGCCTAATGGTGTAACACTACACGCTCCCCCAATACCTGACATCACACACCTTAATGACGTTTCAGATAGACGGTCTTTTAGCCGTCGTTTGTGTGCAGGTACATGTGCTAGTAGACACTAATACTTCAATGAGGCGCATTTACCAGCCAAACCCCTAGCACATAATGTACAACCTAATACATATCCCACTGTACAGCCTACATCACACTATGTATACCACCTGACACCCATATACCCCAGCCAGTACTTCATGTTAGGACCTAGCCAACAACAATACATGTCTGACCCTTCTCAACACCAGTTCATGCTTGGCCCTAGCCAACCATATATGACTCTCAGCCAACAGTTTATGACAGGTCCTAGTTATAAGTTCATGTTTGATTCTTTTCTTACTCCAAGTCTTATGCATTATTTTGTCACAGGTCTTGGGCAATTGTCATTTACAATGTTCCACTATACTTGCCATTCAAGTGTGTCCCATCAATTGAAATCAATTTTTTGCAATATTTGAATGCCTCTATGCATGGTGGATAAGTCCAAAAAAGACGATAAAACATAAAGCAACCATAATCTATAACGTCACCAATATAGTATGGTCTAGTTTGCATTTGGACAATAGTACCTGACATATAAGACTGCAAGCCACCCAACCATCTTGGAAGTTTATTATACGATTCTTCACAATCTCCATATATCATAGCAATAGCTTTCTGTTTGGTAAGTCACACTTTTCTATATGTTGTCTTGAACCTCAACTTTGACTCGATTGATGCTTGTAGAGCTTTAATTTTTATTGTCAGATCTGCTTGGATCATGGGGTATATGCAGGCATAGAAAATATTATAATCCATCTAAGCATGTTGATTCATAGACTCTGGAAAGACACATGTGTGTGATCCTGTCAATTTTCGCACTTCCCATAACTGCAATTTCTAGCGAAAAGTGACACATATACTCCAATTACAGTCAATGCCAAATTTGACACACTTGCAATAAAATTTTATGTGGTCAGATTCATAAACTTTATACTGAACACCTCTTCGGATGTAATTTTTACCAACAAACATCACTTCATTTTTAGAGTGAAATACTTGACCAAGTGACAAATCACTATCTAGCCTTATGCTCGAACTTGAACTAGATTCACTCACATTACAATGCATTGCAGCTAAATCAATTGTTGAGTAATGACTAGGATGATGTCGAGCTTGAGATTGGGATTGAAATTGAGATCGCGATATCAAATGTTCATCCAAATTCTGCACATCACACAACTATTCATCTTCATCGTCATCAATGTCCTTTTTTTCATCATTCTCAGTATCATGTTGTGCCACAATAAAATCAAAATCTCTGACCAAGCTACCTTGTCTCATTTCCTATGGATTAAGAGATAATGAGTTTTCAATGTCTCTAACAAAGTGCTCGAAACTTGGAGAACTTTTGATACAGAAGGTGATGGATTTGAGACTGAGCCTCCAGATCTAAAATGATCACCTTGTAATTTGACAAAAAACTTTATTGTACAAGCTTCAGCAAATGAGTTAGAATAACTAAACATGTGATCGATATTCTCATCTTTTCGTATTCGCTACCTTTTATATTCTCCAATATCAACCGACATCCTGTAGAAAACCTTTGAGACTTGTATATTATTTTCCCTTATACTCCTCCAGTATTCAACTCTCCAATTGTAGCAAAGTAATTGGGGGATGGACAACTAACCAAACCTGATAGTCACTACGAAACATCTCTCCTTTAATTGTGTTTACAATCTCACCATTATAATATGTAAGCACATGAACATTATTCTCTCCCATTTTACTGAAAATGCACTCAATTGGTTGATTTTTCGAATAATTTGATGCAAACTCTGGAAGCTCTATGTTGATTTATAAGCAAAGACGAATGGAATGATATGGAAAGCGGTTGTCAAAACAGAAATCTATTAAAATCAACTTTAAAGTTAAAGAAAAATATATTAAAATCAACTTCTATGTTAAAAAGAAATATATTAAAATCGACTTATGTGTTAAAAAAAATCTATTAAAATCAATTTTTGTGTAAAAAAGAAATATATTAAAATTCATTTCTATGTTAAAGAAAAATTTATTAAAATTGACTTTTGTGTAAAATTTTTTTTTATTAAAATCAACTTTTATGTTAAAGAGAAATCTATTAAAATCGACTTTTACATATATTAAAAGTCGATTTAAATCGACTTCTATTCTGTACTAAGCCTGACCCAAATTCACATAATTCAGTTAAAGTCGACTTCTTAGTAAGTCTTAAATTATTAAAAATCGGTTAAAATAGACTTCTGGTTTAGAAGAATTCTAAATTTTAACCAAATATATAATTAATATTTAAAATTATTTTATTTACGTAAAAAAACTTTAAAATATTGATACAATATATTAAAATTTTATATTTTCTTCTCACTTTTTAAATTTTAATATTTAAAATTACTTCTAACCTAATTAATTCGATTCAATAAATGAATCTATTTAAAATAATAAAATACCTTACTAATTTAATTCTTGAACAACTTTACTTAGACGAAAAAAAAAAAGAAGATCGTTAATTGCGTCACTCAAGACTGAAGAGGTATTGTTACTCTTCCCACTCTTTGATTCTCTCACTTCATCTTCTCCCACATTTTTTATACCTTCGTTTGTTTGTTTCTTTGATCAAACCACACTCTCTCCCTTTCCCTTCAATCTTCAACGTTTCTGTTATTTCCGACTCTCCTTTTCCCTGCATTTTTCCAGGAAAATTTCTTTGCTATTTTCTGGGAAAAGAAAAGAAAAGAAAAGGCATGAATGCTGACAAGGAATGTGTGTAAGCGGCGCATTTTGAAAGCACCATCATTATCGTCAATGCAGAATGGAATCTCAGCTTTTCAAGGCTCTCTCAACCTCACTTCCAAACTCATCACTACTATACAATGCAACTCCTCTTAAACCCTAACTTTGCTCAAAAGGGTCAACCCTTTCTGCACAACTTGATCGTGCTGTGTTAGCAAGTTCTATCAACTTCAACCTGCTGATTTGGGAATTTTTGTCTGGGAGGAATGAGGTTCTGCTATCTAAATGGCTCTCAATTTGCGGTTTTGGATGGCTCTAAGTGTGTAGTAGTAGCGTGAAAATCTGAGATCTGCATCAGGTGTTAGCTAAAAATTTGATATTGATCATGGTTTCTATGGTTTCTCAAGCTTCTAAGTGATGGGTTTCAGTGAATTTTTGATGGGTAGGTGATGGATGTTTAGGTCTTAAAGAATCCTGTGAAAGGGTGAGTGGTGAAGTGAAAAAAAAATTGAGCCATAGAGAGTTTTGTGTGTCAATGTCAGGTCAGAGATTGAAGTCAATGAATGGTGGTGAGTCAGAGACAAGGCCTGTGCTTGGACCAGCTGGGAACAAGACAGGGTCTTTGACTTTGAGTTCTAGGAAAATTTCAAAGCCAATTGTTAAAGCTGAGAAAATGCGGAATGAAGTTGCTTCAACAAAAGAGAAGAAATGCTATGAAGTGTCTTTAGTTGTGGGTTCTTCTCCTTCTCCTCAGTCACATTCTGTGAGTGTTCTACGCCGGCATGAGCAGTTGTTGCATTCTGATGTGTCTCTGAATGCTTCGTGTTCTTCTGATGCATCCACTGACTCGTTTCATAGCCGTGCTTCTACTGGAAGATTGACTCGGTCTAATAGCTTAGGTTGTACAAGGAAGCGGTCTGTGTCAAAGCCTAGAAGTGTTGCTTCTGATGGTGTGTTAGAATCTCCTCCTCATGCTTCTCACTCCAAGAAGAGGTGTGCCTGGGTCACTCCCAATACTGGTTCGTTCTTCTTCTTCTTGTTTGTCTCGATAATGAAATTTGCTTTTGTTAACAATTAAATTCTTAGCGTTAATTTTAAGCAAAAGATTTTTCTTAGGAAAAGAAATATTTTTTACATTTATCTATTTTTGAGATAATAAAGGCTTCCTTTCTAAAAATAAATAAAAATAAATAACTATTTGTAGTTACTTCAAATCCGTCATGAGGGCTGATATTTCTATTCGTAGTTGGGTCATGGGGGTAAAGCTTGCCTCAAGGCACAAAAGAGCGCTTACAGAGTTACTTACAGATAACTTACTACATTGGAAGTAGGACTGAAACCTGCATTCTTGTGGGATATGGATCCGGTCCTTACCAACTCGACCAATGACTTCTTTTTCTTCTTCTTTCACTTAGAAGTCTTTTTATTCTGATTTCGAACACCATGGACCATAATTTTTTGTGTATTGATAATATGGTTTTACTACAAGCCTTTTGACTGATAGTTCAGTTCATGATTCTTTTGAATGCTGAATTCCTTTCATGAATATGTTCATTGTAGTTAATTTTGAACGTATTTGAGCTCATTTTGGCATATTGTGATTCGTGTGATTTGGATTTTAATTTCAAGATAGATTGCAGTTCTTGAAGATTGAGATTTTACTTTTAATATATAATTTCATTTGGATATCATTGTCCTCTTTTTATATATGAATTGATGTCAAATGAGAATGAAGTTTGGTTTTAAATTTGAGATATTTTAGTTCGTTTCATTTGCTTGTGCTGCAATATAGTAAGACAACATGCTTTTGTGGCCAGAATATAATATAATTATAATATGCAACGATTGTATGCCTTTTCATGGATTTTTGTTGATATTTTGAACTATTGAATAGAAAATTGGGAAGTCCAAGTGAATACATGTTATGAACCTGATATAGGTTAATAATAGTATTAGAGATGAATGTATACAAGCCATACCTTTTCCCTGAAATTCCTCTGTAATTTTTATTGTGTTTTAAGTTATGAAGTACATTGTCTTTTTTCAAAGTTTTGTTTCCTGACTATGTTTACCTGTTGATATTAGAACCATGTTACGCTACTTTCCATGATGAAGAATGGGGAATTCCAGTACATGATGACAAGTATGTGATCCACTGAAAATAATCTTGTTATGTTGGCTGCAAAAGGACTATGCCTTCTTCCATTATATTTTGCTTGACAGTCTTTATCTTGTGTAGGAAACTGTTTGAGCTTCTTGTTCTTTCGAGTGCTCTGTCTGAACTAACTTGGCCCGCTATTCTAAGCAAGCGACATGTTTTTAGGTATTACCTCTGTGGAAGTTGTGAAATTATTTTATTTTATTTCAATTATTATCCATTCTTAACGTCCAATCTGTACTGGTTGGCTGCTACCCCAACTGTAGCCCATTATTTTCTGTTTGATTGTTCGCATAAATTTTGTTAACAAAGTTTTTTTCAGGGAAGTTTTTGCAGACTTTGATCCAGTTGCTGTCTCAAAAGTTAATGAGAAGAAGATCATGGCACCAGGAACTGCTGCAAGCTCATTACTTTCTGACCTTAAATTACGTGCTATAATTGAGAATGCACGACAAATATCAAAGGTAGATTAGTTTTCTCATGACTTTTGCAACCTTCATATTGGAATATGCAAATTTACGGGTTTGATCATGATTGCTTATTAATTGCTGGACCATCCAAAGACAAGAGATTACAGGCTTGGTGGTATTTCACTGTCATCTCCTAAATCCATTGTTCTATATTGGGTGTCTCTGGATTTAATAACATGTCTAGGGAGCAAGTGATCTAGGTGGTGTGTGGTACTTATTCGTGATCTATTAATAAAGTGGAATCGTGGGGTGCCTGCATGTTTATCCTTATCAGGATATGTTAGTCAGGAAAGAAGTCAACTGCTTAAAATATTTCATGTTTGGAAGCTTTTTTTAAAAAAAAAGTAATAGCATTATTTTCTGCATCTATCTTTGGGAGAAGTGTCTAAAAAAAAAGTGAGTTTAATAATTTTCAAAGAAAAGAAAATGGAAATTATTAATTGCCAATGCAGAAAAAAGGTTGTACTTACACACTATCATTTTTTTCAAATTGCACATGGCTGTTTATATGACTGCATTTGTATTTGATGAAATAGTGGAGCCACTTGATCTTGGATGCTAAATGAAAAAATAATTTTGCAAGCAGGATAGTTTAATTCTCTTTTGATAATTCACACATTTTGTTCCCTTCTTTTAAAAAGATGAGTTGCTTTATTGTGATCTTCAGTCTAGTATTCTAACATGTATAATTACTCTCGAGCTCTCTTAAATTTTATGCAAAATCAATTGAATAACTATATTTTCGTCCCATTTTCCCCCTTGCTAATTAATTGAATGACTTAAAATTGGTCATTTGATCAGGTAGGTTAGGTGGTAAAGGTTGTGGTCCTGACCCTTATTCAATTTACATGACCCATATGGGACAACCATAATATTAATCTGCCGTACAGCCTGTGCTTCTTATTATCACAACAGTGATTTGCAACCTAATTATTTTGATTCTTTAACTAGCCAGCATGCTTAGCTGGTATGTCCTAAGTCACTTTTCCAAACATAAAACACTACAATGCCCTTTTTTTTTTACTGAACTGCCATGATTGAAGTTTGCACAATTTTCACCATGGCTATGATTATCATTGCAACTAACTTTTTGCAGGTTTTACTGATGCCAGGTCATAGATGAGTTTGGGTCGTTTGACAAGTATATTTGGAATTTTGTGAACCACAAGCCTATAGTAAGCAGATTCCGATATCCTCGACAGGTTCCTGTAAAAACACCAAAAGCTGATGTAATTAGCAAAGACCTGGTGAGAAGAGGTTTCCGTGGTGTGGGTCCCACAGTTGTATACTCCTTCATGCAGGTCGCAGGGTTAACAAATGACCACCTCATCAGTTGCTTCAGATTCCAAGAATGTGTGGCCGCAGCAGAAGGGAAGGAAGAAAATGTCATCAAGGATGATGCTCAACAAAAGGAGTGTGATAATGTGATGGAATCTGATCTGTCCATGGCCATTGATAATTTGAGTTTCTCCTCGGAGTGAATGAATGAAGGCTCAGCTTTCTGGCCTTACAGAGATCCTGGTTCTACCGGCAGTTCATCTGGTAGCGCAAGTTCATATTACTTAGGCCTTAGGTTGAGCCATGATTGAGGAGAACTTGTGTATCTATCTCATGGAATCTTTAAAAGCATAGTTGAATTAAATCAGCTGAGTACCCAACTACCCTTGCTGTTGTATGAGGCTTCTCCCGGGAGGCCTTAACAAATTGGTGTACAATTTTTTGTACAGTAACAAATATCAATGATTATAGTTTTCTTTTATCAAGTCAGTAGCAGCAGGTAATAGATAATCAGCTCTTTGTTGCTGTCTCATTCTGATTTTAGTTGTATACATGCATGCATTGTGTTGGATAGCTAGAGTTTGAATGATGAGTCTCACTTGTGATGGATGACAATGATGGAACAGTGGCTGTGTTTATTTGTCACCGTGAGAGCAGGACTACTCATTCTTGATAGATATGTTTGCTACGTTTGGATTCCACCAACAGTGGTGGGGCATTGCATGGTCTATGAAAGTGATAATTGTGATTGTGATGAATGGTGGCTCGTGACCAGCAATGTCTCCTATCTCTTTTACACCAGTTTCTTTCAATCTTACGCAAAAACTTATTGGCTTGTTTCTTTTAGTAACCAAGAGGGTAGATAGATTCCTGCACAAAGAATTTTCACATGATCACGTCATCGTAGCATCCTAGTCTGAGGTTTATTTTTCATGAATCTACTTACCCTCTTCTTTTGTTAACCTCTTAAAAAAATCAATTATTCTTGTGTTTTTCTCAAGTAATTTATATAAATGAACCAAAAAAACAAAATTCAATTATTATATTTACAGAATGTTTAAAAAAATCAATGCTGCGGAGGGGTCTCTTTTAGTCATTTACATTCTCTTAGAATAATGAGCATTTTTTTTGTCTTGTGTACATGAGCTCAGTTTTCTACGTGTGAAGACAGCTGCAGAAGCGTATAAAGGCTCAAGTCCATAAAGGTAAGGAATCTTGATTAATATTTTCCATGATGACAGCTAAATCACTTTCATTAAAATAACATATTATCTGAAAAGAAATACAACAACAACAAATATTATCAGAAAATGGATATCATATTATTGCGTCACCGAGAATAGCACCACAATCAAAGGGAAGATGTTCTCTATCTCTGGATACATAGTCATTAACCACAAGCAAAGGACAGAAAATATGCAACAAATAGATACAACTACCAACCATTACCACCATAAGAAAAATATTGCACATCCTTCATAAGATTCGAAAATGACATCATCTATCATTCAACAGAAGGCAACCTTAGCAATACACATAAGCTTATCAACACTAGACTCAAATCAATTTCAATATATTGTCTGTTGGCTATATAGTCACAACTGAGAGCATCGTTAAGAGTATTTTAAATATTTCTACAAGCAATTCAATAAGAATCGTTGCTTCTACAAGCAACCCTCTATTGTAAAAAAATCAATTTAAACAACTCTTAGTCCTGCAACAGCATTCTCTTGATGTCAATTATGACATCATGGAAAAGATGAAATTCTACAGCTTCAGTTTAACCTTTGGTGTATGGCCACGAACTCTGCTTATGGGTTACAAGATAAGACTAGCCAGTGTACCTAGAAAAAATCAAAGATAATTTTGATGAGGCCTACCTTGAGTATTTGAACCATCATCATTACCTTAAGATGGAAGGAAACATGACATGATAATTATGAGCATAATTGTGGGAGCATTATACTAGATATCTCTTCCCTTACATTGTTCTTTGGCTTCTCATTGTATGCTATCTCTGTGTTAAAAGTATGAAATTTCGAATTGCAAAATGAAATCATTAAAAAAATAATAGAATAGGAATTTATGAAGTTTACAGATATTTTTATGCCATTTTTGTTTCAGATTGTATTCAATGCCAAGGAACATTGAATAGTAGGAGGGGAAAATTTTCCTTCTCACAACCATGAACTGATAAGGCATACACACACATGTTTGATTGCGATTAGGTGCATCTAAATTAAACACACTGTTACAGAAAAAAAAAAAAGTCCATTAAAATTTTATCAGATTTAACGAAATTTATTTCAAATTTGATATAAATTTAATGAATTTTATTAAATTCAAATGATTATTTATTATAGACTTTTTATTGCAGAAATTATACAGGTGAATTCTTCAAGCAATATATTCATTCACCACTACTCTTTCTTTATTTAGAAGATGCATATATATATATATTCAACAGCTAACGATTAGCAATTCAGCGTGGTGCAGATAGAAATGTGGGTGTAGTTGTGTTGGCTCTTCAGCTCGTTGGATCAAGTTTTTTTAATTCCTTGGGACGGGTTTGAAGGTGGTTTTTTGGTCAATAAGGAGTTGAAGTTGAAGTCGTTCTTTTATTTAGTCTCATCCTTACAAAGCCATTGGACCAACCGAATTGGATTAAAGATTTCACAAAAAAAAAATTGGTCACTTACTGTGGACCCAAAAAACCAAAAAATGCTCTTTTGTTTCTGACCAAAAAATGCTTCTCTTTATATGATTTTACTTTTTTTTAGCTAATATAATTTCTCTAATTTAAAATTAACTAATTTTAGTTTCTCTCTCTTTAGTTCCTCTCTTTATATGTACTTCTAAAATTCTCATTTATTACTCAATATCTTCACAAAGTGAATAAATCGTATTATTTTAAACATTTTCCACTCAAAACAATAAATTTCACTCGTTGAATAAGTTTTTTTTTCCTTGTGTTGAATGAGTGAAAAAGACAGTGAAGAAACAGGAAATATTATAATTTTATAATAATAGTACAAATTTTAGCCTAATAAAAAATAATTTTTTAATATATTTTTTCACAATCAAGCCCCCTTCTCCCACTTGTTTTCACGACTAGAGAGGAAAAGAAAATTAAAACGGACAGATATATAATAGTAAATTACATTTTTTTTTTTTTGAGACGTGTTTACATTATATTTTTTATTAAGAGATTAACGTTTAATAAAAATATAATGTCAACGTCAAATAATACAAATAACTGAGATTTTATTGGTGATGAAAAGTATTTAGTTGCATTGGAATAGAGTTATTAAACTTGATTAATCAGGCTCTATCGATTTGAAGAAAACAAATTCCGACTTTATTAATTACATTTCTCATATTTAGATCACATATTAAAATTATTTACGTATTAGACATATGCAATATTAATTAAAGTTAACCTGAATTTAAATTAGACAAAATTCAACAATGACATTAAAAAACAGATAAGTGTGTTTACGAGGGATAACAATGTGAAAGTAATGGCGTGGTTGCGATCATCACTTCTGACAAAGCATCCATGGAAAGCATCTGAGGAACCCGAAAGAAGACAATTAACAAGAAAGTTCATTGCCTCGTTACTCAAAATAAACAAATAAAATGATTTAATAAAAAAATTGACGTAACACAAAAAAATATGTAGCCACTTGATAATTAATTACGTCATCACTGAAAATAAAAAATTTAAAATTTAAAAAATTAAATTAAAAATCTCACGAAAAATATACCAAAACATATTTAATCACAAAAATTAAAATAAAGATGGAGTGAATCAAGGCGTGAATTGATCCCAAATTCAATGTTGGATGAATTGATGTGATGGTTCATTATAAATAACATACACTCTCCCACACCTTAATGGCAGCCATTCCTACCATCTTCGTTTCTTTCACAGCCTCTTCATCTTCCCTTCTTCTCACTACACTCACTTCGCGTCTTCACTTCGCTGCATTCCATCTGCGTCATCCAACGAGGAGGCACATGTCTCACACTCTCGCACGTGCCACTCTCGGCCTCACCCACCCCGCTAATATCGAAAACACCAAGGTCAAAACTTGTTAACTCCTTTTTTTCCCTCAATCTACCGTGCCCATGTTTTGCTTAACACTGTTAATGCTTTCATCATGTGAAAAGTTCCCAACTTGCGGTTGATTGTTATGCCTAATTGGATTTGATTTGAAATGCGTTGCTCTGTGTGTGTATTTGTGTGATGCTGAAAATGCCTTTTTTGTGTGTATGAAAATTCGTGGAAGATCTCTTTTACTGCCAAGGATGTTGATGTGACAGAATGGAAAGGGGACATATTGGCAGTGGGTGTTACTGAGAAGGACTTGGGTAGAGATGCAAACTCGAGGTTTGAGAATGTGGTTTTGAACAAGATCGACTCCAAGTTGGGTGGTCTATTAGCTGAAGCCTCTTCTGAAGAGGATTTCTCGGGAAAACTTGGTCAATCAACTGTTCTTAGAATTGCAGGACTTGGATCAAAGAGGGTTGGCTTGATTGGTCTTGGACAGTCACCTTCCACTTCAGCACCTTTCAAGGGTCTTGGTGAGGCTGTTGTTGCGGCTGCTAAGTCTGCTCAAGCAAGCAATGTTGCTGTTGTGCTTGCCTCTTCTGAAGGACTATCTGCACAATCTAAGATTGGCACTGCTTATGCAATTGCGTCTGGTATTCATTTTATGGTTTATAATTGTCTGATATATGTAAAAATTTATGATTTTTATGGTTACGGTTGATGATGCATGGGATTGGAATGTGCTAGGAGCTGTGCTGGGATTGTTTGAAGATAATAGATACAAGTCAGAATCAAAGAAACCAACACTTAGATCCATTGACATTATTGGTCTTGGGACGGGACCTGAACTGGAGAAGAAACTTAAGTATGCAGGAGATGTTTCTTCTGGAATTATTTTTGGAAGGGAGCTTGTAAATTCTCCTGCCAATGTGCTCACACCAGGTTCATATGACACTTTGAATGCATATGATATGATACATTATTCCTAGTCCTTGCCATTGTTGGGTAGACAGTTAGTCATTGTCATATCTGCGAGGGATTTTTGGTTCTCTGAAAATTGATCTGTACTTGATGATTTGTTTATCTCAGGGGTGTTGGCAGAAGAGGCATCTAAGATTGCTTCCACCTACAAAGACGTTTTTACTGCTAAAATATTAAATGCCACACAATGCGAGGAATTGAAAATGGGGTCTTATCTGGGTGTTGCTGCTGCCTCAGCAAATCCTCCTCATTTTATCCATTTATGTTACAAACCTCCAAGTGGACCTGTCAATGTCAAGTTGGCTTTAGTTGGAAAAGGTTTGACTTTTGACAGGTAAGTAGTTAAACTATGTCTTTGTATTTTATCTACAACTCAACAAAAGAGCGATCAATCTGAAATGGGATTTTCCCTAGTGTATAATCCATGGTTTTGATTCTGGTATTATAATTCCAAT